ATTTGTTTTGCATGAAATACTTAAAACACTTGACTAAAAAATGGTTCATTTTATTCGGAAAATAATTAGGGGCCTCCACTCCCTTTTTGCCCCGGGGCCTCTACACCCCTAAATCCGGCCCTGCCTATTCTTAACCTATTCTTAACTTAACAAGCATACTTACTGTTTAATACTAATAGCGCTGTTATGCCTCTTTATTATTTACAGAAAATTATTTGACACTGCGGACTTAAAAAGTAAACAAAAGTTTTATAAATGACTCATATATTATTTTAATGATACACAACATTATTATTTTAATGATTACAAAAGTTTATTTTTCCTTATAAATTACAACATAAACAAAGTCAATTTTGAATATACCACGTTTAATTCAGCAAAGGACGTTCCATTGACGTCGTCTCATTTCGAATTCATGAAAACAAATTTTATTTGTATGCTGTGAGATACGCGCGTGAATAAACTGAAGGTACATTGTGGCGAGTAAGTATATTACTGACGCCTTCACTGAAAAGCGTGTGTAATATTACTTGACTTTTAAGCCGCATTTACATGTTGGCTTTGGTCGATCGTCTATAGTTTCTGTTTTGTATTATATCTCCGACCCAAAGGGATTGCACAAACAAATATGATTCTTTAACACTAGCTTATGCCCGCATCTTTCGCTATAAATAATGAACTGTACTTTTAAAGATGCTGTCGAAGGATACATTTACAAAATTCTCTAGTCTCTATAAAGTGGTTCGAATATTTTTGTATGGAGGGCTGATATTAGCCATCTGTCGACATTTTTTTGCGACGCACAATGATTTTCTTATATTAATGGATATCGAGGACACAACAAAGAAAAAATATAAAATTGTGGTATGTGAGATTTTGGGAACATAATGCAGTTTTTTTTTTATTTGTTTATGTATCTTCATTTTAAATACACTAGTTTCATTTGCCCCACAAATTAAGAAAAAATAAAAATGACAGGCGAGAGACTTTCCTTCTTATATTATATTATATAAATAATATTCTTCTTATATTATATCGTCATAAAGAATATTATTCTTCTTATATTGTTATAAATAAGTAACTGGTTTTTTTTTGTTTACTTCAAAGAATTCTAAAACAATATCAATTTATTCACACAAACAAAGGTAATATATTAATTATTTCAAATACAATAATATTTTTTTAAATAAAAATCTAATCATTTATGGTAAGAAATATAATATCTGTTTTTTATATATATATATTTTTTTTTGCGTAAACATTAAATCACCGTACTCTTATACAATACTAGCGACTCACTTGATCACTTCCCTTGGGGTTCGTCCGTAGACAAAAACAAATCTATCCCACGGGAACCGTACCTTTTCCGGGATAAAACCTATGCGCTATTCTAGACTATAATCTATCTATATGCCAAATTACATCCAGATCCGTTCATTTCAGTATGGCACTGGCGTGATAGAGTAACAAACATCCATACATCCTCACAAACCTTCACATTTATTATATTAATAGGGAATAGCGATATGGATTTATAAAAAAAACAATGAAAGAAATTTATTATTATTTGTTAACGAAACTCTTTAAAGGAAAGAGGTAACAAAATACATACTGTAGTATAACTTGACAGTTAAAGTACGCGCGCCATTATGCAGTTATATTTGAGAAGGAACAGCTCGGGAGTAAATATAAACATTTTGACAACATTTTAGACGGTATTTTGTAAATAGTTTGAGTTTTGACGCTGAGTTGTTGATGCGGTACAAATTCGCAATAGTTTCACTAACAAACTTGGATCTTGCACTTAGAGTTCTGTAATTAGTGATGAATGAGTGAGCAAACGGTGTAGGTTATACTGAAAAGTTAATTATTACACATTTTTTCTACTTTATTTAATGAAAGTTAACAAAATATTGTATTTATTTTTCTAATATAATTTCCTTAATATATTTTATATTTTTTATATGTCGTGTTTCGGAAGTTCCGAGGTCGTTTGCCCGCCTGTATTAACAGCTCACATCTGCACTACGTGTTAAATAGTTATAATTAATATTATATATATATATATATATATATATATATATATATATATGTTCGTTTTAAGGTATATATTATGCTATGGGCCTCTGTTTACATATTAAAGATCCTTATGTAAATATTGCCTGAAATAAATGATGAAATAAAAATATAATCTAAGATCCCTCATCAAGTTACACGCAAAAATTATAAAATTCACCCGGTTGTCTTACTTGAAACATTCGTACAAGACACGGTACACCATTTCAGCCACAAGTACTATTTTTGTTCGGTACCTGATAAAATATTCTAAAAAAATATAATATGATTGTTTTCCTTTATTTATAAGTATATCTTTAAACTGATATCGCATTGATAATTAAAAAAATCGAATTGCAAACATACTGACAACCATCCAAAATAAATTTAGTTTGTTAGCATCTGACTCGATCACGCATAAGCAAATTGGATGCTACCGGTCAAAGCACCCACCGTATAATCGAATAGAGCTCGTAAAATTTTGAATCGTGCATCTAATGGGACCGGTGTACAACATAATGTTAGCGATAGTATGTGGATACTCAGACCACATTGAGTCAGCAACCTTCATCCCTACTGTGTTGTATCCTATATTTATACTTATCTATAAATAAAACTAAAGATCTATAAAATAATAAGCGTAGTTTCAATAAACTAAAATACACGCCAACTGTAATAAATAGTAATCGTCATAGAAATCGAATGACCCCAAACACACATATTATACTAGAAGCTATTGAAGAGTTCCATTGTATGTCTTGTATTGTCATCTGATTTTTAAATACTTAAAAATCTTCAATACGACACTTACGAATATTTTAAAATCGACTTCCAAATATAATAGCTGATTGAGCTTATTTAATGGCGATTAACGATAATAATCCCGCTGAGTTTCTTTCGCCAGTTCTTCTCAGGTTTGAGGCTTCTTCTTTCCAAACTGGTAGTAGACTCGTGACGTTTAAATAATTGTAATAATTTAATGCTGAATAAAATATTTTGATTTGATTTGAATAGAAGCGGAATAAAAACTAGCCTATATTGAGCATGAACTCATCAAACATGTAACATTTTAATTATACAAACATTACATAGATACATTTTTTTTTTTTGCTGTAATCGGGTAAATAAACCTAAAGGCATGTTCTCTTTAAAAAAGAAAAAGAACCTACAAAGCAATCTACAATATATCCATAAAAGTCATTTTATAATTATTCTTACATTTACACCTAATTTTACATACATGAATTATATATTGAATACTGCGACCAGAAATGATAATTTTCCTTCTTAATTATTTTCTGAAAATGTATAACATATGTTTATGGTCCCTTGAAGTGTAGTGTGTGAAGACAAGCAGCTAAGCAATATATTATCTTGTCCCTAAGTTGCGGTTCACAAACACAATAAAACTTTGTCCACTCGCCGGATCCCATCTATACTTTTGGGAAGATTACATTTCTTTATAGTGGTAAACTGTGGTAAAGCACTATTTGTTTGATTAGTTTTATGGTAAAAACTAAACGGGAGGATTTATACTAACATGATTTAAAATAATTGACCAAAATCCAATGCGGGAATCAAACCCACAAATCATGTTCTTTTTTAATTTCTTTGTAGCGTTAGCATAAAATGAGAATTCCCTCACGAGTTTCATACATATCTTATACCTCTTGATATTCTTAGCCGACCATGCCTATTGGCTATTTTTACTATAAGTCTTACCCTATAGCGGTTTGGATGGTCAGTGTCGTGTTATGTAGATATGTTCCCAATGTGGTAGACCGTAGAAGGGCTTCCGAGTTCCGTCCGAGAGTTAGTCTAATTTTAGTGCTATTATAAATAAATATTATATGAAAAAAACCATTAATCACATTAAATATACCTATATTATATTTATATTATTAAATAGGTAATATTTTTGTACAGTAAATATTATTATAAGTGTATATTTTTTCAAGTCAAACAAAAAAGTATTCTAACTACAACAAAATCAGTTTAGTTATTAATCAAATAAGCCTTTAAAAAAATAATGATCAATAAGGGTTCTGTGGTCAAAAAAAATAGGAACCGCTGATGTAGTCAATACTGTATTCAAGCTAGGAAATTAAAAAGTAAGATGCATACAACTGTAAGGGAAATAAAAATATTGAGGGTTCATAAGATACCATGTAATACCAAATGTTTTGTTTGAATTACCTGATTAATTAAAAAGGCAGTGGTAGCCCAGTGGTAACGCGCTCACTTGGGAAATCGAGTGAAGCGGGTTTAAATCCCGGGTCTCGCACCTCTGATATTTTCATGTGCGAATCATTTCTAACTTGATTACCACTTGCCTTACGGTGAAGGAAAACATCGTGAGGAAACCTGCGTGTCTGAGAAAACCTAGCAAGTTTTCGAAAGACATGTGAAGTCCGCCAAGGCCGCACTTGGCCAGCGTGGTGGACGATGGCCTGATTCCCCTCGTATTGAAGGGAGGCTCGTGCCCAGCAGTGGAACGTTAAAAAAGGCTGAATACCTGATCATCTTGGTACACAATAACTTCAATATACCTGTATCTACCGTTGCGCTATACATATATACAAAAATAAAAGTCAAACATACAACTCCTCTGTTTTTAAAGTTGGTTAATGATATTATTTTATTTTAAATCAAAAAATATTATACTCGTAGATGAGAAAAACTAATAAGCATGTCTACTGAATACATTTTGAAAGAAAAGTAAGAACAAAAATCTTTTTTACCATATTGAAAGATTCTTTAAGATTTACTGGTCATGGCAATACCTTTATCTATCAACATGACATAAGTCAAATGTTGACAACACTAAGTTGTTTCTATATATTATGTAGCAATATACTCTATGGTTGTTTCAATTTTCAAGTTTTAACAAAAAATATACATCATTAATTGTTGTAAAGCAACAAACTATTTTACTCATAATCAATATGCGATGGAGTGAAGCAATAACGCTTGAATTTGTGAAAATTTATTTGAAGCACGAATGTTTATGGAATCCAAGTCACCCCGGTTATAAATTGAAGTACCAAAGGGATAAGGCCTATGTCGATATTTGTAATGAATTTAAAGATTCCACCACCAAATGTCTATCGGTCCCAGAAGTAAAGATGAAAATCAAAAATTTAAGAACAACTTACGTTCAACAAGTACACAAAATATTGCAAAAATCGAGTCCTGATTCAATATTTGAACCATCATTGGTTTGGTTTCACGAAATGGATCGATGTCTGAAACACATTCCAACTAATCGACATATTATATCGTCTTTTCAGGTTAGTGTTTCATTTCAAATTTTTTTTTTTACTACTAACTTTAATACATAAGATAACAAAAAACAAATTTCTAATTGCAAATAAATAATGGCATAAATAAACCTTTTTCATACATTGATAATTAACATAATAACTGTGCATAATTTTGACATCTAAAAGAGCCTAAAATTAAAAATTGAATTGAATAATAATAGCTTCTTAAATAACATCTTTTATCATCAAAGTTGTATAAAGTAATAAAATATAAATTGTGCTTTTTAGGCCCCAGATACTGCTGACTTGGAAGCATCCTGTCAAATATGGGTTGATCAAGAATTAAAAAATGATACTAATAGCCAAAATCCAGACCCTCTTATTTCTAATTCTGAAGATGACTATGACTCTCCGAAGACAGAAGATTCATTAAGTCCAATTAAAAGAGATAAACCATTAGCCTCTATTCTAAATAGAAAAAATAAAAAGAAAAAATTAAAGCACAGACCCACCCACAACTATGCCAAGGATAAATTTGAATTTGTAAAAGAAGACGAATTTGATATATATGGCAAATACATAGCATCACAATTGAGAAAAATGGATCTACAAAAAGCAATTAGGCTTCAATTAGAAATTCAAAGTATACTGAGTGAAGCTAGGATAGCAGACATATCTAGTGATTAAGTTAGGGATTCATTATTTTTATTTATTTGTAAATAATATTTAATAACTATACATTATAAAAAAAATGTTTTAACTATTATTCTTCTAATTCTGATGAATTTTAATTTGGTGATTTAAAATGGATTCTATTTTATATTTATTTGTAACTATTTGTGATAAAAAAAACCTTAAATTATTGATGTACGCATATTTTTTATAATTCATGGTAATTCCTTATTTAGTCACATACTTTGTTTATACACCAAAGAACTACAATAAGAAATAAGAATATATGCATATTAAATTATTATTATTGGCTTGGGCTTTTTTTTACTAAAAACTTTAATTTAACTTATTTCTAACTTTTTAATTCTTGCTTCAAAATTGCTGTCTAAAACAAAAAGACAGCAAAAAGAACAAAATAAAATGCAAGTTGACTTTACTTTGGTTTAACTTGTAACTATGTTAGTCTCATAATACTTTCTTAGATTTACGCGAATATTTGACATTTTAAATAAAACTATCTTTTCGGATTTTGTCGCGGATTTATTTGGATTTTTGTTTCCCGACGTTTCGAATGCTTTACAGCATCCATGGTCACGGGAGAGACTGAGGTGTTACATGTCTTGAATGTATAGTTGTTACAGACAGCCTACCCACAATTAACAAAATGAAAATTGCACCAATTACATTACAATATTTTTTAACTTTAAACATTTTTATAATTTTAATTATAATTGAATATGGAAAATTATTTATTTAATTTTGCTATTATTTTTATAATTATTACAATTTTAAAATATTAATTAGTAATCTATATTTAGTGTTGCCATTATTATATTTATAACCATAAAGAAAAATATAAAATGTAGTATTAATTATTAAAGCCATATAATTGTTCTATGTGTAATTTAAAAAGTTAAAATTAATTAAGGATAATAATTTTAATTTAGTTTGCTATTATTTAAAAACAACTTACTAAGCAACACTATTGATATATACTTTTACAAATGAAAAATGAAAAATATTAGTCTGATAAGCTGTCATTTTGATCTACACAGTATGAACTTACTACATCTGCCTGTCTGTTATGTTTATATTTATTATTTGATTTTATTATATTAATAACAGGATCCCATGACGATGGTAGTACCCAGCCATCTTCCCTATTGAAATTAGGATGTTTTTTAATTTCTATGGCTTCTCGAATCATTCTAGGGCGATATCGGTTTTCTTTCGCCAGGATTTGAGGTCTATCGAAGCGAATACCTTAAGTCATACTGTGTATCGAAAGAAGACCCATACTGATAGGTACTTGAATGGTGAATCTCACCACCACCCTTCACAGTTAGCTACCGTGGGAAAATCTTTGTTTCAGAGGGCACGCGGGATCTGTGACGAGCAACACCTGGCCGGAGAGCTGCAACATGTCAAGCAAGTTCTGCGAGACAACAAGTTGCAAGTGCCGCGCCTACGTCACAGGGACCGAGTGAAACCAGCCACAGTCGAGCGCCTCCCTGCAGTCCTACCTTACATGAGAGGCGTCACTGACAAGATTGGCTACATTCTAAAGCGAGCTTCAATTAAAACTTACTTCAAGCCGCCAAAGAAAATTAGTCAGTTTCTACCACCTGTCAAGTGCCACATCCCTCTACAAGATGCAGGAGTTTACAAGCTTGATTGTGATTGTGGGCTCTCTTACATCGGACAAACAAAGAGATCCATTAGAACCCGGGTCAAAGAACACATAGCTGATGTGAAGCACCGTCGCAATACAACATCTGCTGTCTGCAAACATAGTCAGGACCGCCCAAGCCATTATATTCGCTTCGATAGACCTCAAATCCTGGCGAAAGAAAACCGATATCGCCCTAGAATGATTCGAGAAGCCATAGAAATTAAAAAACATCCTAATTTCAATAGGGAAGATGACTGGGTACTACCATCGTCATGGGATCCTGTTATTAATATAATAAAATCAAATAATAAATATAAACATAACAGACAGGCAGATGTAGTAAGTTCATACTGTGTAGATCAAAATGACAGCTTAGTTGCTTAGTAAGTTGTTTTTAAATAATAGCAAACTAAATTAAAATTATTATCCTTAATTAATTTTAACTTAATACTTTCTTAGATTTACGCGAATATTTGACATTTTAAATAAAACTATCTTTTCGGATTTTGTCGCGGATTTATTTGGATTTTTGTTTCCCTAACTTAATTTTAACTTTTTAAATTACACATAGAACAATTATATGGCTTTAATAATTAATACTACATTTTATATTTTTCTTTATGGTTATAAATATAATAATGGCAACACTAAATATAGATTACTAATTAATATTTTAAAATTGTAATAATTATAAAAATAATAGCAAAATTAAATAAATAATTTTCCATATTCAATTATAATTAAAATTATAAAAATGTTTAAAGTTAAAAAATATTGTAATGTAATTGGTGCAATTTTCATTTTGTTAATTGTGGGTAGGCTGTCTGTAACAACTATACATTCAAGACATGTAACACCTCAGTCTCTCCCGTGACCATGGATGCTGTAAAGCATTCGAAACGTCGGGAAACAAAAATCCAAATAAATCCGCGACAAAATCCGAAAAGATAGTTTTATTTAATATGTTAGTCTCAGTTAAAAATATTGTTCTAATAGTAATTATTTTGATAAATTGTATTTCAACATTAACATCATTTTTAATGGTCCTCTTTAGTAATACATTCTAAACAAATATAAAATTATTATTATTATTATTATATTAGTTACGATTTTACGTTTAGTATAGATTTCCGAGAGACGAGATATTTTCCCGCAGTAAAAAGTATCCCATATTATGTTGAGGCTTGAGCAAGGAACATTTTTACTGGGCTTGAGCCGGATAACCATTAACCAGCTATTTATATATGTAGCAATATATAGTGTTGGAGAGGAGGCGCTAGTGTAGCGGTGAGAAGTGTGAGGCGAGTAGAGGAGAGTGGATGGGGATTGCGTGGGGTATATAAATGTCTTGCTCGGGATTTAGATTGATTATTCTGCAGTGTTAGTGTTGTGAAATAATTACCGGAGTATAGATTTAAAAAGTTTATAAGTTGTAATTGTATAAAAATCTGTGATTATTAAAGTGATTTGTGAAAACTATTTTTATTTTTCCTGACTGTTTCACAGTCAGAATTGGGATATAAAGCCCACATTATGAAGCGAAGACAGCCAGGACAGTATGTGAAATCAAAGAAGACCCGATTAAATGACGAGAATGAAAATAATATTTCTAGAGAGGATGTACAATCGATGATTGACACAAAGGTAAATTCATTTCTTAATGAGGGTAATGGTGAAAATGGTGTGATCAAATTAATTAATACTGATAAATTAATACCGGATTTTGATCCTGAAAATCGAGATATGAATGTAAAAAGCTGGATACGAAAAATTGATCAACTCGGTGACATTTACAAGTGGACTGAACTAACCAAATCTTTTAATTTGCAATCAAAATTACAAGGCCAGGCACGTATTTGGTATAATCGCTTGGATTCATACGATCATAGCTGAGAAGAGTGGAAATCCATGTTAACAAAGGCTTTTCCACGATATCATGACTATGCTACACTTCTTGATGAACTTACTTCTAGAAAGAAATCATCAAATGAAACTATGACAAAGTATTACCAGGAAAAGTTAGCTATGTGTTTTAGATGTCAACTAAGTGATCAAGCCGCTGTTTCATGTATTATACGAGGCTTACCTCTCGAACTGCAGGCTAATGCACAAGCTTATCAATGTAGCAACCCAGATGCATTATATGAAGGGTTTTTGTCCGCATTTGATAATTATCAGCCTACAACACCCGTTCGAGTAAGCAGTGCAAAGACACGAGTAGAACCTAGTGCTAGCAAGGAAACTCTGGAACCTCCCATATGTTATCGCTGTAATGAGACGGGGCACGAGGCTCCTAATTGTTCACTACCCGATAAGCGTAAATGTTTTAGATGTGGTAAGATTGGACACGTTGCTAGTTCGTGTCTATCCCAAACAAAGCAAATTCAAATCTTGTCAAATTTAAATGAAGTTTATAAAAAAACGGCAAAAGTAAATAACACCTATGTTAAAGCATATATAGATACGGGCAGCGAGTTAAATGTAATGGCCGACACTGCAGCACGCGCTCTAAAGTTAAACATCTTTCCTACCAACGTACAATTAAAAGGCTTTGGAGGTATCGCTATGCCGGCTGTAGGACACGTAGAGTTTGATTTATACGTGGATAAAGTCAAAATTCACACTACAGCCGTTACAACTAATACTGATTTAGGAGATATCGTGTTACTTATTGGTCAGCCAGTTATTAATGATAATACTGTGTCATTGACAGTAACGCGGACAGGCGCTGAACTTTGTACGACAGAATATGGTAACGACATAAATTCTATTAATACCATTGAAGAAGCGAGTTCTTTTAAAGTGCAGGTAGACGCAAATATAGAAGTTCCAGTCTGAGACAGTTTGGTGAAGGTGTTTGTGGAGGGCGCGCCACCAGGCGAGCTTTGCACGAAACCACGCCAATACAGCATCGGTGCAGAGCATTATGCAGTAGCCAGTACATTACTCAGAGGGGGCGTCGGATATCTACGTGTCTGCAACATTGGAGAGGTCCCTTTGAAATGGAAAAAGGGCGAAACTGTGACAAGGGCAGAGCTCTGTAACGTCTGTGGTGAGGTGAGTGCGAATTTATTATTTATGAGGGGAGATGAGATTACTGAGCGTTCTTCAATTCATATTGGAGGAGTGCCCTTGGACCAGATAAATGTTGGGAATATAAGTAAAACTGAAAAGACTAGGTTAATTGAATTATTAGACTCCCATTCGGGTTATTTTGCTTCTTCCCCACATGAGTTAGGCAGTACTAATTTAGGTGAAATGCACATTAAAACAACTACTGATAAACCTTTTAATAGAAAGCCATATAGACTAGCTCATTCAGAAAGAAAGATAGTAGCTGATAAAATAGAGGAAATGTTAGAAAGCAACATAATTAGGGAATCAACTTCAGAATACGCTTCTCCAATATTATTAGTACGAAAAAAAATGGTGATTTTAGATTATGCATAGACTGCAGAGCACTTAATGCTATTACAGTTAAAGAGAGATTTCCACTCCCTCATATCGAGGACCAGCTTTCTAAATTGGCGAGGAAAACTGTTTTTACTAGTTTAGATTTATATGCAGGCTATCATAATATTAAAGTACATTCTGATTCCATAGATAAAACTGCGTTTATAACACCAGACGGGCATTACGAATATTTAAGTGTACCGTTTGGTCTGGCTAATGCTCCGTCTGTCTTTATGCGGGCAATTCAAAAATTAGTAAAATTAGTAGGTAGTGACGAATTAGTTGCATTTATGGATGACATTTATCTACCGTGAGTGTTAACGAAGGATTATGTTTGTTAGAAAATGTTCTTAGTAAGTTACAAAAAGTAAATTTAAAACTTAACATGATAAAGTGTTCTTTTTTAAAATGTGAAATAACGTTTTTAGGCCATGAAATAAGTTCTGAAGGTATAAAACCAGGAAATCATAAAGTTGAAGCAGTGGCTAACTTTAAAACACCAACTAGTTTGCATGAGTTACGAAAATTTTTAGGACTATGTAGTTATTTTCGTAAATTCGTTGCCCAATTTGCTACAATAGCTAAGCCTTTCACGAACTTAACAAAAAAATTGTGAATGGGTTTGGGGCGAAGAACAAGTTAAGAGTTTTAATACACTTAAAAATAAACTCTGTTCACAACCGGTACTTGCGTTGTTTGATCCTTCACAAGCTTGTGAAATTCATACAGATTCATACAGATTCATACATGCGAGCAAGCAGGGATTAGCTGGTATCTTAATGCAAACTCAGGGTAACGGACAATTAAAGCCCGTGTTTTATTTCAGCAGAGTAACTAGTCGTGAAGAATCATTTTATCATAGCTATGAATTAGAAACCCTGGCAGTTGTTGAATCTTTAAAGCGGTTCAGAATATATATTTTAGGTAAAACTACTAAAATAGTGACAGACTGCTCAGTTGTTCGTTATACTTTAGAAAAGAAGGATTTAATTCCTCGGATAGCTCGATGGTGGTTATCAATACAAGAATATGATATTCAAATTGAACATCGTCCTGGGGATAGAATGAAGCACGTAGACGCTTTAAGTCGTAACCCAAACTTATTATCTAGTAGTCTTTGTGAAACTCAAAATGTTATTGCTAATATCAATAGTATCTCTAATGACGATTGGTTTTTAACAGTTCAAATACAAGATCCAAGACTTAAAAATATTATAGACCAATTAACCAGTGAAAATGCTTGTAGTGATGTGAAAAATAATTATATAATAACAAACAATAGGTTATATAGAATAACTCTCAAAGGCGAGAAGTTAGTAGTTCCCTCGTCAGCCAGATGGCAAGTTATGCAGAAATTTCATGATCAAATTGGTCATGTAGGACTGAAACGTTGTGATGAGCTAATGAAATCTGATTATTGGTTTCCGAAAATGACACGTTTTATAAAAAAATACGTAAATTCATGCCTTTCGTGTGCATATAGCAAAGGAGAATATGGAAAACCTTCTGGGGAACTACATCCTATACCAAAGCCTACTGTGCCTACGGACACGGTTCATATTGATCACTTAGGCCCTTTTAGTAAAACTACAAAAGGTTATCAGTACATATTGGTTATTGTAGATGCATTTTCAAAATTTTTATTAGCAAGGCCAACTAGAACTATTAATTCTGTAGAGACTCTTGAGATTTTGAAGGATGTATTTAGTTTATTTGGGTTCCCTAGGAGGATAGTGTCTGATAGGAATTTAGCATTTACTAGTAGAATATTTAAGCAATTTATACAGAGTCATCACATTCATCATACATTAAATGCAATAGCCTGCCTAAGGGCAAATGGACAGGTTGAGCGCTATAATCGCACCTTACTAAATGCCATGCGTACCCGTTGTATTGATCAAAATATGTGGACAGAATGTTTACCAGATGTAGTGTGGGGCATCAATAATACGTTAAATGAGTCCATAGGTTTCCATCCTTATGAATTAATGTTTAGTCATAGAAGTAGGCTGCTTCCAAATTTAGAAGGTAATTCTGAGAGTAAATCTGCTATTGAGAAGCGTAGGATAGCATCAGATCGCTTACAAAACAGGGCTGTAGCTATGAAAAGGGGATATGATAAACGTCATAAGGCAGAAAAAAAGTTCTCTAAAGGTGATTTAGTTCTGTGGAAACAATCTGCAACGGGTGGTGAGGCAAAAAGCGTAAATACAAAATTAAGGGATGTCTATTCAGGGCCATACATAGTAACAAAGGTTCTTAATAATGGCAGATATGAAATACGAAGTATCAAAGGAATGCGAGGATATAAAAAGTTTTTTGGTTTAGTCCCTGCAGATTCACTACGATCTTATCGTAGCGTCCCAAGTTGTAGTGAAAGCAGTAGCGATGAGGAAATTGTTACTAGAGATGATTTAATTGACTTATTAGAGAGCTAATGAATTTTTTTCCACCAATTGCGGTGCAATTGTTACAGGATGGCCGACTGTAACGAGTAAAGTGAAGTGAGGAGCGGGTGTTGGAGAGGAGGCGCTAGTGTAGCAGTGAGAAGTGTGAGGCGAGTAGAGGAGAGTGGATGGGGATTGCGTGGGGTATATAAATGTCTTGCTCGGGATTTAGATTGATTATTCTGCAGTGTTATTGTTGTGAAATAATTACCAGAGTATAGATTTAAAAAGTTTATAAGTTGTAATTGTATAAAAATCTGTGATTATTAAAGTGATTTGTGAAAACTATTTTTATTTTTCCTGACTGCTTCACAATACTCTATGGCCAGCTATCATTAAAATCTGTCCAGTGGTTTTTTCGTGATACGTTCCCAGACAGACAAAAATTCGAAAAATTAAAAGATTCAGCGTCTGTGTCTATAATAATGAGCAATAAGATTTTCCAAAAAATATTTAATGTATAGATACGACTCAGAATTTTATTATATGTATACAGTATAGGTAAAAATGGAACTAAAATATTTATACAAAAGCTTGGGCTTTTTTTTCTGCGTCAATAGTAAAGTAAATATTTTTATGCTACATATTTTCAGTGTCTGACAGATGTCAAACTGACTTGTTTAAAAGTACCTACAACAAAAATATTATTAACAAATGAATGTTGAAAATAATACATGAAAAATATTATTATTTATTTATTTTTGAACAACAAAGCTATAAACAAACTGCAAAGTATATATGAAAAATAAAATGAGGTGGAGTGAAAATGAGACATGCCAATTCGTACAACTTTATTTAGATTATGAGTCTTTATGGAATACGGAGCACGGAGATTACAAAATAAAAGAAAAACGTCTCAAAGCGTACAAACACATTATTTCTGATTTTCATTCCTCTACGGGTATATCATTATCCGTGAGTGAACTAAAAGTAAAAATAAAGAATTTAAGGTCGACATACTCGCAAGAGTTAAGTAAAATAAAGCAAAGGTCTAGCCCTGACTATACATACAAACCAACTATAAAATGGTTTGCATATTGGCACAAACGATTTAGACGCAATTCGCGTACAAATCAAATATCCGATACATTATACGAGGTAAATATTATTTTAATATTCGATTGTAATATCTAACCGAACTTATCATTATTTATATAATGTAACTATCATCACAGACGTTAAAGCAAATAATGTAATATTACTTTTCCCCGTGACTCACTCGTATTTTATTTATTCTAAATTGTTCTACTATTAAAGATCAAAGTGCAGATATAAGTGCTATAAATTGCAAGAAAGAATTTTTCAAACCTGACTAGTAGTTCCCAAGATTCATGAACAAACAAACAAACAAACTGGTTTTACAATATTATAATAAGTATTAGTATAGCTCATTTATCATTTTAGGAAGCTGAAAAAGATTCAAAAATGTGGGTTCATGATCACACTGACAATTTGAATGAAGAAACACATCTTGATTCATTTATACCTGAAAACAATGATGACTCTATTCTTCTATTAAAATCTGAACCAGAAGAGGCTCAGTTAAAGACTGATAACAATTCAAACACATATAAAACTAAAAGAAAAAAAATAAAACACCGCAGCCTTAGCACTACTTCAGAAGGCACTTTTCGGGGAAGTTTAGATTCCAATTTAGATTTAAGTAAAGAAGATGAATTTGATATTTATGGCAAATATATTGCATCACAACTAAGATCTATGGACTTGAAAAAAGCACTAAACTTACAGTTGGAAATACAAAGCTTGGTCAGTGAAGCAAGATTGTCAGATTTGTCTAATGAATAATTTTAATTAAGTTAATAAAAGTAAATAGTTATGAAATTATTTGCCATTATTTTTTAAATTATCTGTCCCTTGAAAGAACACTTGAAAAATGAAATAAAAAAGTCGAAATGCACAAAAAATATGAAGATTTTAGTACAAATGAAACAATATTAATAAATATAATATTAGATGTACTTAATAACAATCAAGTGCGAAGCCCATGCAAGTAATAAAATTTAAATATGTTCAAAGTTGGGCTTCTACTGTATAAATGTATGGCTGGTTGAGAGGCTTCTTCTAGCAAGGCTTTTTCCATACTTATGCTGCAGGTCCAGAGATCAAGGGTTTGAATCGGTTTGATCAGACCAGGTTTCGAGTTTTTCTGTCACGCAACTTCCACTATCATTACAAAGTGAATACTTTGTGGAATTATCACTCTAATCTTCTTCGGAAAGCACTTGAAATTTGTAAAATGTAATAATTATAAATAATGGAGTGCGAGTTAAGACTTTTTTATTAGAAATTACCCCTCTATGAGAAACTTTTTTTAAATTCCTTAATTATTAATAGTTTTTGAATTATCAGAAAAAAAATCCTTTATCTTTATTTGTTTATATGTAAAATTGTGTATATGAAAAATGTTTTAAATACAATTTTCTAGATGTCATTCCAGATCCAAAGAGCTATTGTATATATTTTTAGGAAGGAGATTTACCTTTTAATTGTTACCACTTTCAAGTTTCAACTTGTGATCTTTATATAACCCCGGTAGTTCTATAATAAGTTTATTACTAAAATTTCAGCTTTATATAAGCATAGGTTACGGAGAATGTTCCCCCCAACGTGCGTTCACCTTGTCGTGGTGGGGGGGCTCAGTAGTAGTAGCGAAGCTAAGAAACGCACAGGGAGGTTGCCCACTTCGGTGGGCGGTGGGAGGTGGCCCTCTCCGGGGGGCGGTGTACCTTGCGGGTTGCTCCTGGTACTTCTCTGATAGCAGAGTGGACCTTGGAGCAACCCCATGGTTGTGGTGGTCTGCTTTGGCAGACCTGCCGTCGGGGCGTCGTAGTTGAATGCGTAAGCGATCCTGCGACGCCCCATTATGACGGGGGAAGGTTTTGTTGGGTTTTAGTGGGTAGTACTGGCTGTATTACGCCGGTGAGTCCCACACGTCGTGCGTAAATGCATTTCCCAACGTTAAAAAAAAAAAGGAGAGAGAATGTTAGGTAAAATTAAAGATATACACAGCAGGTCTCACTTTTTTATTGCTGTTACAGCATCCGTTTATAATACAAACAAACATCGCTTATGTTTCACTATTGAAAATTCAGATCCATCAGCGATACACGCTCCACGTGTCATATCCAAGGATTATGAAAAAATATATATCGGTGTCTATGCTGCTGTTATTAAGTCCTTAATATTTCATCTAAAACTAAGGCCAGTTAAGTACTTGGGAGTTCACGAACCTCGACGTTTTATGATTTAAAAAAATAAACGGAAGTCCGACTTCGAGGGCAGTGCGTATTTTGGTTTAAAAAAAATTAAATATCTAAAAAAACTTAGAATAAATAAAGCCCGTTTACATGTTCTGTTTAAAATGGCGTGAGTCGTGTAAACGGTCTTTTTAAGACTAGACTGAGACAATCTCAATGTACAATTTTCATTCCAATACATCCAATGTGCGTTTTGTTTTGTGATTAATTTTGCCAGATATTATATGTCCACAAATCAATCTTTTTCAATAAATCTGATAAGTGATAACATATAAAAGTAGCAATATTTATAAACTGTTTACAAACATACACAAAGTTTAGAATGACAATTTGATTTTTTCTTAACAAGTAGGCAACACTTGTTATCGACAAACAAATGATTAAATACAACTTCAGATCTTTACAAGTAACAAAATGTTGTTTATACTTTACTGCTTTTAAATATTTAAAAGCAATATGGACGAATATTATATGCTCAATAAAAATATCCCATACTGTGATATCGGTAAATTAAGATTTCGATTCTGTAAATTAAATTTAATTATTTAAATAAAAAAATACTTTTGTACTATTTCAAACATTTATCATGGCAACACTTCATCCATATTGTTTTTAGAATTTTCATGCACTTATTAAGTTAAGCTTACTTTAAATACACATCCCACTGTCTGTAATTTAAATTAAAAACATTGTACTATATAAATGCAACAGGTTATTTTGGAAGCAATGCGTTGGAAGAACTTATATAAGCGGGTTACATAACAAAAATACAACCGAGTATTAAAGCTAAGTCACATAGAAACACAACAATAAATAGAAAAAAATAATAAAAAAATATAATTGTGATGGCAACAATTTTATATGTTAATGTTGTTTCGCCTGATATATAATTATTAAATAAAAAAAACAAATGAGTTAATTCCTTAAATAGAAGGAAGGTTTGGATTAAACCTTCCATTTTTATTAAGAGATAAGGGATTGTACTTCCACATACCGTTAATGACTCTTGAATAATAAAAAAATAGAGTAACCGTTATAATAATATTTATAACATTGTAAAATAAGATTTAAATTTTTATCGTTCGTTATTTCTAACATTGAAAAAAATCTTATAAAAAAAATTAAAAATGTTAGTATCAAGATTTCGCATTTTTTATAATACCAGTAAATAATAATCTGTTGACTCTAAACATCAATTCAATTAACTTGTTGACAATTACGTCGGAAAAATATTTATACGTTATCGCGTAATTAATACTCAAACTAGGTTCTCATTGTCTGCTTTTTTATCTGTTTCCACAAAATATAAATGATATTAGACAAACAGCCTCAAGTCGTATTCATTCAGCCTAATTTTGAACAAAATGCTGCCCTTACGAGTCACTTAAAAACACTAACTGTCATGGCAACTACAGAGTTGCTTGTCCGCCATTTTTATTTTATATTTTTAACAAGAAAAAATATCGCAGCGCCCCTATATTTGACTAAGCTCGATTAATACTCTTGTTTTTTATAAATAATTTTACGATAACCATTAGATTCAATTCCTCCTATAATTTGCTTATCAAACTGAAAGATTACAAATTTCCACTCACATATTTCGAATGGCAACACTGCCAACGTAACGAATAATAAAACTATACAGTATTGCCAGTACATTCTAAAAATTTAAATTAAATTGGGGACGCTGCGTACAACACGAGAATTGGACGAAAACGTCAATAGACTATATTTATAGTCAATCGAATTTCATTTTGTACAATATATCACAAATGTAACAGAACACCATTCAGATGCAGCAGCGACGTTATGGAAGGTATCGATGATTGATAAAAATATACATATGTATATAAATTTAGTGAAATATTTTAAAATAAAACTTCTAAAATTAAAAATCTTTTCAGTTTTTTTTGGCGGATTTATTTTAATTTTTGGGAGCGTATCTTCCGTTACCATGATTGCTATAAACCATTCGAAACGTCGTTAAACAAAAATCAATACAAATTCACGAAAAAATCTAAAAAGATAGTTTTATTTTAAAACCTCAAATATTCCCGTACATCTAAGAAAGTATTTAGTGTAGTAAATTATTATGGCGTATTTAATACTGAATACCGATTTATTAATAGTCTGTGTACGTCACTCTTAACATGGTCATCGTGTAAGTTTGGTAATTTTAGCTTCTAACAATATCAATGATATGTAAAAAATAACTTATGAACCTACAAAAAAATGTATGATTATATTATTATTTTACATTACTAATAATAATTAAATATGATATTATGACAAAAAGAATCAGTTCTAATTTTTGTAGGTTGATATGTTATCTATTATCCCTAAATTATCCGTGCCCATTAAATGATATACAACATATGCCTAAAACAACAACAAAAAATATCCAGCGCTCAGTGGAATTTGCAGTAAATATTTATTAAATATAATGTACAAATATACTGTATATAATTACAAAAATTGTACTTTGATGAACACAAAAATAATACCATACCGCCATTTTAAAACCACTGTCATCATTACATATTTATGAAGATTCCCCACCGCGTCTGAATGCGATAAACTCAAAAATTACCGAACGGATTTCTTATACGGTTTTTACCAATGGACATAGTGAGTCATCAAGAAGATTTGTATATTAATCATTAAAGTTTTGTAAAAACTACCTGAAATACGACGATGATTGTTGAAGATGTCGAAAAAAAACCATGCTGACTGGAGCTGTACTAACGCGCCGAGTAAAACCAATAAAGTTATATGAAGATAATGTATTATATTCATCTTAAAAACACTTATTAAACTGTAACAACGCTACGTACCTAGGAACGTTAGTCACTAGTAGTAAATAACTGGAGCGAAACAAAATGTAAATGAGATATATAGGAAAGAAACCAATTTCATTCATACTTAAACAATGACCATACAAAAGAAGAAATGTTATCTTTTTTAATATCATTAGAAACTGATTTTATTTGTTATTTTCTGGCAACAATCTGTCAATAGTAAACAATTATCACTGTGTTACATATGATATATAATTTTATCAGTCATCGACCCATATCAAATTTGAATTGAAAAGTGGAAAAATAAACACTATTTCTCATATACAGTTCCAAGCAAGTCCTGTTCCACGCCGACACTTGTAAGGACGTTATTAAGTAACAAAAAAAAATACTTTTGGAAAAATAAATTGAGATCAGACACGGCCTTACAAGTATCAGTATGGGATTAAAACAATACTGACTTAAGTTTCGAAGATAGATTAATAGAAATAAAAACTCGACTACAATTCAAAATCAAGATGGCGATTGTAATTCTTTATATTACAATATAAATAATAAAGATGACAAAAAAAAAACTAAAATTATATAATAATGCAATATTATAAAAATATTTTTTTTACTACAACATTCTGTTTGTCAGTATATGAAAAAGTTTTGATTTAGATAAACACAGTAACATCCGCCATATTGATTTGTAACGTCACACAATTAAAAATTATTACACTGTAGTCGGTTTAAAAGTCTATGAATTCGATATTAGGTCTTAAATCAACTAAAGCCAGCGCTAGTTGTTCGATATAAAGTTCGCATTGAGCATTAGATACAGAGCACTCAATTGCTCAGTTCGCTGAGCGCTCAGTTGGTGAATGCTCAATGCTCAGGCGTCTGAGCAGAGCTGTTTTGGAGTATAGACGGACGCGTTAGGGTCTAACGGGGAGCCGTCAGATAGTCGTAGTTTGGACACGGTGCCACTCACTGGTGTGACGAATTCTGTTGGCATCACTGCGAGCATTTGAGCTTTTAGTTCTTCTATTTCTTTTTCTTGTCTCGATATTAAACCTGAAAATCGTAAAAATAAGCAGTAATTTAAATTTTATTTGTTATAGCTTATATCTATCATAAATTACATCATATTATACAATATTTGGGCACTATAGTGGTCAAACTCATTGCGAACTCAAGACTAGTTGATTGTATGGGAAATATTATTCTATAGCACATGTGTGTGTGCAGACATATTAAATGCACTAAAAATCCAGTAATTATATTTGACCCGAGACAAGAATCGAGCCCAAGACCCAACGATCTGCAGCTTTACAAACTACTACAATACTCGATCTTCTTAGACTTACATCATCTACATGCGTATAGCGCACCTGGCCAGTCTTGAGTGATAGCTGTATATGCGTTTATAGTTACAATCTAGTCTAACTCACCTTCCTGTATCTGCATGTATATAGCGCCTCCAACCAGCCTTGAGCGCAAGTATCTAGTGTAACCCACCCTCCTGTATGTATATGCGTATAGCACAGCTGGTGAGTTTTGAGCGTTAGCTACCATGTGTTGTTGTTACTTAATAGCAACTATCTAGTGGAACTCATCCTTCTGTACCTGCATGTATATAGCGCACCTGGCCAATATCTAATGCAACTCACCCTCCTGCATCTACTCGCGTATAGCGCAACTACCTAGTCTCGAGCGTAAGCTAGTACATGTATATGTGATTGCATCGCACGTAGTAGTGCGACTTACCCTCCTGTATCTGCATGTGTCGCTTGGCGTCGCCGAGCGCGGAGAGCAGGTCGAGCTTGACGCGCGTCTCGGCGGAGAGCGAGCGCTCGAGGTAGGCGGCGCGCTCCTGCAGCGCCGCGCACGCCGCCAGCCGCGACCCGCCCTCGTCCGCGCGCGCCGCGCGCGCCTCCAGCGACCGCACCTGACGAGTGCCGCAAGCACAAATAGAGACGCGACAGAGAAAAAACGAGGGTGTAGCCAAAAGACTTCTGTATTCGTTGATATACGATTAAATAACATAAATGTTAATAAACATTCCATTATAATATTATAATTTTTAATAAATAGAGAAGTTGCATGTTTTTTAATAAAAAAATTTAAAGCTTACCGAAAATTGTGAAGAAGAATTTAAAAAAATAACAATTGATGTTTCATATATTTTACAATTAAACGTGTTTTTTTTTAAAACGTAAATTCAAATGCCAATGACGTCATTATATCGCTTTAGTAACGCCACCGCATGGCGAAATTATAAAACACATGTTTCCGTTATCAAAATAAAAAAAAATGTCTTTGCATAATACAGGTTATATTTGTTTTGAAATTATTTAATTGGCTTAATTTTTTTTTTTGTTATGACACATGGTGATCCAAAAATAGAAAATACAAAAGTATAGTATGATTGCGATTAGCTCAGAGCCTTAACGGATATAATGAGGTCACAAAAAATCACAAGTCATTTTATTTCGTTCAAAAATTTTACAATTTTTTATTAATAATAAAACAAAAAAATGGAACTTTTAATCACAAAAAAAAAATTAAATATATTTTAAATGTATTATTCTTTCATTTGTATATAAATTTGTGGAAAAAAAAATATAATGCAACTTCTCTATTATAACATTGTTTTTTTTTATTTCATTTATAAATTTACATTGAAATAAAAAAGGTACTGGGAGCATGTTCGTTTTCTCTCTTTGTAAAGTGAGAGTGGTCAATTTCATGACAGTATTGCTCAGTCCATTATCGATGTCTATAGTACAACATGCCAGTGTAAATATTAACATTCCGACATTTCTTTGACATGCACACAGCATTCATAATATTATTAGCAACTAATGTAATATGTATCCTCGCTTCGATGAAGAAAAAAAAGGACTGCTTTGTAATTACATATATCTATGTAAATAAAAATGAAATGCTGTTCACATAACTATAGAAATCCTGGACCAAATTTTTTGTTTTTTAAAAGAAAATATGTAAAATTGAGACATACGGGAAAAATAATTTTCTTTTAGAATAATTTTAGAGTTTTTATGAATTTAAAGATTAAAAGTATTTAAATTTGAACAAGAGTAAGTAATAACATACGTGTATATAAATAAAATATCAAGTGTAGTGCATCCGGTAAGTCTCAAAGCACGAGGTAGTGTAGCTAGTATGTTTGCATTTACAGTGTCAAGTGTAGCACATCTAGTCAGTCTTGAGCGACGAGTGTAGCTAGTACGTGTGTATATACTATATACACTATCAAGTGTAGCGCACCTGGCTAGTATTGAGTGGCAAGCGCAGCTTTAGTCAGTTTTTTAATCGCAGAGACAAAACTGACATTACGTGGGTTGCCAGTATTTAGCAATTCTTAAATAGTGATGTGCCACTATCGAAAATTAACGTTAATAAAATCGAGTATCGTTTTTTTATAATAAGTTATCCTGAAATAATGTGTAAGTACTTATTTGAAACGTAATAATACAAAATTAATAATGTGAATTGTAATGATACACTTCTCAATATAAAACTTTAAAGCGAAACGTCTAATAAAGACAAAAAGTTACGATTTAACAAACCGGTATCGTAGGTACAACACTGCACAATTAAAGAGCTGGCAACATTACTTGTAAATTTGACATTAAATGCATGTGTCAATTTAGTCTCTGAGATTAAAAAACAGACTATAGTATGTATGTTGCACACTTCATATAAAGTGTGAAGTGTACCGCACCTGGTCGGTCTTGAGCGCGAGGTCGCGCTGCAGCAGCGCGGCGCGGTCGCGCGCGCGCTGCAGCTCGCGCCGCGCCGCCGCCGCGTCCGCCTCGTGCGCGCCGCGCCGCGACCGGCACCACTCGTTGTCGCACTCGCCCCTGCGTATCGACAGGCCATGCTTATTACTATCTATACAGATAAATAAAATTCAAGTGTCTGTTTTTAATGTCAAAATAACAGCGTTTTACTAAATACATGTGAAATTATATACGGTACTTATATGGATAACACAATTTTTAAAATGTTTGTCTGTCTGTTTGTTCCAGATAATCTCTGAAACGGCTGGACTGATTTTGACGCGACTTTCAATGGAAGATAGCTGATGTTAAAGGGAGTAACAGACTACTTTTATTTTAGAAAAAGAATTAGGGTTCCGGTAAAAAAAATTAAAACATACCTAATAATAATAATAATTCATTTACTTCTCCCACATGTACAATAGAATCTAATATTTATAATAAACTATATAATATGTAGTTAATCTGTATGAGGGAGAGACGGCTATCTATTTAAGCCACTGTATTTTATTATCTCGTGGCATAATTAAAGTATAATCTTTACCAAATTGTCGTGTTATTACACTCTCGTTCCGAACTATACACTATTTATAACATAATAGCTTCTCTCGCGCTAAAACTACAAAATAACTCGAAAAAGGTATGTTTCATACAAACTTTCATCCCCTATTTCACCCCTTTATGAGATGAATTTCGAAAAAATGAATGCTAAAAACGTATTTATTTAATAGTATTGAAGAGCATTAATACTAAATTTGAAGTAATTCTGATCATAAATGTTTTTTTTGATTATATTATAACGTGTTTTTCCGTAGGAATTAGATAATCTCCCGCGGTAAAAAGTCCTATGTCACTCTCCAGTCCTCCAACTATCTCCACACAAAAAATCACGCCAATCCGCCACTACGTTTCGACGTGAAAGAAAGACAAACAACACACACTTTAACATTTGTAATATTAGTATGGATTTTCTTTTTGACCAGTCATATATACATACATATAAACATCATAAACAAAGTGATATAACAAATTTCAATCGACGACTCACGTGGGCGCGCGCGAGGCTGCGGAGCGCGCGCGCTGCAGCTGGTGCTCGGCGGCGGCCCGCGCGCGCCTCTCCTCACTCAGCCGCCGCTCTAGCGCCACACGTTCACTACACAAACATACATTAATAATAATTATACTATATAATATACATGGGCACATGCACACACACACACGCACAGACATATTAGTCATTGAGCTATACAACGCTCCTCGCTCAGAAGCCGTTCTAGCACCACACGTTCGCCGCCTACACAGAATGACAAACACACAATAATAATTAAAGTATTACATATAAATGTGCACACACACCCACACACAGGCATATTAATCATCAGACTGATATATGCCGAATTTATCTTACAAAATTTTCCTTATAATTAACATTCGACAATGATATTAAAAATATAAAGTCGATAATTAACGAATGGCGTATATAAATATAAATATCAAGACCAGACCTGGGGCACGAACCCGCTTCACTCGATTATTCAAACTAGTGAGTTTCTTTCGCCGTGTTCTTCTCATGTCTGAGACTTCTTCTTTCCGAACTGGTAGTAGACTCATGACGTTCAGTAAAAATTGTAATAATTTAATGCTGAATAAAATATTTTGAATTTTGAGTGCATGACCAACGACCATTGACGACGCTATAGTAGCCCAGTGTTAACAGGCTCGCTTGGAAAACTAAGGGTTCCCAGTTCTCGCACGTTTGATAATTTTATGTGCGAATCATTTCCAACATAACCATGACCACTTATAGAGAAAGAAAACATTGTGAGGAAACCTGCACATCTGAGAGAATCAAGCCAATTTTCTTAAGACATGCAGTGGTATCACAGTCGTAACGCGCTCGCTTGGGAAAGTGAGTAAAGCGGGTTCAAATCCCAGGTCTCGCACCTCTGATATTTTCATGTGCGAATCATTTTCCAACATGATCACCACTTGTCTTACGTTGAAAGAAAACATCGTGAGAAAACCTGCATGTCTGAGGGAATCAAGCAAGTTTTCAAAAGACTTGTGAAGTCCGCCAACCCGCACTTGTCCAGCGTGGTGGACTATGACCTGATCCCCCTTTTGAAGGGAGGCCCACGCCCAGCAGTGGGCTGAACATTTGTACCTGGTGGGCAGAGCGGGTCTCGCGGCCAGCGCCCGGCGCGCCTCCGCCTCACTACTCCTCGCCGCGGTCAGCTCCTCTCGTACACGTTTCAGTTCCTCTGTCAACTCGCAGTAGGAAACCTGTGGAGATAATCATTTTAAGACTTCAACGTAAATCGTTCAGCAGACTGACATGAGACTTACATGTTTTTTAAATAACAAATAATAGATTTTTAAATTCCTTATATTTTAGTGTAAAAATCGATAAGGACGCAATTCTTCTTTCCTCTTGATAGAATTTCTAGATTTTTCAGTACTTTGAGTTGCAAAATAGATTATTTTGACCTATGTACATATGATTATAATTGTATTTTTATTTTATTTTAATAAAAGATTTTATTCACACTTGGTTTATCAGTACATATGTTCCAGTACGTACAGCCTACATCCAAGAAACTATTCGACGTCATTAGGTATATTAAAATCTATTCTAGAGGTATTGTGTATTGACTTCGTTTTGGTTATTATTATTATAGCAAGTGGATAATAAGACGTGATTGGAGAAATCATGTTCAGGCACATCAGTTCACATAAAAAAATAATTAAAGCAAACACCTCTTCCATAACATATTAATCACTAACATAAACCTTATGACTTACAATGGTAAGATTTTCAATTTCATTGACTAGGTTGGGTTTCTTCTAGAGTCTAGACCAGTGATAACCAAAGTACGGCCCGCGGGCCAACACCGGCCCGCGAAAGTATTTAATCCGGCCCGCCGAGGGTCCATCGACGTGGATAGTATATGGCCCGCTATAATTACGTTTTGACGGTCGAGAAATATAAAGTAGATTCTACTTAGGGCCGATTGTTCAATCATCGAATAACTGAACAAATAACTAACTAGCGAATTAACCGACTGATAAGAGGACAAATAAAATTATTGCATTTTTCAATGGCCAGATAGCAAGCGAATAGTTATCTGTGGATTTTAGTTGCCAACTGCACTGTAATATTGTGGAAGCGTGAAACACGCATACGGTGTAATGTATGTTAGAAGAGGATAGCAAATGCTTTGACGAATGCGTTTGTTTAACGTTTACTGTCAGTTAATTTAACTGTCACTTTCTTTAACTGTCAGTAAATTTAACTGTCAGTTAGTTTAACTGTCAGTTAGTTTAACTGTTAGTTAGTTTAACTGTCAGTAAGTTTAACTGTCAGTTAGTTTAACTGTCAGTTAGTTTAACTGTTAGTTAGTTTAACTGTCAGTAAGTTTAACTTTCAGTTTTTTTTTACGGTCAGTAATGTAACTGTCTGTAAGACTGTCAGTTTTATTAACACAGGTCTGTAATGCTGTAATGTTATTATAACATTATGATTAAAAGCTTTAACACAAAATGCATTTTTTCTATAATTCTGGCCCTCCTCTAGAATTTCTTAAACTTTGTGGTCCCCCATTAAAAAAGTTTGCCCACCACTGGTCTAGACCATTCTTTGAAACATTTAAAAAAATTAAACATAATTTTGTAAACTCAAGATTACCGATACTCACCATTAACCATTTTTCACGTTCTTTAACCTCTTCTTCTTTTATTTTTCCTTTTTCTTCTCTTTTATCTTTCTCTTTTTCTTTGTGACTATTGCTATCTTTATTACTCTTTACACACTCTTTTGTACTTTCTACTTCTTTTTCTTTAACTACAAATTCTTTTGCTGAAACAATAATATCGCAAATGGTGAACTTTACTTTGGGAACTACAGACAATGCTCTTTGAAATACTAACATCGATTTTTTTTTACTAAATGAATATAAAATTATATTCGGTACTTATAATCATATACGGTATTATATTAATACCATCATCCTCTATTGGATGCGACTAAATTGACAACGAAATAAATATTTAAATACAGTTTATTTTTACTTTTCCACAGTTTTTATATCAAATGATATATCGCTAATATGGTGAAGAAAGATGACGTGAGGAGCATGTCTAAGATAATCTAAATATTTCACGAAAAACGTGCGAGTCCGCAGCGCACTTGGTCAGCATGGTGGAATATGGCCTGATCTCCTTCGCATTAAAGGGAGGCCCACCCCCAGCAGTGGGACGTTAAAAAGAGCTGAATACAATACATATGTACATACTTATAGCTTACATCTCAATACAAACTTTCATCCCCATTTTCACCCCCTAAAGGGATGATTTCCGGGATAAAAAGTATCCTATGTCCTTTCCAGGGTATCAAACTATCTTCTTACCAAATTTCATCTGAATCGGTTCAGTAGATCCAGAGATTACCCCCTACAACGTCACAAACTCACAAACTTTACCTCTTTATAATATTAGTATAGATATACTCACTTTGTTCTGTACTCTTATGACTATCGCTGCTATCCTTATCTTTATTTTTATGTTTTTTCTTGTCTTCTCTTACAGTACTAGCCTCTTTCTTTTCACACTTCACCGGCTTTCCGCCGCCTGGAAACATTCATTATTTTTATTATTGAGCATTTACATAATATAATAGAATGTTTTAAGGTTTAGTATACATTTCTGAGATATTTTCCCGCAGTAAAAAGTATAATCAAAATCAAATTTCATCAAAATCTGTCCATTGTTTTTCTCATGATGCATTCCCAGACAGACAGATAAAAATACAAAAAAAAAAATAGATTCAGCCTCAGTATCGATAATAATGACTATTTCTATAACATTGTCCAAAAAATATTTAATGTACACATTTGGCTTAGTTAGAATTTTGTTATATGTATATATATAAAGTTACCCTTTGCGTCGGTGCGGTCGTCCGCGTCGGGCGCGCCGGGCCCGCCGGCGGCGCCGTTGCTGTAGGGCGCGCGCGGCGCCTTGTCCTTCGTGCCGTTCCTCTCTAGCTTATCTAACTGGAATGTTTTGTTATTCATTCAATTCATTAACAATAATAATATACTTTTTACAAAGTTACATAACATAAACAAGAAGCGTAAACTTACATAATTATAAATAAATCCTTAAATTATAAATTAACTCAAAAAATTTGGTAAATAAAATTAGATCGGATAATTTAGAACCTACATGAACTGGGTTAAAAACCTGTGTCTCAGGTTATAACTAATACTTAATTTAAATTAAATCAAACTTCATACTTAATTAGATTTACACGAATATTTGATATTTTCACAAGTCCAAGGGATTGCAGACCTGAGTATTTGATATTAATTTCAACTCAAAACCGCTACGCGTTCCAGAGAAAAAGAGTTGACAGACAGATAGACAGGCGGACAACGAGGGAAATCCTATAAGGGTTTCTTTTTACCTTTTTAAGTACGGAATTAAAAATGTAGATTCCTTACGTTCGTATGAAATAAAACTGCCGTTAACTGCCTTGGTGGTGTAGTGGCAAGCATGTACGGTTGCACACCCGGAGGTCCTGGGTTCGAGTCCCGGGTCGGGCCAAGTTTAGTTATTGAGTCTTTCTGTATATTGAGCCTCAGTTACAGCCCAGAGTTGGGTTGTTGGCGGTGTTTCACCCCCATGCCTCGGAGAGCACGTAAAGCCGTCGGTCCTGCGCCGACACTCTCACTGGTCGTGTCGAATGGTCGTCCCACCGGAGTATGAGAGTGACAGGAATAGAGAGTGCACGTTGTGTCTGCGCGTACACTTGTGCACTATAATATCTCCTGCGCAGTTGGCTCATCTGGCATGAGATGGGCCGCTGTGGCCGGAATCGGTCAGGAGAACATCATGAAGTAAAAATTTGTCGGCCTTAGATGTTCCACATCATCACAACATCACAACACATCAACAGAGTTAGAGTGTCGCACACCAACCTTAACTTGTATGGGGTGTTCCGCGACGCACACGCCGTTGTGGTCGCGCGCGCAGCGGCGCCGCACCGAGCCGTTCATGTGGCGCGCGTCCGCCGCCGGCCCGCTCGTGTACTCCGCCTTACACTCTTCCTTTTGAGCATTCTGGAATACATTATTTTATTATTATATCTATACTAATATTATAAATGTGAAAGTTTATTAGTATGGAGGTATGTTTCTTACTCTTTCACGCAAAAACTATTGAATGGAATTTGATGAAACTTTACACTAATATAGCTCATACAACAGAATAACACATAGACTACTTTGTATTCCGGAAAAATGTACAGTTCCCTTGGGATAGATTTGTTTTTGTTTTTCTAGAGTTTTAAAATAAAAATATCTTTGATGTTTTTGGCTGATTTAATTTTGATTTTTGCTTCCCAGTGTTTCAAATGCTTTACGGCAATCATAATCACTGGAGACTCTCTCTCCGAGTCTTTCCGCGAATCCAAATCAAAAAAATAACGAAAAGATAGTTTCATTGAAAATAACCAAAATAAACATAAACTCAGTATGGCAGGAGTATTAATTTATAATCTACTAATATTATAAAGATTCAGAGTTTGTTTGTTTGAACGCGCTAATCTCAGAAACTAACCCGATTTGAAAAATTCTTTTTGCATTAGAGAGCTTGTTTATTGAGGAAGGCTCATATCATATATTATATATAGTCTATCTATTCCATACTAACCGTTAAAACATACATAGGGACGAATCCGAGCGAAGGTCGCTAGTATATAATCTATACATATAATAAAATTGTAACTAAGCCGAATCTGTACATTAAATATTTTTTGAAATTTTTATCGAAATAGACCTTATTATCTATACAGAGGCCGAATCTATAATTTTTAGAATTTTCGTCTGCCTGTCTGTTACCGCATCACAGAAAAACAACTGGACGGATTTTGATGAAATTTGGTATGGTGATTGCTGGTTATCCGGGTCAACATATAGGATACTTTTTACCGCGGGAAAATATCTGAGAAAAAAATACAAAAACTGTAATGTAAAAGTATACTGATATGCAAAACCTAAGAATTTGGTTTTTGATCATCTGAACGCGGGCGGAGCCGCGGGCAATGCTAGTAAAGTATATAATCATAAAATATGCGAGACCTTTGGCGACAGTAAGTATACAAGTTTACACGACATTATTTATGTACAATTTAAAAAAAACAATCATAATTTATATCTCACAGCACTATGAGATATTTATGAAATTAATTATTTTTTACCTCTAACAGTGCACTCTCTGGCAATGCATCTCGCAACAACTGAAAGTAAAACTCATTCTCTGCGCGCACCTGCCTCTGCCGCCTGAGCCTCAGGCGTTGTCCCACATACGCCTGCAAATATAAAATTACTAGCAGGACCCGCGGATTCGCTCTCGCAAAAATATAAAAAAAACTCTAAAAAAGTAGGTTTCATACAAAACATTCAACCTCTATTTTACCCCCCTTATGGGATGAATTTCGAAAAATGCTAAAACACGTATTCGTTTAATTGTATTGAAGAGCATTTATACTAGTTTCAAATAATTCTGATCGTAAATATTTTTTTGAGTTGTATTATAACTTCTTTTCCCATGGGAATAGGATAATCCCCCGCGGTAAAAAGTAGCCTATGTCACTCTCCATACCTCTATCTCCACACAAAAAAAAACACGCCAATCCGTTACTCCGTTTCGACGTGAAAGAAGGACAAACAAACAAACACACTTTCACATTTATAATATTACTATGGACTATGGATATTACAGGGTATGAAATTATAAAGACAAATAAGTCTTTTGATAATTATCGCGATAATTATCAGATAATTATCCGATAAATTATCTAACAGATATAAACTTAACAATCCTTGTATAGGTATTGGTATTTGACTACTTGCCTATCATAATTTACGTTAGGTAAATTATACACTTTTAACAATCAAGGTAATCTTTTATAATTTTTTTTTTCATAATTTTGATTTTTAACACATACAAATTTGGAAATAAAAACAGAATAAATTTAACCAACTATATAGACAGTATTTAACTAAATTAAAGGTTATGTGGTGCGATGTGAAGATCATTAACAAAAAAATAATGCCACAACCATTTGTTGAAAAAAAATCTGTATAATTTGTTACGACCATTGTTTTATTATCAACTAAGTGACTCACCCTCGCTTGCTCGGGTTCGTTACTAGCTTGATTCCCCATACAAACTTTCATCCCCATTTTCACCCCCTTAAGGGATGATTTCCGGGATAAAAGTCCTATATAAGATCCTATGTCCTTCCCAGGGTCTTAAACTATCTTCTTACCAAATTTCATCTAAATCGGTTTAGTAGATCCAGAGATTACCTCCTACAACGTCACTAACTCACAAACTCATAAACTTTGCCTCTTTCTAATATTAGTATAGTCCGATATTATAATAGAAAAAAACCTTTTGCTTTTTACTGATTTTTTGACGATATGTTTGGCTCAGTTTGCAGGGTTCCAGCCTCGCTGGGAGCATTCATTTGTGTGATGAGCGCAAATGTATACACTCCAGTCATGCGTGTTCATGTATTTTATAATATTTATGTATTTAAAGTTATATATATGTAGTGTATCAACTATGTGGTATCCATAACAGAAGCCTCGTACCTTTTTTTTTATTAGAAATGGGCTCACTCTTGACCTTCATCTTAGCTCGAAGGCACAGATAAGGTCTACGATCTAGCGAGTTTGCCCAGGAGAAGCCTGTTAACACGCACCTTAAATAGATTCAGGTTATAAGCACTCGGAAAAAGCTTGTCATGAAACAAGATGGTGCTGTGTGTTAATGTCCCAACATATTTATATTTACTGATATAAACTAAATACTTTTACGCATTCTGTTTTTAAATAATCACAAAAGTTCATAATAATAATCATCATAAATCATAATTTAATACAAAAAGTTGGCATCAATATTTATAATCCAAACTAATAATTTGTATTTTTTGACATCTCATTTGACATCATTTCATCAAAAGCAGTGGTAGCCCAGTGCTAACGTGCTTGCTTGGAAACCCAAGTGAAGCGGATTCAAATCCCCGGTCTCGCTCCACTGGTATTTTCACGTGTTAATTATTTCAAACATAATTACCATGTCTTACGATGACGGAAAACGTGAAACCTACATGTCCGAAAGAACTTAGCAAGTTTTTAAAAGACATGTTAAGTCCCCCAAGTGATCAGCGTAGTTGACTATACCTTCGCAATAAAGGGAGGCCCGTGCCCAGCAGTGAGACGTTTAAAAGGACTGAAGACAATACCTACATCAAAATCAAAAACTATATATTGATACTAATATTACCTTAACACCAAACCCGAGTGACAGCACGGGGTAGCCGAGGCAGTGCGCCGCCAGCGGGCGCCACAGCTCGAGCGGCACCGTGCGCGCGCGCACCACGCCCTCCGAGTACACCACCAGGCAGCACAGCGCCACTGTTGGCAGGCATATGCCTTTGTCTGCGACTGTACATGCAATCACACACGTTATTAACTAATCCGCAATAATACTTTATTAGATTTACGTGAATATTTGACATTTTAAATAAAGCTATCTTTTCGATTAATTCGCGGATTTATGTTGATTTTTGATTCTCGACTTTGCACCACGAGAAAACTGCTGGACAGATTTTGGTGAAATTTGGCATGATGATAGCCGATTCTGATCCAGGTCAACATATACGATACCTTTTACTGCGGGAAAATATCTCATCTCTGAGAAACCTATACTAACCATTACAACATTCCTAGAGATAAATCCAAGAGGAGCTAGGGTGAGTTTTTAGTATATTATCATATAATCTGTCAGGATCACAATAAAAAATGTGATTCCATATTTATTAATATAAACAACTATTTCATTTTTCATTCATCAGATTAAAACTAAAAATCAGTACAGATTGTGTTTAAAAGAGAAGTAAATTTCATAAAATAAATAGCATTTCTATAATAATTGTAAAATGTCTATCTAATTAGACTAAATCCAATAAGTCTGTATAGAAATTAATCTTATATTTGATATAAAATATATAAACATTTATTACTTACATGTGTACAACACATACTGTACCCATACATAGGTACTAGCAGCAAAGAACACATACTCTAGTGGTACAAAAAAGAAACATATCATGTCGGATGTCAATGCTATACATATGAAGAACACTGAAGATGCCTGCAAAAAACATTCTTTATTAATATAAAGTATAACAAAGTGAAGTCAACTATATTCAAAACATTTAACATTATATATGACATTCAAACAAATAAAAACTTTTTAACAAAAAAATAAAAACCGACTTCAAACAAAAGCACTAAAAAGTCAAAAATAACTGATTGGTAGTTTTCATTTACTATACATACCTAATCAAATATTTTCGAAGTCGGTGTGCTTTGGCTAAGTAATTAAAGCCTACCTATTAAATATATACCTAATCAAATATTTTCGAAATCGGTGCCAGCCCATATAAAGCAAAGCACACCGACTTCGAAAATATTTGATTAGGTATGTATAGTAAATGAAAACTACCAATCAGTTATTTTTGACTTTTTAGTGCTTTTGTTTGAAGTCGGTTTTTATTTTTTTGTTAAAAAGTTTTTATTTTTCCCTTTTTAGTGTACACAGTAGTAGCGAAGTAATAATTCTAACGTGTTAGGCTTGTCAAATCAAACAAAATAAGCCCAAACTCAAAGTATCTACTATTAGCCGTTAAAGAGTTCCACCTATCCACCTTCTGGCCTTACCATAAGATCAGGTCAATAATACCGAACCACTGTACTATCAACGGAAATAGAAACACTTGCAAATTTAAAGTTAATATGACAATTAGGAGTAGGTTAAATTCATCATTAGCTATTTTTCCACCCTTAGGGGTGGTATTTTTTTTGAAATTTAAATGGGACCAATCTGGAAGTATACCCTTTCAAACAACACAAAAATTGTCCAAATCGGTTAATAAATGACGGAGTTCTGAGGTAACAAACATAAAAAAAAATACAGTCGAATTGAGAACCTCCTCCTTTTTGAAGTTGGTTGAAAATATCTACAAATCGATATCATGAAATAAAACAAACTTTATTGACAAGCTTAGTCTTACATTATATGTGTAAGTACATATGTGCTTTTTTTTATTTATGTATTTCTATATACTTACAACACCATGGTATTTGAATGAATCATAAACTGATTTGATCATCATCCAGAAGGGCCACAAGAATTCAAATCTGAACTCCAGCATATAGTCAGCCAAGACCACTGTTGCCCAAAGCATTATGAACTTCAAATACAACAGAGAACTGGAAAAAACGATTTTATATTTATCTTGTCTTTAAAAAAAATTGTAATAGATTTTACACACAAGAATAATAGAAATGCCTATAACTTTCATCTCATTCAATTCAATTTGAAATAAAATAACTGAATATTTTATTTCTTTTAGTCATAATATCTACTCTAAGCTCTGTTCGCCAGATGGTGCCTGTAGTCCATATATTTTGGTATGCACTAAACTTATTAAAAAGTTTATTAATTAGAAAACATTGCTGTTATTGTAGGATCCTGAAAATTCAAGAAAATTATGATACGAATAAAAAGCGCTTCCACTCACTTTCCATACATTCCTTCGTTGAGTTTGTTGCGCTTTACGGGGCGCCGCATCTTGCCGGATTCGGCATTTCGCCTCTTCATATTTTTTCCTCCACTATGTTAATAACTAGTACAGGCTCTCCGCTTAGAATACTATTTTACAGCAAAACATTTAGGAAAACAATACTCAGTACGGTGGAGCTTTTTGTTGTCAATCGGCCTATGTCCAGAATTTACGAGGGAGATGGATGAATTATCGGCAAGCTCTTGCGTTCACTCACAAATAGTGATGTACTAGAATTTACGTAGATAAAACTAAAATGCTGTTAATAATATTTTACGGAAGAGATATTATCATAGTTCTATTTCTTAGATACCATTGAATAATATTATAAATTAAATTTAACTTGTTAGCATATCTTTTAGTAGAAATTAATGATCGAAGTGTGATTGAAATAAAAATCTAAATATCACACAAAATATCACTTTACGTGTTTGATTAATGGGGAAGAATTTTGCGTTTTTTTCCGTCAGATGTCGCGGCTACTATAACCCTCATTATATATTAGAGCTCTATAGCGTGGATGGATTTTTTTTCATATTATTTTAAATTCAATTAAAATGACAAATTGTACAGTGCCAGGATGCAAAGAAAATGGTTATCCTTTAGACAAAAACTGAAAAACTTGGGGACTAAAGTTATAAAATGACAGAAATTGATGAAATCACAATCTTAAGCTATGTGAACATCATTTTAAAGAAAGTAAGCTTAAAATTCTTAAATCCTCTATAGGTGAATATTTTTTTTATTTATTGTACTTTTTTACATATCAATTACAATGCAATTAATTAAATGCTCAAACATATTTTATTTAATTGTATTGAAGAGCATTAATACCAAGTTTTAAATAATTCTGATCATAAACCATTCTTTGCCCATATAAACTTTATTACCCTCTTTTACGCCTATAAGGGATGAGTTTCTAAAAAAATATAATAAATACTCGTATATTTCTTATTTTTTATCTCATAGCTAAACACCACTTTCTGTGTACAATTTTACATTAAATATGAATGAGTTTCATACAATCTTTAATCCCCTATTTTACCCACTTAAGGATGATTTTCTAAAAAAAAAATTATCGGATGCCTCCATCATAATAAAAGGAATACGTCCTCTAAATTTTACACTTCTACGATTAGCGGCTTAGGCTGTGTGTTGATCCATTAGTGAGTCAGGACCAACACAAGACGCACTTCTCCTTCCAAATTTTTCTTTCAGCTGGTCTAATTTCCAAGTACAATACATTGCACAGGTAATATGGGAACACAATATGAGCAAAAAGTCAGATATAAAAAAATATGAAATATATTCCTAAACCACAGACTGAATATAAACAGGCCATACGTGTGGCGCTCTCGTTTCGAAAAATCTTCCCCATTAATGACATATTATTTTATTTATTTTTAACCAACTTCCAAAAAGGAAGAGGTTATCAATTCGTCAGAATCTTTTTTTATGTATGTTCACCGATTACTGGAAGACGCCTGAACCGATTTGGATTTTTTTGTTTTAAAGGGTATACTTTCCAAAAAATTGTTTTAAAAAAACAACAATATATTACTTTTTTAAATAATTTTTTTTATCGAATATGTTATTAAAAAACTTCCGTCTTCCAAATTACCTACTTCCCACGTCTACGTTAAGGCTGGAATAATAAGAACTTAAAAAAAATCCCGACCTCCAGGCGGTAAAACGTAAAAAATAACTAAATGGGGATTTTCATTTAGAACAGATATCTAATCAGATATTTCCGAACCGACCGTGATGATATATGATAATCATAGCGATAGTGTATTATCTCCGTGATGATAATAAAAAATGATATGTATCAATAAAATAACAATGTGTACATAGCTATTTTAGTGTTGTACAATTTAAATCAATGTCATTGTCAACGTCAAGTGTCACATGTCATGGTCAATATTAGAATTTTTAAAAGAAAACTTTAAACTTTTAGTTTTCACTTTTCACTGAACTGAGCTGAATTTCTGAAATATGAACTTCACCTAATTATTTATTATAAGTACGTGTATATAAATTATATCATTAACATTGAAAAAACCAAATATTGCATAAATAAATACAAACGTAGCACCTCATATTAGTTTGTATGATAAATACCAATAAGAATTATTATCCTTATTGACAATAATATATCTGGATATGTTGATAAAAATGTAACAATTACCTACATATATTTTTCTTCTATAAAGCAGTGGAATATATTTATTAATTAGCATATATATTACAACATTTCCAAGAAAGTATTTTTATGATATTTCCCTTCATTTATTTAGGTATTATATTATGTTCAATTCAGGAAAAAGTAGAGGATATGTTATTATTTTTTAATATAAAAAAACAATGTTTATCTTTTGATTAATAGAACAATCAAGAAAGAAACAAAGATAATGCCTTCAAGAAATATCTTAGAATTAACCAGACAATATTTAAATTTAAATCATATATATGTTCATGAAGCTTGGTTAATCGAGTAAGTATATATGATATTTGTTTGTATATTTAGTATGTACCGAAGTATAATGGGGTTAAATTATATTTTTAGAGACAAATGAATTAATATTGATTAGAAAAATCAGGGTATAAATTTATAAATAATGTTAATCTAAAATTTTAGATGTCTTGAACATTTCCTTGAGTCTTACACAGAGAGAGATATTGAAATAATTCAAAGTAATGTTAAAGAGCAATGGTTTCTAAATGACTTAAGAGAGATTTGTCCTGGATGTTTGCCTGCAAAACTGAAATATATAGAAGAAACTACATTACCTTCTGTATATGTGCTTCAAATAAATTATCTTTATGATATTGGTTTGTATAAATATATTTAAAATGAAATATGTTTTCATCTATTAAAGTGAAAGTTCTCAATACCAGAAAAGATCTTGACATGATTGGATAGTTAAGAAAATGTGGTTTTTTTAAATTAATTTATAAAATACTCAACTCACAGGACGACCCGCTTACCAGCAATATTTGGAGCTTAAAAATGTTGATACTGAAAATATTGAAGCCACTAAAACATATGAGGAAAAAATACCAGCATGTCGGTCAGTATTCTGAAAATACTTTTAATTAATAATTTTAATAGAGTTACATATTCATAATTCTTTTCTTTTTACACACATATTCTTTTTCTTCTTCATATACAGCTTTTAGAGCAACAAGAGCAACTGTTGAGTTTCTCGCTGGCTCTTTCTAGTAGAATTGTCTTCCGAGCCGGTGGTAGATTCCTCACGGACTGACTACACTGACTTAATTTAAATTTAAAATGTAAAATTGACGATTCAAAAGTGCTTGTAAAAGTCTATTTGAATAAAGTATGATTTGATTTGATTTTGATTTTCCGCACTTAGCAGATTTGCGCGTTGTACGTGAGCTTGTGCTGTTCAGTGAGTTTTTCTTTCCACCCCAGGGCATCCCAGTAGTCTAGTAGGCTGCCGGTGTTTTGGAAGATTTGTGGGAGTAATCTCCTGGGACCTAGTTTATGTTTATTTAAATTACTAAAATAGTCAATTTTATTAAAACAACAAAATTATAACACACTCTTATGTATGAATGACTCTGAAACTTAATGATTTTAGAGTAACAATTAGCATTGCCCGCGGCTCCGCCCGCGTTCAAGTGACTAAAAACTAAATTCTTTTTCTTATTTTTTCTTAGAAATAAGATATTTTCCTGCGGTAAAAAGTATCCTGTATTTTGACCCGGATAACCAGCTATCATTATACCAAATTTGTCCAGTGGTTTTTTCGTGATGCGGAACAGACAGACAGACAGACAGACAAAAATTCTAAAAACTATAGATTCGGACTCTGTATCGATAATAATGTCTATTTCAATTAGATTTTCCAAAAAATATTTAATGTACAGATTCGACTTAGTTACAATTTTATTATATGTATAGATATAAAATATAACCATTGCTTCTCGCTTATCACTTAGAAAATTAGGATTCCGCAACTACATAGAAGAAACCTTAATTTTCATACTTTACTATAAATCTGTTTATTTTGACAGTATTATATTTTACGTTTAGGCGAATACAGTTCTTAGTACCTTATTTATATTGGGAAATTAATTTACGCATACCACCTGTATATATATACAGGTGGTGACGTCAGACTCACCGGTTAGAATGCCAGTACTACCCACTAAAACCCAACAAAACCTGCCCCGTCTTCATGAGGCGTCGCACGATCGCTTGCGCAGTCAACCACGACGCTCCGACGGCAGGTCTACCGAAACAGACCACACAACCAATGGCTTGCTCCTACGGCCCAATCTGCTGTCAGAGAAGTACCAGTAGCAACCCGCAAGCCTAGTGTTTCTCTTGGCTCTACTCCTGGCTGCATTGCCAGACACGAATGAGCCCCCTCTCCCCACACGACAAGGTGAACACACCTCGGCAGGACAGTTCTTAGTGCCTACTTAGTAGGTAAATGAAGCATATTATAAGTATACATGATACATCATAACTATGCGAAATGAAAAGAGCGAGAGCTTGTGAGCGAGTGAGCATATGTTACTTCTTTATTCTTTAATTGTAAAGACAAAATGGATTTTGGTGACATTCAAAATAGTTGTAGCTTACATCCTAGATTTTTTATCATCCAAATGGATCCGCGGGCAAAGCTAGTTAAATCTAACACAATTAGAGCATGTTGTGTTACGGAAAACATGCTTTAATAGTCAGACTTGCAATTTTTTTTTTAGAATTAATGTTTATTGTTGCAGAATGTTGAAAATTATTATGACTGATGGTGTACAAGAGGTAACTGGTATCGAATACAAAACTATAAGAAATCTAAGTGTCAACACTATTCCAGGAAGCAAAGTGCTTATTAAAGGTAAAAACAACCTACATCCATTACTCGTAGTGAATTCTCTCTTTTAGATTTGTCACAGTTATTTTTTTGAATATAATTTCCATCTGTAAAATGAAACGCTCCCTTGGTTAGTAGCATGATGATATATAGCTTATAGCCTTCCTCAATAAACGGGCTATCTAACGCAAAAAGTATTTTCCAAATCGGATTAGTAGTTACTGAGATTAGCGCGCTCAATCAAACAAACTCTGCCTCTTTATAATATTCGCGTAGACTAAAACGTACATATGAAAGTTATGTTTTAAATTTAGCATACAATGTGGGGAAAACTGTCATAAATACAGTGAACTTATTAAATAAATATGCCATTATGTTCTTTTAAGATAACTAGCATTTCCCGCGGATCCGCCCGCGTTCAGGTGACCAAAAACCAATTTTTTAGGTTTTACATATTAGTATACTCTTGCATTGCAGTTTTTGTATTTTTTCTCAGAAATGAGATATTTTCTCGCGGTAAAAAGTATCCTGTTTGTTGACCCGGATAACCAGCTATCACCATACCAAATTTCATTATAATCCTTCCAGTGGTTTTTCTGTAATGTGGTAAAAGACAGACAGACAAAAATTCTAAAAACTATAGATTCGGCTTCTGTATCGATAATAATGTTTATTTCAATAAGATTTTCCAAAATATATTTAATGTACAGATTCGGCTTAGTTACAATTTTATCATAATATGTATATATTACGAAAAGAAACATAAGTATTTGCATTGAATCTACAGTAAACTATGTAAAGTTACGCCCACTTCGATGACGTATCCCTAGATCTGTAATTTCAATGTAGACTTACAGCTTGTTTTTATTCATCTTTCATAACCTCCTAAGCTTTTCCCTGAGCGCTATAATATGGGGCTCTTCAAGATTCGCGTTTTCAGGCCCTTTAAAAGTCAGCAACGCATTGGCAATAGGGAATATGCGTGTGATTTAACTATAGGTGAAATATATATTCTTTTAATAATCTTTATTGCTTTATTGCTAGTTGAAACGCACGTCATTGGTCAGACCAAATATGATGTCAAAGTATTATCATAACAGAGCGATTAGCGATTTTGTCGCTACACACAAGTCTTAATTTTTCTATCTATGATCTATGATACGTTACACCAAGCGCGAGAAATGGCGTTCAGAGTATCCGTATCGGATTGATATTTTTAGCAAATAGAAACCAGACAGACAGACAAAAATTCTAAAAACTCTAGATTCGGACTCTGTATCGATAATAATGTTTATTTCAATAAGATTTTCCAAAAAATATTTAATGTACAGATTTTACTTAGTTACAATTTTATTATATGTATAGATGCTAGCTAAACTTAAAAAAAAAATTACGGATATTCCTCATTGCTCTCATATCTGCAAATGTGTATGAGTGACGATAGCCCCCTACCATCAAGCGGATAGTTTGCTTAATGCCCCTTTTTCAAAAAAAAGGAAATACATTTTCCAGGTCCAGTGAAGTGTCGCAAAGGGACACTCTTACTAAGTGACGGGAACTGTCAAGTGTTGGACGGAGAGGTGGAGTCTCTGATGAATGACAACTGTCAAAGTGCACTGCTTGCTAGGAAACTGGGCCTACAAAATGTACCAGGTAGTGGTAAGTTTTTCCCTTAAATAACATTTTTTACCTGAATGTATGGGAATGTAACAGTATACTTACAATATCTGTTTCTGTAGTAGCTAAGAAGCTCTGTAAAATAGTTTAAAATAATTGTAATAATCATGTAATTAGTTAATTTTAAGAAATTTTGTATGTAAACCTAACAGAGACGACAAAGCTCTTAAATAAAAACGACGTTTTTAATGTTGGGAAATGCATTTACACGTACATATACAGTGGTCACCTTGCTTGAGGAATCAGGTGAAGCGGGTTCAAATCCCAAATCTCGCATATTATATATCATCATAAAGAAACCTCCATGTCTGAGATAGGAAGTTTTCGAAAAACATGTAAAGTCCGCCCCGCACTTGACCAGCGTGGTGGACTATGGCCTGATTCCCCTCGTATTGTAGGGAGGCCCACCACCAGCAGTGGGACGTTATAAAGAGCTTATTTTACAAAGCTTAGAGTAGCGCGTAGAGTATTTCGATTTATGCACAGAGTACAAGATTTTAAATAAATTAATTTTAATCTGTGCAGGTCCGAAGGCAACAAATCAATCGAGAATCAACCAACCTGCGCCTGTTTGTAAGATGCCTGTGCCTCCATCTGCATCTTCGATATCCTCTGAATTTCCTTCAACTTCTAGGACAGCTCCGGCTGTTTCTAGAACTACTGAATCAGCTACTTTTAAGGCACCAGCTTCAAGACCTGACTTTTTTAAAACACAAGAATCCGAATTAGCCTTTGGAACAGCTACAACTTCTTCTAGAACAGAATTAGCTACTTTTAGTGAGCCAACACCTGCTAGTCGGCCTTCAAGACTTGACACTTTTGAAACAGAAGGTTCCGAATTCGATGCGTTGGATATTGACATCGATCCCAGTGAAATAGACAAAATCGAGGCTCAATACAGTGGTGGAGTTAGAAGATTGTCAGATGACGTGACCATGCAACCAGAAAAAAAAGTTAAAATAGACCGAAGTGATGAATTCCCGATTGATGATGATGATGTGATATGTCTTGAAGATGAGGAAAATCTCAGTGACCACGAAATTTTCTTTGATCTAAATGGGCCAATGAAAAAAGAAATCTATACTATAAATGAAGTAAACAACACAAAAGATAAGAATGGTAAAATCTTCATAGTGAAAGCTAGGATTTTAACAATGCTTTCGAAATTATCTCTCTCCAAAACCGCGTGGAAGTCGAGCTGTACGTTGACAGATGAGAGTGGCAACATTGACGTGGAGTTGTCCAACGAGGCCCTCGAGACGGTCGTCGGTTACACGCCTAGCCAAATGTACATTATGAAGAAGCAGTTGAAAACCCAACCGGAACTTAATGAAAAAATCAAATTGGTAAGTGCTATGAGCATTTATTTCTTACTTTAAAAAACTCTGTATCATTTTTTAGCTCGATCCGGAATTTAAACCCAGAACCTTATAATCTCCAGCCATATATATTGGGTTAAGAAAAAATCCCATCATTAAATTTATTTACACGAAATTCGTATATAAAGAGTTTCATATAGTTAAATAAAAAGTATAGAAAAACTAAACTGTATGTTATGTAACATTTTACATTGCTCAAAGTTCAAAGAGATCATAACGCTAATTGTTAATTGTATATTTTATATTTATTTACAGATACTAGTACAGGCGAAAGAAAAATTTCAAGTCCTACATTGTAAAATGAAAATAGAATTCAAATCGCCCACAGACAACCCGACAGTGACTGAATTTATTGATTTATAGGATATACTAGCATTGCCCGCGGCTCCGCCCGCGTTCAGATGACCAGAAACCAAATTCTTAGGTTTTATATATTAGTATACTCTTAGACTGCAGTTTTTGTTTTGTTTTTTTCTCAGAAATGAGACATTTCCCCGTGGTAAAAAGTATCCTATATGTTGACCCGTATAACCAGCTATGACCATAACAAATTTCATCAAAATCCCTCCAGTGGTTTTTCCTGTGATGCGGTAACAGACAAATAGACAGACAAAAATTCTAAAAACTATAGATTCGGACTCTGTATCGATAATAATGTTTGTTTGAATAAGATTTTCCACAAAATATTTAATGTCCAGATTCGGCTTAGATACAATTTTATTATATGTATAGATTAACAGTTAGTATGGAATAGATAGTGGATTCCTTGCTCTGTGTAAAACAAAAATAAATCTATCCCACAGGAACTGTAAATTTTTTCGGGATAAAAGGTAATCTATGTGCTATTCCAGACTATAACCTATCTCTATGCCAAGTTTCATCCAGATCCGTTCAGACATTCTGGCATGATTAAGTAACAAACATCCATCCATCCAAACCTCCGCATTTATAATATTATAATGCGAAGGGATTATAAGCAAGTAGAATCTGCAATCGGTATTTCTAATAGAAACCTATAAACTATTCGCGTGTGCCATATCCTAACAATGTGAAGAAGTGCTTTTCATTTTTTTTTCTTTTCTTTGCATTTCTATAAACCATGGGATGATGGGGGTAAGGACAAACGACTTTTTAATTTGTAAATTAAAACTGTTTACGTTTATTTGGATTTGACATTTATCAGCACCCTGAGTGTTAGCGTTAACACGTCACGTGACCATGTCGATGACGACTTACATGAATTTACTCCCCATCCAAACCTGCATATAGAAGTTTTCACTTCAAAAATCTTTCCTCTTTATAATATTAGTGTAGATTATAACTATTTTTGACCATTTTCGCCATTAAATGGGAAAAAGCTGTTGTAGATTTTGTATAAAATTATAAATCCACTTTGTATAAAACTACTTTTAAATTTAAATATAATAAATTTAACTTGTGTTCTGCTATCATACAATCTGCACTGGAGATATTTTATTTTTTAGCGTTTAAATGTTGCCAAAATTCTTAGCCGTTTAGAAACAAAAGGAAAAGGCAAGTCAAAAAAATACCATTTCTTTGAAAAAAAAAGTACTTAATAGATATTTTAGTCCCACGAAAAAAATTTTTTAATAAAAATATTGTTTAAGAGTTAATGATTCACATATATTTATTTCAAGCATTTCGGTCAAGCCATAAACGAGAAGTACGCTTTAGAAAGTACCTCTTTGAGGGTACTAATCGCCTTAAACAGCGTTTAGCTTAAACTGGGCGCGCTTCTGTCGAACGCCGGTGCACCCTGGTAGTCGCTAAAACTTGGCTAATATATTTTTTAAATAATTAGGTTTCGGTGCAAAAAAAAGTCAGTGGACAAAATCCGCGTAGGTAGTAATCTAGGGATGCACCCAAGCGAATCGAGGATAAGTTGTTTGTCTACCTATATGGAAATACCTATATTTAAAAAATCTGGTTGATATTGTGTGCAGTGTGCAATCTGTTGAACAACAATAAAAAGTGTCCGCTAAATAAAAACGGATAAAAAATCAAAAAGGCAATGATATGACAAAAACATTTATTCTCACACCTAAAAGCTTGTATGATACATACATCTTTACATAAACATCATTTTGTGAATACATTCATACAATCACATGACATCACTGCATATAAATTAAACATTGCAGTAATCAACAACTTGTCTAAGGCCTCAAATAATGGTGATATATATATTTTTTTAATCTTTATTGCTCCTGAATTAAGCCTATATTTTAATGTTAGTTTTAATTTTGTCTTTTTGATTAAGGAAACAGATATTGAAAGGTACAAAAATAGGTGGGAAATTCAATATATTTGAAACGCAACGCCATTGATCTGACAGAGAGCGCTGTTGTTTGGTGCTTTGCATTTTTCAAAAAAATTATAATTAAAAAAATTTACTTTATCGAAACTTTACCCATTTTATGCCAAATTTCGATATTAGGGCGGCCTTTTTTTTATTACGCCCAGGTTAAATTTGGCACTGCGTTTAAAGTATCCGTATCTGTATATTCTAAACAAAAGTTTTTAAAGCTGAAACAGTTTACAATTATATAACGATATAAGCTATTGTATAAAAAAACACGCATATTCTCTGTTGTGCGGGGCGCACCCTACTGTACTTACTTTTAAATGATACTCGGGAAATGCTATAAGGTCGCCAAGTATAAATGTAACTTATCATGAAGGCACTACAATTTCTGACCTTCAAAACCGTTTGTCATGAAAATTAGTATTTTTGACAACTCTAGCATTTGACAGCATTTCCATTAAAATCAATGCGCCTATTGCATAGATTTTCATAGTTTACTTATACACATAATTATGTAAAATCTAATATAAAGTACATATGAAAATTGTGACTATTTTTACAAATAATGTTCTCCTATAAAACCTATTATTCTATGCGAGTTTTAATAATACTCGACAGCGGAATCCGCGAATAAATACAAATACAATAATAATATGTAATGTTCGCGGATTCAGCTTTCGAATTAAATGCTATTTACCACAACTAGCCACGTGCTCTGAGACACTATAGTGCATTGCGACCGTGTGACATCAATCAAAAAAGTACTAGATACACAATCCCATGCAAAAGTTCTCTTAAAACTATCACCAATTGTGTTTAGGTAATTATTCTAGTTGAAATAAATGTACAACCTTTAACACAATGCTTAAAGTTGTTTTCACAAAATATATATATATTAAAAGCGCGCTTAAATATTCCAATGAGCGCTCATTCGGTGAGGATATTTTTGTCGCTGATTATATATTTAGTATGTTTTGATCGATGCCGTGTGAGAAGTTATTCTCTTTTCCTTTCCTAATAGTGAGAAGACGCAGTATTCTGCCCAGGCACGATGGCATAACAAATTATATTAAAAATGACTCTTAAACAGCTATAAAAATATTTTAAAAATATACACTTATCAATAATAAAATATATGTATGTACAATTGTAAAAAATGTAATTGTACAAAAGAAAAGAAAAATATAAAAAAATATAACATACAATATTAATAATGCACTTTTTTGTATACAGTATATTGATCCGTTATTATTTATATATAACAACACTAACATTTATTGTTCTTAATTTATTTTGTGCCTCCATACGGTTATCTATTCAAAAATTTAAGCTAATATATAAATTGTAAAATCTAAATTACATTTTTAAAACAAGTTAATTTCTAATAGTTGAGTAAATAAAAGAAATAATTTTTGACAATATACTTTTTGCCTTTTGGGTTTGCTTTAATGCTTTAAATTTAAGTTCATTTGCTATAAACCCAACTGCTTTGCATAATTCAATACCCATATAGAGAACAAGTATCATACAATTGCCCAAGTATAAGTACAAAATGAACCTTCAACCTTTATCGGAGCTCGAATTAAACCTTTATTTTATAGGGTGTCCTCCAAGTTTTCTACGGGTGAAACACCCGAAATTGTTTTAAACATATGGCACCCAGCTTCTGACTAGATACGTAACACAATACCAATGGCGTTGTGTGATTTCTCTTTGGAGTGAACTGACATATTAAATTTAAAAAAAAAACGGATTATTTCGCGGTTTTATTTTTGGGGACCGTGTGAGTGAGCATCTCCCGTGATTGCAGTAAAGGATTCGAAACCTCTGGAACCGAAAATCAAAATAAATCCGCAAAATGGTCCCAATAGATAGTTTTATTTAAAATGTCAAATATCCGCGTAAATCTAAGAAAGTGATCTGACATAATCAGCAGTTGGAACTGGAAAAAACCGGTTTTGTCAACGAGCACCATGCACGTGAACCATAGAGACCACGCCCACATGTACACCTATCATCAAGCAATTGCCATTTGAAAGCTTTGAGACTCATGTGTCAGCGGTGAACCTCAAGAGCCCACTCTCGTTAGCTTTACCACTTCTTGAGACTTTCCTAGATCCTTAATAGTTCACATTTATCTTACTTTTTGGGCAAACTCGGTACCTCATAGACCTTATCTATACATTTAAAGTAAGATGAAGGTCAAGAGTGAGCCTATTTTTAATAAAAAAAAAAAAAACTTTGTTGGTATACGATACTCTATTCCCCAGTCCCACATGCTAAGCGAGGCCCATGCCCAGCAGTGGGACGTTAAAAATATAATATACTCTCGTGAGCAAAAAAATCGACTCAGACGACACATCTGTAGTCGCAAGTCACTGGAAAAAAAACTGAATGCAAATATATTTTTTTCATAGTAAAATCTTAAAGCTGCTAGTATTAGCTTCAAAATGATATAAAATATTGTAAGGTTTATTGCTCACACAACCCAACAATATGTTGTGATCAGTAACCACCCTTTTTACGCTTGTTTACAATAGTGCTAATTAAGGGTAACTGACCCATATAAAAGGTTATCTACCTGACCCACCCTTATCAGTTAGTCGTCAAACGTCAACCGATACACATCTCCGTTATCAACAATCAAGAGTTCTACCTGAAAATGGACACAGCAAGCGATTTAGCAGCTCAAGCGATCACCCTATTGCGACAAGGCCAGAGTCAGCGTGAAGTGGCACGTGCACTGAACATGAGCCAGTCTGCTGTTTCCAGAGTTTACCGTTGTTACCAGGAGACTGGTGGCTTTAATCGAAGACGCGGTTCCGGTAGAAAAAGGTGCACATCAGAGAGAGATGACCGATTTATTGTCAGCACATCGTTAAGAAATCGGGCCGTCACTGGCGTTCAAGTCCAACAAGAGCTCAGAGAAACGCGAGGAGTAGCTGTGAGTGGCTGGACAGTCAGAAGACGACTTAAGGCAGTTAGGCTTGAGCCAAAAAGGCCAGCTACTGGCCCCAAATTAACCCCAGACCACCGAGCAGCCCGCCTACGTTTTGCTAGAGAACATGTTGATTGGACTGACGAACAATGGAGCACCGTTCTCTTCTCAGACGAAAGTAGAGTGTGCTTGCATGGTAGTGATAGAAGAGGACGAGTCTACAGAAGACCTGGGGAAAGATTCTCGCAGTGCTGTATCAAAGAAAATGTTGCTTTTGGAGGAGGTTCCTGGATGGTGTTGGCCGGCATTTCAAGCGAGGCAAAAACCGAGTTGGTTTTTATTGAAACTGGCGGTCGAATGGGAGGATTGACGGCGATCCGATACATCGACGAGATTTTAGAGAATCACGTCGTTCCCTACGCCGGTTTCATTGGCGAAAACTTCGTCCTAATGCACCACAATGCCCGTCCACATACTGCAAGTTCCGTCCGGCAGTATTTACAGGAGGTCGCAATTGCCGCTATGGACTGGCCAGCGCGTAGCCCGGACTTAAATCCTATCGAGCATTTGTGGGATGATCTTAAAAGAAAAGTTCGAGCTAGAAATCCTGCACCAGACACGATGGCGGACCTCAAAGCAGCGCTAATCGACGAATGGAATAGCATCGAACAAGATCGAGTAAGGAAACTTATTCGATCCATGAAAAAGCGATTGAAAGCTGTTATTAGGGCCAGGGGGGGGGGGGGGGGGCAACACTAAATATTAAAAAAATAATTTTAATTAAATTATTGTTTTGACGAATTTTACGTGGTATTTTCTTTACCGTCAACCATCACTTTTTTTATTGCTTAAGACTCCATCTCATTCAATATTTTTTCTTTACCAGAAAACATTTTTTAATAACAACATAGACCACTCATTTTAAAGCTAAACAAAGAACTTTGAGATGTTAAAATCAGAAATATAATAAAAGCTTCCGATTTTTTGCTAGAGCTTTTTAACCGCAAGCGTGCGTACTGAGTCGATTTTTTTGCTCATGAGTGTATATATATGGCCACATTTACCCTGAGAAAGATTATTGCACAATTTATGGAGAAATTTGCATATATTTTTACGTCCCACTGAACACTGCACACTGCGCACTGCACACACTGGCACTTTCAATACTTGAAATTTACTTGAAAAACGATTATCACTGAAAAATATGTAACATGACAATTATTGCTTACGATTTGTCTACTTACATAATAAATATGGTCTCATATATGCATTTTTTCACGATCATTGGAATATTAAACAAATTGGCATTTTGAATGTGTGTAAATTTAGTATTTGAAGTATGTGGTTACTTTCAAGTTCTATTTATTAAGAACATTTTATGATACAACTATTTCATATTACCTTTGAGATTAGAGATACCCTGCGAGCTCTCCATTTACCACACAATATATTATTCTATATCTGTACATGTATAAAAAAAACTAAGGACACTTTAAATTTCTAATTTAAAATTAAAGATAAATCCAGATGTTGTTGTTCAAAAATTGTCAAGTCGTATGCTGCGCTTTCTCTAGGTCTTCTACTTCCACCGGATCCGTTATCGTCACTGTCATGTCAGATCAATAACAACTGCAAATATCAATAATAATAATGATATCAATAATCTTATCTTACTACTAATATAAATACGAAAGTTTCGATGGATGGATGTTTGTACTCAATTCCCGTGGGATAGATTTGTTTTTGCTTTTCGCTAGGGACAAAAATGATCAATTCTTGTATATACAATATACATACATATATATTTACATAATTCATGTATTTTGGAATCTCTAACAATTTGGCTCAAATTTTGTGTATAGATAAGGTTTTGCTTTTTAAGTTTATCATAATAGGTGTCTTTTCTGAGAAAATGTACTTATTATATTTTTTCCAAAAAAACATGATTTTACAGAAAAAGATTGAAATAATTCCATAGCAGAGTTTCAGTTCATAACATGTCAAAAAAGATACTTACTGTCGTTAACAGACTCGATTTTTTGTCTTTTGTTGCCTGACCCGACACTTCTCTCACTACTTCTTTTTCTCTTGTCTACTTCTGCAAGTTGTTCACTAGGCTGACCCACATAGCCATTGTGTCGATGTGTCACACCTTTAATAATAAATAAGGTAAATTGTATAATTTCTCTCTTTCGGACTTTTAATATAGTTTATAAAAAATAAAAAACGCCTTTATTAAGTTCAATTTATATACTATCAGTGCTATATTATAGCTATCAGTGTTGTCAGTGCTAAAATAAACAAACCTATTTTCTTTTTGAAATTCACCCGGACAGTTTTCAATGCTGTGAAATTCCTGTACTAAACCACAGAAAAATAACATTAAAGCTTGTTTTTATTTGTGTTCAGCCCTTTTTAACGTCCCACTGCTGAGCGCGGGCCTCCCTTCAATACGTGGGCGATCAGGCCATAGTCCACCACGCTAGCCAAGTGCGGGTTGGCGGACTTCACATGTCTTTTGAGAACTTGCTAGGTTCTCTCAGACATGCAAGTTTCCTCACGATGTTTTCCTTCACCGTAAGCCAAGTAGTAATCATGTTAGAAATGATTCGCCACCGCACATGAAAATATCAGAGGTGCGAGACCCGGGATTTGAACCCGCTTCACTCGGTTTCCCAAGCGAGCGCGTTACCACTAGGCTACCAGTAACATAGATCTTTATTTATAATAATAATTATAATTTATTTATTATACTATATATAAAGTGACAATATAAGGGGTTAAAGTAAGTAAAGCAAGTTGTACAAAAAGTGTCAAAAAATAAGTTAAACTACTATCTCCTAAACTAAGCCAGAGCCTGTATTTTAGGTGATAGTCGTTCCGCTTTCACAATTGAATTTACAACTATTTATATGTCATGCGAGTGCTTCAACAATATCAACAACTTATATTATAAATATGCATCATATTTGGATAAAAGAAGACTTTATTTATACATTAAAATATATATATATATATATATATATATACACATATACATATATATACATATATATATATATACAAGATATTATGACGGAAGTGTTAAAAAGAGCTCAGTCTCTTCATACGATAACTTTAGCAACCATTTAGACACTTTTATTTTGACACTAAATTTGGAAGAAGAATATATGAATATTATTTTATTTAATTTATTATATAACATAGTGCTTGCTGCAACAAACTGACGACGAGCTAGGGCAGTATTACATAGAACAGGTTCGGATACAGGTAAACCTTGGCGCCTTCTTAATTTTGTTTCATCGACTGGTGTCGCGCTGTGTCTTCGCAATATACAGCGAAGAATGTACAGCTGTCTAACTGTCAACACTTGGGTTTCAAGATATAGTTGAGCAGTAGAGAAATCTCTTTTCTTAAAGTACATGACTTTTAGAATAGCCCTTTGCGCTCTTTCTAATGCCAGCATGGAAGTTTTATGAGTTCCACCCCAAGCTGGGATGCAGTATATTATTAAAGACTGGCATAAACACTTATACACGAGCTTAGAAGTTTCAGCATCGGTTGAATGTCTCAGTTCCTTAAAAATATATATTAATTTCCTTAGTCTTGAACACAGAGTTTCAATATGTTATTGCCAGTTCAGCTTAGCGTCAATACGAATACCAAGATAATTAGTATCCGGCACCAATTGCAAGGATGGACAGCAACAGTTTATTTTGTTTCCCAAGCAAGTGTGAGCTTTAATAAGTCCAGATTCTTGAGGCGGCCCGTAATTGCTAGGCAAAGTAAAGCGGATGAGTTTCGTCTTAGTTAAATTTAGGGTTAATAAATTGTTAGAAAGCCATTCCATTACTTGGCGCAGCGCCTGTTCTGTTCTTAATTTTGCTTCATTCCAGTTTGAGTCATAAACAATGAGAGCAGTGTCATCAGCATATGTAAATATATCACACTTAGGAATTTGCAGTTGGCATAAATCGTTAATATATATTAAGAACAGCGTCGGGCCAAGAATGCTACCTTGAGGTACACCGAAGCGGATTGTTTGGTCGTCACTGATTGTGTTATCAATTTTCACCCGTTGGGTACGATTTGTGAGATAATCGCTAAAGATTTTCAATGCGATTCCTCGAATTCCGACCCTTTCCATCTTTGATATTAATAAAGGGATAGAGACAGTGTCAAAGGCCTTAGTTAAATAGAGAAATATGCCATAACATTTTTGTTTTCGGTCTAGTTTATCGACGATAGTTTTAGTAACATCAATGACAGCATCTTCCGTCGATATACCCGCCCTGAACCCATATTGGTTAGTAGCAATAATGTTATATTTAGTGAGATAAGCAACGAGGCTATTATTTAGTATTCTTTCAAGAACTTTAGAAAGAGAGCTTAGAATTGAAATTGGTCGGTAATTCGCAATATCAAATCTATCCCCACTCTTAAAAATTGGTTGTACGACAGCTTTCTTGAAGGAGCTTGGAAAAGTTCCAGTCTCAATGGCACGATTGCAAATGTGTTTAAGAGGAATTGCTAATGACGAACATGATTGCTTTAATATTTTAGCGGGAATATTATCATAACCAGTAGCACAGTCACTGCGCAGGGAGCCAATAATTTGTTCAATGTCATTAACATTCACTGGCAATAAACCAAGGGAATGGCAAGAATATCCAAGTGCCATATCGTTACTTAGATTGCCTTTGGCTAGTTGCGAGACTTGACTTGCTAGTAGTTTTCCTACATTGACAAAATAACTGTTAACCTTATTAATATGTTTAACCTTATTAATCGATGTTTTAGGCTCAGGTGTTAGTTGAAGAAGTTCAATAGGGGCCCTAGAATGTGGACTACAATTTGCAATTGTCTTAACGACATTCCAAGTAGCCTTACGGCTATATTTGGATTTCTGTAACTCTATTTGGTCATGTGTTCTTTTCAATTTTTTAGTAGATTATTAAGGAAATTTCGATATCGCTTATAGGCTGTTATGAGTATAGAATTTTCAGGGTTTCTTTTAACACGTTTGTGCATTTTGTCTCGGTTTCGTATGCATCTTACTAATCCTTTGGTCATCCAGGGCTTTATAACTCGAGTTTTGTTGTTTAATCATTCAAAAATTCAAATTTAATCAAATACAATTCTCTAAAATGTTGTTTTATATAAACAATTTTGGCTAGGTTGTGTTAATATTTTTTTATACAAACTAGCGACTCACACTCGCTTCGCTCAGGTTCGTCCCTAGGTACGTCTTGACGCTTTGCTTTTTAAGTTTATCATAATAGGTGTCTTTTCTGAGAAAATGTACTTATTATATTTTTTCCAAAAAAACATGATTTTACAGAAAAAGATTGAAATAATTCCATAGCAGAGTTTCAGTTCATAACATGTCAAAAAAGATACTTACTGTCGTTAACAGACTCGATTTTTGGTCTTTTGTTGCCTGACCCGACACTTCTCTCACTACTTCTTTTTCTCTTGTCTTGTTCACTAGGCTGACCCACATAGCCATTGTGTCGATGTGTCACACCTTTAATAATAGATAAGGTAAATTGTATAATTTCTCTCTTTCGGACTTTTAATATAGTTTATAAAAAATAAAAAACGCCTTAATTAAGTTCAATTTATATACTATCAGTGCTATATTATAGCTATCAGTGTTGTCAGTGCTAAAATAAACAAACCTATTTTCTTTTTGAAATTCACCCGGACAGTTTTCAATGCTGTGAAATTCCTGTAGTAAACCACAGAAAAATAACATTAAAGCTTGTTTTTATTTGTGTTCAGCCCTTTTTAACGTCCCACTGCTGGGCGCGGGCCTCCCTTCAATACGTGGGCGATCAGGCCATAGTCCACCACGCTAGCCAAGTGCGGGTTGGCGGACTTCACATGTCTTTTGAGAACTTGCTAGGTTCTCTCAGACATGCAAGTTTCCTCACGATGTTTTCCTTCACCGTAAGCCAAGTAGTAATCATGTTAGAAATGATTCGCCACCGCACATGAAAATATCAGAGGTGCGAGACCCGGGATTTGAACCCGCTTCACTCGGTTTCCCAAGCGAGCGCGTTACAACTAGGCTACCAGTAACATACATCTTTATTTAATCAAATACAATTCTCTAAAATGTTGTTTTATATAAACAATTTTGGCTAGGTTGTGTTAATATATTTTTATACAAACTAGCGACTCACACTCGCTTCGCTCAGGTTCATCCCTAGGTACGTCTTGACGCTTTGCTTTTTAAGTTTATCATAATAGGTGTCTTTTCTGAGAAAATGTACTTATTATATTTTTTCCAAAAAAACATGATTTTACAGAAAAAGATTGAAATAATTCCATAGCCGAGTTTCAGTCCATAACATGTCAAAAAAGATACTTACTGTCGTTAACAGACTCGATTTTTTGTCTTTTGTTGCCTGACCCGACACTTCTCTCACTACTTCTTTTTCTCTTGTCTACTTCTGCAAGTTGTTCACTAGGCTGACCCACATAGCCATTGTGTCGATGTGTCACACCTTTAATAATAAATAAGGTAAATTGTATAATTTCTCTCTTTCGGACTTTTAATATAGTTTATAAAAAATAAAAAACGCCTTTATTAAATTCAATGTATATACTATCAGTGCTATATTATAGCTATCAGTGTTGTCAGTGCTAAAATAAACAAACCTATTTTCTTTTTGAAGTTCACCCGGACAGTTTTCAATGCTGTGAAATTCCTGTACTAAACCACAGAAAAATAATATTAAAGCTTGTTTTTATTTGTGTTCAGCCCTTTTTAACGTCCCACTGCTGAGCGCGGGCCTCCCTTCAATACGTGGGCGATCAGGCCATAGTCCACCACGCTAGCCAAGTGCGGGTTGGCGGACTTCACATGTCTTTTGAGAACTTGCTAGGTTCTCTCAGACATGCAAGTTTCCTCACGATGTTTTCCTTCACCGTAAGCCAAGTAGTAATCATGTTAGAAATGATTCGCCACCGCACATGAAAATATCAGAGGTGCGAGACCCGGGATTTGAACCCGCTTCACTCGGTTTCCCAAGCGAGCGCGTTACCACTAGGCTACCAGTAACATACATGTTTATTTAATCAATTACAATTCTCTAAAATGTTGTTTTATATAAACAATTTTGGCTAGGTTGTGTTAATATTTTTTTATACAAGCTAGCGACTCACACTCGCTTCGCTCAGGTTCGTCCCTAGGTACGTCTTGACGCTTTGCTTTTTAAGTTTATCATAATAGGTGTCTTTTCTGAGAAAATGTACTTATTATATTTTTTCCAAAAAAACATGATTTTACAGAAAAAGATTGAAATAATTCCATAGCCGAGTTTCAGTCCATAACATGTCAAAAAAGATACTTACTGTCGTTAACAGACTCGATTTTTTGTCTTTTGTTGCCTGACCCGACACTTCTCTCACTACTTCTTTTTCTCTTGTCTACTTCTGCAAGTTGTTCACTAGGCTGACCCACATAGCCATTGTGTCGATGTGTCACACCTTTAATAATAAATAAGGTAAATTGTATAATTTCTCTCTTTCGGACTTTTAATATAGTTTATAAAAAATAAAAAACGCCTTTATTAAGTTCAATTTATATACTATCAGTGCTATATTATAGCTATCAGTGTTGTCAGTGCTAAAATAAACAAACCTATTTTCTTTTTGAAATTCACCCGGACAGTTTTCAATGCTGTGAAATTCCTGTACTAAACCACAGAAAAATAACATTAAAGCTTGTTTTTATTTGTGTTCAGCCCTTTTTAACGTCCCACTGCTGGGCGCGGGCCTCCCTTCAATACGTGGGCGATCAGGCCATAGTCCACCACGCTAGCCAAGTGCGGGTTGGCGGACTTCACATGTCTTTTGAGAACTTGCTAGGTTCTCTCAGACATGCAAGTTTCCTCACGATGTTTTCCTTCACCGTAAGCCAAGTAGTAATCATGTCAGAAATGATTCGCCACCGCACATGAAAATATCAGAGGTGCGAGACCCGGGATTTGAACCCGCTTCACTCGGTTTCCCAAGCGAGCGCGTTACCACTAGTCTACCAGTAACATACATCTTTATTTAATCAAATACAATTCTCTAAAATGTTGTTTTATATAAACAATTTTGGCTAGGTTGTGTTAATATTTTTTTATACAAACTAGCGACTCACACTCGCTTCGCTCAGGTTCGTCCCTAGGTACGTCTTGACGCTTAGTATGGAATATATATTTTTTTTATTTTTTTTCGTGATTTTTTCGATGTTTTAATAATTATTTTGCTATTCGGGGTAAAGAGTCCAACAAAGCAAAAATCATAAAAATCGGTCTAGCAGTTCTTTAGTCATAAGTGTTGTAACAACCCGACTTTCTTTTATATATATAGATTAGAATTACTTTGTATTTTGAGCAGAATCATCTGCTTAAGGGTGTCGTCGTAGCTATTCTTCATCCGAGTGTCCACTTCACCGCCCAGCAGTTCGCAGTTGCCATCATTTAATATGAGAAAAAGTAAATCTGATGATTCATGTTTTCTCAAGTGCACTGGACCTAAAAATGTTTTATAACATTTTATAAATATTCAATATATATAATAGATCAACTCTTAAGAATATTCAAAATAAGAAAAGAAAAACCTGCATGATTTAAAATTGACTGTTAATAATTTTAAACGGTGAATATTTTTAAATAATTTGCTTATTTATGCTGATTACTGTTATTTTTGAAGTTATACTTCTTTTGGCTCGTTTAGAAAAAAATATGAAAGTAAAATTTTTACATGCGCGCGCACACCGACAGCCAAAAAGCGAGACGATGAAGTTAGCTGATAACTGTCTCTCCAGTTCCCGTGAAAACTTATAACTATATTCAAAGTAGTTCCTTAAATATTCATAAAAAGAGTTTTAAGACAGTGGAGATAAAAAAATTATATTTATTTTTATTAATTTATCATTCCTTTTACAAACAGAGAGCTGTGACATACGCATGGACGAATTAGAGACTGGACCTGACATAAAATACAAATGTATGAAAACTAGTTCAACCAAGTGACACATAACGCACACAAAGATTTTATTACATTATTATAAACACTGATACACAATACAATATTTCTAGTGTTTGAACGTAATCGATAAAATACATATATCGATGAACCAATGAATGACATTTTAGACATTGGTTAGCATAGTCATCGTATTTTACATCTTTTAATTTAAAATATCTGTATTTATTATAATAAATTAAAATAAATGAATTAAAGAGGCAGTAATAATGTGTCAAATAATAATTATTTTTTAATTTGATTTATATAAATACGATGGCATTGATGGCAACATTCTGTTGGCCTATAATAATGTTAATAAACAAATGAATATCGGGTGTATATTCCATTAATATATAATAAATATTATTTTGTAAAGATGAAAAAAATATTAAGCTAATTTAATTAAATAAAGTGATTTTGTTGATTCTGTTATTGAACTATTTAATTGGCAATTGATTGTCTCGGGTAGTTATAAAAATGTGACACTGTCCTAATATTGCTCAGTTATTAATAAACATTTGTGAAATTAGGAAAAAGAAAAAGTGATTGCAAATTGTGAAAAAGTGAGTGTTGGATCGTGAAAGTAAAATAATTAGTGCAAGTGGTAAAGTGTTTTATTACAAATCGCCAACCCAGAAGTTTAGTGCTAAAACATTATTGTTTGATTTTGTGTAATTTATGTGTTGAAATAAAATGATCTTTATTATTATTACAATGGAATAATATTCCAAAGTATATAAATGTAGTATAAAATAAAATAAAAAATTAAGTACACATACTAATCTTTTTTTAAATAAATATCTGTATGAATCATAAATTTGTGTTTGTGTTACTAAATAGTAAATACCGAATTATTTTTCGTACCTTTAATACGCATCTTACACCCTGGAACTGTGTTGATCCACAAATCTTTGATTGGCTCTAATACGTGTCCATAGATTGGTTGCACACCATCAGTCATAACCAATAATAAATTTCTGAAAATGGCAGAGCACTTATAATAATCTCCAACAGTTTTAAAATTATTGAATTAAGGAAAATGGGACATAAGTTTTTGTATATAATATAATATGGACATTAATTATATTATTAAATTTAAATTACTCATTCAATATTATCAATTATCCTCATCATTTTGTATTTTTTAAAACATATTATAGTAACCTTGATAGTTGAGCTCATTTTAGGGAGATGGTTGATTTATTTTTAACTGAACAAGCTTTCCTCGAAGTATAATTATTAAATATGAAACAGATATCCAGTAACTATTCGGTATCCAGCCTATCTGGCCTTATTTTACTATCCGGCTGGATACCGGATAGCAACACAATATTCGGCCCGATACAGGATAGAATTGCAACATCCAGCTGGATATTGGATATTTATCTTGTAAAGGCAGTAGGTGCGGAAAGCTACTATCTGGCATACTTTGACAAGTGTTAGTACCCAAACTTGTCAAATTATTGTGTGTGTGCTTTGAGTTAACCATCCACCAACTGTAAGGGTCTCAAATTGATCAACCAAGTAAACAATTGACTTTGCTGACTAACACCCAAATAAGCCTAAATTCTTAAAATAACATATGCACTTGTCTCAATATACAATGTGACAACTGGCTTATTATCTGAGCACCACATATCCAGCCATCCGGCCTTACGGCTCACCGGATATCTGGTATCCAATATCTGGCCAAACAACTATTTGTTTCATCACTAATAATTATAGCCTCTTCACATTTTTTCTCCAAATTAGTACAGAGATTGCATCATACATAGGTACTATAATATACATAATAGAAAACAGTATTGAGTTTGTAATATGATATACATTACTGTATATAATAAATAAAATATTACCTGTTTCCCAAATCATGCTGGCCTGCACTGTTTATCTCCTCTTTTGATCTTTTAATTTTGTTTAAACAATAATTGACATAAAAATCTGTGAAAGTTTTATTTACAACTTTAATATTAAGTTAAGATTGTGCTATTTGTATAATACTGACATGAATGAAAATATACTTCTAAATTTAATATACTTACCAAAATTCCAAATTGTGTTAATTTGAAGTGTATAAACACCTTTTAACTCAGATGTGTTATCATTTAGATTCTGAGGTAAACATCCAGGAGATGTTTCAGTTAAATCATTAAGTAACCATTGTTCAATCACTTTTCTAGATATTTCTTTTAAATTGTGCGAGTTACCATGTGAAGTCGATAAATATTCATGGCACCTTAAAATATAAAAATAAGGTAAAATAATGTGTATATGATTTAAATATATGTTTATTCTTCAAGTAAGAATCGGATCTTATTCCTGAATAGTACATATATAGTAAGGCCCTATGTTCTCTAGTTTATTCAAAATACTTGGTTAAATTGTTTCAGAAATAAAGTATGAAGTAAGCCGCTTTTTCGTAAACAAGTTAGGCACTCAAGAAAAAAACGGCGCTGATGAAAACAACAAGGCGGTATAGACGGTAGGCGGTATAATACGTTTATAAAATAAGTACGGTTCATATGTTTGTATGTAATCGAAATAAGCTATAACTTAGTCTTTTAAATATCGTGATTTACACCCTTGTTATAATAAAATATACTTACTTATGTAGCCATGATTTATTTACAAATATATGATTGGCGTGTAAAATAATTTTAATTAACTCCAATTCACTTGACATTATAAATAAGGCATCAAAACGTTTTTGTTTAGATATACAGTCTCTGTTAAAGTAAAAACTGCAATAATATTTTTATTATCAATTCGATTGTGTTTGTTTTTACTTTTTAGATTTTCATTTATAAAGTATACCTATTTATATAATTTAACAGTCTAAATTAACATAAAAAAAAGCGCGGACCAAAGGTAATGTAGAGTCCGCGCCACCACCTTATAGTATATCATAGAGTATATTGCTACATAGTATATTCTACATAATTCTAGAGCTGTAGCAAACCGTATTAAGCATGGAAATGATTGCTACTTTTAAATCATTATCATATGATAAAATTACGTATATTTTCACGTGATTTCACCTGCTACTTTTCAATGGCAATGATTTTACATTTCGACGGTCTGGTGTCACACTTTATATTATTTGCTATTAAAATGAAGTATGAAATGTCACCAATGTTATTTATACCTAATTATAACGAAAACAGAAAGCTTAACTAAATTGTTATATTTACACTAACTAGTAACTACTATCTATATTTATTTAAATATAATTACAACGAAAACACAAAACTTGAGTAAATTGGTATATTAAATATTTACACTAACTATTACAATGTATGTATTAATGTAGTATCGCAATTCACATTTCACCAAGCTGTGATTTGTAGCAGTCACTGTGAAATTAAGTAGCAGGTATGATATGATGGTGACGTATGATAACGCATTTCATGTGATTTTTCACTTGCTACTCGTGAAATGTTCCATGCCTAAACCATATGTATTCGGTACTGAACTACTGAGTAACGACTAACGGGTACGCCATCTAGTACCGAGTACCGAAACGTTGCTCGCATTTTCCGTATATATTTTCGTACTGATGTTTTTATTGATTTTTTATTCAACAAAATACAACTTTCAGTTGATACCGTTGATGAGTAAATTGGATGAAATGAATTTATTTCGAGTTGCATGATTTCGGATTCTTAGAAATATTGTTTAGAAACAATTTTAAATTAGAAACAACAATTATATTTAGAGCACATTTTTAGTTTTTTATCCAACAAATACTTATAATTCTTACTGGATGACAGGGGCGGGCCTGGATCTATGCTTTCACGGTTCCCTTACGACATGCTTCGCATGGTAGTGTAGGCGCAGGCCTACCCTACTGTCTCCTTCAGAGACGGTAGGGTGGCGTTGGTCTTGGGGGAGAGTGACGCTTTTGTCGCAAAGATCCCCAAGGCAAGTTCGGTGTACTATCCTTCACGAGGTTGCCAGCCCTGTTATTGGTCTAGTTCACTAGGAAATAGACGCAACAGAAAACACCGAGCGCTTGCTTTCACTTTTATTTATATATGTATGTTTATGTATGTCTATGTAAGTGTATCTATGAAATATATATGTACGTATATGTATAGCTTTAGTTTAGAACCCAATCCAAGGTGTTATTCGTACCGTGCCGAGGGATGCGTGGCTGGGGGGGAGCTCAGTCGCTAACGGTGGCTATCCGACACCTGGACGAATCGGGTAGTATTTTAAGTCCTCCCATCGACATGCGGGGCTCTGTCGGTGGGCATTTTTATTTCCCTAGCTACTCGTGGGACCTGAATGAATATGGACCAAAAAGATAAAAAAGTAAATGACGTTACCACGTCACAAACCCTGGACGAATTGTGCCAGGACCTCATGCCGCTGACAATGGGTGCGGATGAAACCGCCCAAATGTCAGCGCAACCAATGGAGGTGACTGCAGGCACCGAAATGGCGATAGGGGCTTCTACAAGCCCTGAATCACCTACTGGTAACCCTGCTGCCACCTCCTCTGATGCTGCCCGACCCAAACGCAAAAGATTGAGTGGGGCAGCCTTAATCCGACTTAAGGCTCTTAGGGGACAGGGAGTGGAGGCTGCAAAAGCCTACGAACTGTCCGCTAAAACCTTTGCGGAACTCAGGGCTATGGGGTATCGTTTCGAGGCTTCGAAACCCGAATCCGAGCGCTCCATCAAAAGGACTCGCTCGGAGGAGGAATCGCCACAGGGACAACCAGCGAGGAAGTCCCAAAGGTCGAGCGAAGCACCGTCGGCCCCACCACCTCCAGCTGCCTATAGTGCGGCCTTATCTTCCTCCAAAGTTGGCGTGAGGGACTCCACTCCCATGACTGACGCACAGCTGCAGTCACTCTACAACGCAATTGTGGCCCAAATCACCACTTTGGAGAAGGGTAAGGGACCTGCCTTTGGCGGACTATCATTCAAGCCGGGTTGGCTACTCATCACCTGTGCTAACCAGCATGCCAGGGAATGGCTTGAGAAATGTATACCTTCCTTACAGCCGTGGCCAGGAGCTAAGCTCGCTCTCATTAATGAGAGCGACTTGCCCAAACCAAGGGTTGGGGTGGTATACATTCCCGATCCGGAGGCCAAAGACGTTGATAAGGCGCTCTCCTGTCTCCGGATACAAAATGATGGCCTTAATACGGAGCTGTGGAAGGTTCTCAATAGGAAGGCGGAGAAGGGCGGGATCACACTCACCCTCTCCATCGACGACCAATCTGTTGAGACCCTTCAAAAAACCGGCATGAAGGCCTACTTGGCTTTCAAATCGGTCCAGTTCCGTATTAAGGGCATCAACCAGACGCCAACGAATCCTGGGACACTTCCCTCTGAACCTGTGCCGTCTACCTCTCGTTCTGGGGCCGCGGCTGCTGGAGCAAGCGCCAGCGTTGCTGCGCCTTTACCATCTGCTGCACCTGGCGTGGCTCCTGTGGCCGGGACCAGCGGAGCGACTGGTACTCCGCACAGGTTTCCTCGTACAGGGGGGCACACCAGGGGTGGACAAACCCCCAGAGGCAAGAGCCAGCGCCCCCGCAAACAAAAGGGACCCAGACCCAGCAAGGGCAGTGACAAGCGCAATGGGGCCCGTCCCCAGTAGCGCTTCACACCCAACTGGCGACGCCCCCACTAAAATACTCCAAGCCAATCTACACCACGCTATCGCTGCCACAGCCGTGGCAGAAAACACTTTTAGGGCAAATGGCATGGATATAGCGCTGGTCCAGGAACCATGGCTTAACGCCAAGTCCAAGATTTCGGGCTTAAATGGAGTAGGTAAGATCCTAGCAAACGAAAATGGCACCAAGCCTAGGGCCTGTATCGTTTTTAAGAAAGGTATTAATTTCTTGCCTGTTACAGAACTTTGCAGTGATGACACCGTTGCTGCAATCACCGTTCTCAGAGGGCGTGGTCAAACTAGAGCACTTGTGTGCTCGGCCTACCTGCCCGGAGAGAAAGCCAACCCCACCGAAGAACTGTCTAAAGTCGTCGACTACGCTCGAAAACACAAGACAGAACTAATTGTTGGCTGCGATGCAAACGCCCATCACACAATCTGGGGAAGTACTGATACCAACAAAAGAGGTGAGTTACTTTTAGAATTTCTCCTAGCTAACGACCTTCAAATACTTAATAAAGGCTGTAATCCAACCTTCGCTACTAGAGCTAGGCAGGAAGTTCTGGATATCACTTTTGCTACTGAACAAATCGCTAAACACATAAGTAAATGGCATGTCAGTAATGAAAACTCTTTGTCCGATCACAAACATATTGTCTTTAGCATACAAGGCTCAATAACTACTGAGCCTAAAAGGCTTAGAAATCCCAAAGCCACCTCGTGGGTAGATTTTAAAAACCTGCTCGCTGAGGCAGCTAAGGATTTTCCAAAATCAATCAAGACACCCGACTCCCTTAACATTTTAAACAACTTATTAACGGATGGCATCTTAAATGCCTATGAAAATAGCTGTCCTGTCAGGGAACTTAAGGTTAACAACAATACTCCGTGGTGGAACAAAAAGCTAGAACGACTTAGAGTTTCCACACGTCGCTTATTTAATCAGGCCACTACACCGTATGGGTGGGAACGGTATAAGAAGGCTCTGACTAAATACCACAAAGAGATCAGAAAAGCTAAAAGAGCATCTTGGAAACGATTCTGTGAGAATATCGCCCAAACACATAAAGGAGCGAGAATCCACAAGGTCCTTGCCAAGACACCAAACATCTTTCTCGGCTTTTTAAAAAAGCGAGACAATTCCTTCACGACCACAGAGATGGAGACGCTGGAACTTTTAAGAGCGACCCATTTCCCAGGATCGTACCCTGTCACCGGCAGTGAATCAAACCCAAAGGAAAACTACATCCACAGGGCAAATAGTTGCGACTGGAAGATGGCCAATACCATTTTTAGGCCTAACCAGATTAGATGGGCTTTGAAAAAATTCAAACCATTTAAATCAGCAGGGGAAGACGGAATTTTTCCAGCTCTGCTTCAACAGGGCATGGAACTTCTTATCCCGCATCTGGTAAAATTATTTAGAGCAAGCTTTGCTTTGGGCATTATACCAGAACAATGGACTAAGGTCAAGGTTATCTTTATACCGAAGATCGGTAAAAACGACTACTCTCAGCCCAAATCCTTTAGACCTATTAGTCTTACTTCTTTCCTATTAAAAACAATGGAAAAAGTAATCGATCAGCACATTAGAACAAGGTATCTTGTGGCTAGACCACTTTCCTGCAACCAACATGCTTACCAAAAGGGTAAATCCACAGAATCTGCCTTAGTAGCTCTGATCGACAAGGCAGAAAGGTCCCTAGAGGATAAGCAGACAGCTCTATGTGCATTTTTGGACATTGAGGGGGCCTTTGATAACACACCTACGGCAACCATCCTGAAAGGATTAAATGCAAAAGGTGTTGATATCACAACCACCAGATGGGTGGAATATATGCTCTCCAACCGGTGTGCGAAAGTTACGTTAAACGAACACTCGCACAACTTCTACACTACAAGAGGCTGTCCGCAAGGAGGAGTGCTTTCACCCCTATTATGGACACTAGCTGTAGACCTACTACTTGTAATCATGGCAGATCTCGACTACGATACACAGGGCTATGCAGATGACCTTGTTGTAGTAGTAAGAGGTCCCTGCCTGAACACAATTTCCACCAGGTTACAAGGAGCTCTCAATACCATCACAAGATGGTGCAGAGAAAATGAGTTATCAATAAACGCTGATAAAACAGTTATTGTACCATTTACCAGGAAAAGGAAGCTTGAAAGGCTGACCGAACTCAGACTCAATGGCAAAACCCTTAACCTATCAAATGAGGTAAAGTACCTTGGAGTCACTATTGATCAAAAGTTGACCTGGAACTCTCACCTCAACAACATTATACAAAAAGCCAAAATGGCCCTCTGGATATGTTGTCGAATGGCTGGAGCCAAGTGGGGCCTCAAGCCCAAAATGGCTCTCTGGATGTACACCGCCGTGGTAAGGCCGATCATAACATACGCCTCAGTCGTATGGTGTAACAAAACCAAACAAAAGACAACTATGAGTAAACTAGACAGCATACAACGGATGGCATGTCTAATCATCACGGGAGCCTTCCACTCGGCACCAGGCGACGCTTTAAATGCATTGTTGGACATAGCTCCGCTATATCTCCACGTGCAAAAAGAAGCTAAATCTTGCCTCTACAGGCTCTGTACACAATCGAATGTAAAGTTGCAATCGCAATATATGAACAAACTCAAGGAGTTGACATTCGAACACAAAACTCTGAAAATGCCAGTCGATGGCATGAGTACAGAGTTTAACTTCGCAAAACAGTACCAAATAGATCTTCCCAACCGGGACATGTGGCTAAAAAACCAAGAGTCTCACAAAAAGGGCAGTCATGTTTGGTTTACAGATGGATCCAAGAAAGGATCTGATGTAGGGTGCGGCATCTATGGCCTTAAGCCTAGATTTGACATGAGTGTCAATCTGGGCAAGGAGGCCACCATCTTCCAAGCCGAGGTCTTCGCCATCAACAAATGTGCTGAAGTCATCCTGGAGAGGAAGCTTAGAAACCAAAATATCTACATCAACTCAGATAGCCAAGCAGCACTTCTGGCTATAGATTCTCTTGAGACCAACTCTAAGTTGGTCAAAGACTGTATGGATAATCTGAATGTCCTGGGCACATCCAACAGAGTTACCCTCAGATGGGTCCCGGGTCACTCAGGCATAGATGGGAATGAAAAGGCTGATGCATTGGCAAGAAGGGGCGCTGAAACCCCAGATTGTGGCCCAGAACCATTCTGTGGCATTGCAAAACAACATGCCTATTCAATTCTCAAAATTCACTGCAATCGCCAAGCACTTCAAGAGTGGCAATCCACTTCTGGACAAATACACTCTAAAGCGCTAATTAAGGGATATCGCAAAAAGTTTACAAAAGAGTTGCTTCAACTCAACAAGTATAAAACCAGTGCAGTAACCAGAATACTTACTGGTCACTGCAAACTCAATAAACATATGTTTACCCTCGGCCTCAGTCAGACCGCAATGTGCAGACTATGCCATGAGACAGAGGAAACTGCTATGCATATCCTCTGCTCGTGCGGTCCACTCATGCACCGCAGAAGTATCTATCTAGGGCAGCATATTATGCAACCGGAAGAGATACAGATGCTCCCCGCTCAGAAAATCTGGAAGTTCCTGGAGTCAACAGGACTAAGCGGAGAACTTTGAACTCACTATAAAGGGAGCTACAATGGACCAAAACTGGTCGACGTAGCTAGGGCCGACCTCGGCACCACACCCAACATTAATAATAATAATAATACTGGATGACTATGTGTAATACGTACAGATTATGATTTAATAAATTATTCGCGCAATTGATTAACCCTTTATATCACCGTGGGACATTACTGGAACATACCAAATTATTCCTTATAAAATCTAAAGCAAATGACTTTTTCAGTTATTAAACAGAGTGCCCACTTCGGAACATACTACGCTTTAATAATTAGTACAGTTCATACTCCAGAGATGGTGCTTTTTCAACACAAACGAATGTGAATCCGTCTGATTCCCGGTGACGTGAAATAAGTTTGTTTTAAAATATTAAAAATCGACGAAAAATATATATACTGTAAAAAGTTGTGTTTGTGGTATAAATCAGTTAGGTAAGTGTATGTTTATTGATATTCATTGTAGTTATTGAATAATTTTCCATAATTTTTGAAAATAATTGCCATTTTGTGTTTGTACCTGTTCTGGAACATTGTATTACTAGGTATACCTAGTGTCATACATTGAGCACTTTTTCATTCTTTTGACAGGATGGCTTCCAGAGGTCTAAGAGAAGAGGAAATAGAGCAGTTCCTCTTTGATTATGCAAAGAGTGAAGATAGATTCGACGATGATGACGACAGCATCGCAGATCCTGATTTTGTTCTGGATTTGGAAGTACCAATGGAAGTCAATGATTTTGAAGAGGTTGATGGAGTGGAAATTGACACCATTATTTAAAGTATTGAGAATTCCAGTAGTACTTCCCAACTACCAGCTCCTTCTGAAACATTACCTCAGCCAGGACCATCCTTTAATCCTAGACCATCAGGACGTAATCAAGCCAAGTAGAAATTGAATCTACATTGGAAAAAAAGAATCTGGACCTAAATGAGCAGAAACTCTGCTTTACAGGTGACGAAGATTTGCCAGCAGAGTTTCTAGATCTTTACAGTCCGGTACAGTTCTTATTTAAAATATTTCCCAAGGAACTTTTCGAAGAAATTGCAAGCCAAACTAGTCTCTACATTGTTCAGAAAGATAGTATCATACTATTTCGCGTCACAAGGACTGATATCCAGCAATTTATTGTTCTGGTTTTCATTCATGTCATTAGTACATCTTCTAAGAGTAACGAATCATTGAAGTGGTGGGTAAGGAACACCTATAATAAAAAACACAATGCCTGTAAACAAAACCGTACCACCAAAACCGTGCCTGTAAACATCATACGATTTATTTACTTCAACGACAACTCGAAAATGGTTCCACGATCATGTAAACCACGACCGTCTCTATAAGATCAGGCCAGTTGTGACAACTATGAAGCAAAAGATAATAGGTTCGGATGTTTTACCGTTTCCTGGACCTTACCATGACCAATGCCTGGTCCCTATACCAAAGGGTTCATAAGACCAAGAATACGAATGCACTACTGCTGGTATCTGCTGACTTTCGTAAAGAGATTCGTGGGATGCTTTATTAGATGGGGATAAAGTATAAACACTCAGATACAACGTCGAAGTATTGAATCATATATCCAGGACAAAAAGGGTTCAGGTCAATTTGTCCCTCCGGCAGCTGTTCGCCAGGACGAAGTCAGTCATTGGCCAGTATGGGTCGAAAAAGGATCCGTTGGAAGCTTCCTAAATGCTCTGACAGTTCACAAACCATGTTTGAAAAGTGTGGAGTGGCATTATGCAATAACAAACAAAATAACTGTTTCAAAGCATTCCATACTTCGTAGAGGAACATATTGCTGCAGTGTACCAGTTATGGTACACTCCCCTTTTTTTGATTTTGTGGAGTAACTAATTAAATTTTTTGAAAATTAAAAAATACGTGTTTTTTTATTTCCCAATTGCTACACTAAGGGCTACTTTTTATTAAATAATATGTTATTGAGTTATAAAGGGTTAATGATTTTAAATTATATATGCATTACGACGTCACACTAACGTGAAAGATGGCGTTACTTTTCATTTTTAAATCACCTATTTTTTATTTATTATTTAATTTCAAAATTTATTAATAAAAAAATATTTTTAGTAAAGTTTTTAAAAATTATAAAGATTTATAAATAACTAAAATTTCTGGGTTCTGGATATCATGTAACTCTCCAATTAAAATGGTTTGCTGATCGTGCATTATTCCACAGAAAACAACGCGACGTCAAGTATCATAGAGTATATTGCTACATATATAAAGTATATTGCTATTTGCTACATTAGTACAACATATTATATAAACGACTATCGATAGCATATCGATAATTAATCGATAATTTATCGGTAGTTCTAACGATATTATCGATACAATCGATAGTACCCATACTATCGATAAATGGAAATATGACAATACTATTCTCAGACCACAATACTATCAATACTATCGATAGTATTGGTGCTCACAAATCACAAACTATTGATAGTATCGATATTGAAGATTCGAAATAAAATAATATTGATGCTATCAAAACTATCGATAGTTTCAGCTATCGATTGTAGCTCATTTTTCGACAGTATTGTACACAGTTCGCAGGTGGCAGTAAGCAAATCGATTTTTTTATACTGACTTTCTGGCTATATGACCACGATCATTTCTATCATCTATGATCAATACTATCGAAAGTATTGGTGCTCACAAATCACAAACTATTGATAGTATCGATATTGAAGATTCGAAATAAAATAATATCGATGCTATCAAAACTATCGATAGTTTCAGCTATCGATTGTAGCTCATTTTTCGACAGTATTGTACACAGTTCGCAGGTGGCAGTAAGCAAATCGATTTTTTTATACTGACTTTCTGGCTGTATGACCACGATCATTTCTATCATCTATGATCAATACTATCGAAAGTATTGGTGCTCACAAATCACAAACTATTGATAGTATCGATATTGAAGATTCGAAATAAAATAATATCGATGCTATCAAAACTATCGATAGTTTCAGCTATCGATTGTAGCTCATTTTTCGACAGTATTGTACACAGTTCGCAGGTGGCAGTAAGCAAATCGATTTTTTTATACTGACTTTCTGGCTGTATGACCACGATCATTTCTATCATCTATGCATATTACTTTGGCTGTGATGTTACATAGAAAATTTGGCTCTAAAAATGGATGGAGGATAGACGTTGCTTGATGTCAAGTTCTTCGAGAATGGACTTAAAGTCCGAAATTCGTTCCAAGATACTTTCAATATTCTTCTCCAGCACCACATCTCAAGAGCGTCTATTCTCTTCCTCTCACTTTCTCGCAGTGAAATGTGAAGGAATATGGGGAACACAAGCTCTTTAACTAGCCGGGTATTAGTGGCTTTGGTTACGTTACGGTAATGCTAAATGAACGCCTTATCGAACTGGGAAGATTATGAGTTAAGTCATATTTATTGACAAATAGGTATAATGTAAGAAAAAACGTGACTTACTCTTCTACCAAAAAGGACATCAACTATCCCGAGGTGGTGTCGGATTTTTAATCCACAAATCACTCAAGAACGTCGTAAACGTTGGCAGTGTGTCGGAGAGCATAGCGTAGCTTGTAATCACTTATTCAAGTGTTCGCCCTTACGGCTAAACACCCTCACGAAGAGGTCGAAGCCATGTACGAAGACATAGTAAAAGCTATGTCTCGTACCGACACCTACTACACTATTGTTTTAGATGGCTTCAATGCCAAAGTGGGAGTACAAAGAGATGGCAAATCGAGGGTAGGAGCAAGTAGGTAGCGAGATTGGCTATGGGCGTAGGAATCATCATTTCTGATGAACTCATTTTTTAGAAAAAGTGCCTAAGGAAGTGGTCCTGGCAAAACCCCGATAACACTACAAAGAACGAGATCTACTTGACGACTATGTCATTGATTAACATGGTTAAAACCGGCAGTGATCACCGACTTACAAGGGGAGCCCTGAATATTAACATCAAAATTGAATGAGTACGGCTAATGAAGTCGACTCTTCGACTAACACAGCCAGATGCAAGTTGCGAAAGCTTCCAGCTAGAGCTACAGAACCATGTCGAATTGTCGTTTATTCCCGACTCGTGAAATTGTGCAGGGAATATCTTGACCAAACTACACAACTTTGAGAAGGAGGCCAACCGAAGTATACTATTATATTCTAATAATATAAATTATATAATAAAAACTTAAAAAAAACCGACTTTCAGGCACTAAAATGTAAAAAATAACTAAACGGGGGTTTTCATTTAGAATAGATACCTAATCAGATATTTTCGAAGTCGGTGCCAGCCTATGCAAAGCAAATCTAATATATTTCTATACGTGAAACACATATTTACCTATTAGATATTCATATCTTAAAATATTGTCGGCTGGCACCGACTCAATCGCGATCCAAATCTTAAAGCACACGAAATTTTATATACTTTTATAGAGAGACACACGAAATTTTATATACTTTTATAATAATCAGAATTGCTCATTTATTATTTTAAGATAGACCAAAAATAATAAGATTTTCGGAAGTTTTAAACTATTTTATTAATATACCTCTTCGTGACACATAGCATGTGTGGTAATATAAAAAAATTATCAAATACATAATACAATCAACATTTAACGACACACACTGCATATACTTTGCAACAAAACGTTCTGAGAGAAGCGAATACAAGAAAGCACTATTTAATTGTTAATATAAGAATAAAATGTGGCCAAATTAAAAAAAATATACATAATTTCAATACTCGATAAAATATATAAAAATGGTCCTTACCTTGTTTTTAAGGAATTATCTTGTATTACTTTCGCTTCCCTCAGATATTAAGATTAGTCAAACAAGGATCTGCAAGAACTAAATTGAGCACTTAATTCATAAGTGGGATACAAGGGCATTTATAGATAATAACTCAAAAACTTATATACTCTATATATGGAGACTTACATCTCGAAAATATAGATTAAAATTAAAACAAAACATATTAAAGATAAATAAAACGAAGTAGCATCATTAGTCGACATTGTATTGCAAAAATTATAAATTGATTTTTTAATTTTCACTTTTACATCAACAATATAATATGACATCACAAACAATAAATAATAACTACAATAACGGCCTACAGTAGCCTTTACAGGAGATGAGCGATAAAATTAAAATTGTATAGATTAAAAATAAATTTCAAATGATCTTGGCATAACAAAATTCCTATAGAGCCCTAATCGCCCAACCGGCTATTACTTTAAACTTATAATAGATGCAAAAGGGAATATTTACCATGTTTAGCACTTAATTTTGAGAGTTCCCGATACTTCGGCACTGTTATCAGCGCCATTGTCACGGGTATACTCAGCACGGGTATACTCAGTATACTGAGTATACCCGTGACTGTTACTGAGTATACTGAATATACCAGTAACCATGGCGTCGGTAAATGCCGAATATCGGAAACTTTCAAAATTGCTAAATATAGTAAATATCTAGTTTTACATTACAATAATATGGTCAGTGAGCATGAAAGTTTAAAGACATAATAACTTATAATATGCCGAAATTAGAACTTCAATAAGACGTTGACACCCAATGGAAGACTGTACCATTGAACGGCGAGAATAAATTCAATTTTTATTAAATATTATTACGTTGGTAGTGAAGTTGTTTTACGCATTTCCATCTTAGTCCTGAAGAATTTTATATAGCTTGACATTTCAACCTTAGATTTCGTCATATATATTTAAAGCTTAGGTATGCGATGGATATTGGGATAAAATACAACAAGGACCAATAACATTGAAAGTTATAAATAAAGATAATAAAGGTGCACCAACACTTATTATTTATAAGTAATATATTATTGAGATTTACTGTATTTAAAAAAAAAATTCTAAATAGCAAACTTTTGTTTTATATGAGCATGATGACAATATTTACTGAAATGTTTATTTTCAATCTTTCATCACCGACGAAAAGAATAAAATATTCTCGACTAAGTTATATACCATAGAAAAGCATGTTGATGTAGAGTTATTTATATGATCGGCTAAAGTATGTTCATTTTGCTCCTAAAATTGCTAAAATGCCACTTTGAAAATAACTTCATGACGTTTAATATGGTAATATAAACAATAAAATAAACATTGCCTTTGACATGAAATTAATTAGTTTTAAACCACAGAAGATAAAGATTAAAAAAATGGAAATATAAGTTTAGTTTTATTATATTCTAAGAAATAGTTTTCATCGTGTGGGAGCACCTTTAGATACATGTATATGAAGCATCTAATCAGTAACATAATTATATTGCAACATAACATTACATGACTTGAGCGTTTGCCGTTCGTAAAACTTATTCATTTCTAGAAGTGCGGAGGGTAGAGGTGAGGAGATCTATCTTATTTATACTGGAGACAAGTTGATAAAGTGTCCTGTAAATGGTAAATAACAGTTCAAAAATCAATAAGAATAGTGCTAGAGGGTATGATATGAATTTACCAGTTGTAGACCGGTGAAGTGTGCTGTGACTTCCGACTTGAGTGGTTATTGAAACAATTTGCATAGTCTATACCCTATAGTATACTATAAAGAGGATTTTTTTTGTTTGTTTGTTTCTTCTGAATAACCATACTAATGTTTTAAACCAATTTGACTGGTTCTGGAAAGGACATTTTTATCCCGGAAATCATCCTTTAATGAATATTTAACAAGGATGGAGATGAATGTATTACTGGAAAAAATGTGGTGATATAAAATTAGAGAGTAATTATTTTTTATGAACTTTTAATATTTTTGGCGATTTCTTCAAAATGTACCCACTTGCAACAGTGGCGCCCTCTAATTTGAAGCTTTTCGACGGACATTTTTAATCACAGAAATCATTCTCCTTAGTCCTACCCTCCATACTAGCAAACATACAGGAACCATAGACATATAGCCACTATTACCATAGATATAAAGAGTTATTGATTGTATACAGATAAGTGTAATGAATTAAAAATCTTTTATTAAACAATTTGAATTGAAATAAGTTACTAGACTAATTATCTATTACATATTGTATATGAAGCCTTTTTCGTGAGCATGTTCTTCCAGAAAGATCATGAGAAATGGCAAACTCATGTTGTCAAATTACTTGAAACAGCATTTTCAACATTTATACAACGAGTTCATTATTTTGTTTTACGAACAGTAATCGCGATGAAACACACCTGTGTCGTCGAAGTAAAGCCAAAGCTATTTACAGCATACAGTCACTCACTGAACCAGTTTATACAATTCTCTCATAAAACAGGAGATACGCTTGGGCGCGCAGGACCTTTTCTTCGCTAACTTCTGACACCATGCTGTCTGACACGTAATACCACTTGCCGGTAGTTCCGTGGCTGAGCGCCGGGCCTTCCCCGGACTCGTAGCCAGAGAGATCCGACTCGGAATCTCCGTCACCATCTCCCGCCGGGATGTTGGCGCTTTTGGGTAGGAACCACCATCTTGGATCTCCCAATTTGACAGGCGCACGCACTTTCACGTACGCCACATAATGGCCGCCATGCATTCCCCCTGAATGCTCCACAACCCCATAGAGGGAGTACTGCAGCTCGTTCTGACCGCGCGCAACGTTTGGCAATTTCTTAAGCTTGTCCATAGCGCAAAATGGCGCCAAATCGAGAATAGTCGGGAAATCGACGTGTTTAGACATTTTCCTGAACATGCATCTTGGTCCGATTTGGAAGCGTTTGAGGTGGAGAATCAGTATGGCCGGCGGGCTGGACACTAGGAACCGCTTAGTTGCATTCGTGTACACAGTTTTTCCGTCTTTTCCATTAATTCTTTCCGTGCACGTTTCACAACCGACTTTGTTGTTTCCAGTCAAGAGTTCAAGCGCGGTGAACTGGCTCAGGCAAGATTGTACACTGCACTCGTCTTCATCGCAGATATACCTTGTGGAGAGAGGATTTTGTCGGCCGTAGGACAAGATATCTTTCACACTATTATCTAATTCCATCTTTGGTCTAACTGGTGGTGGTTCTACCGTTGTTTCTGGGGACGGTAATGTATTTAGCGTATCCATATGGAGTTTTAGCTGTTCTAATTTGTTTGTGACAGCTTGCTTCATTTCTAACGGGATAGCATTTTCGCCCAGCTCATTAATGAACTCCCAGGTGTTTACAAATAGGTCTTTGCTGGCTTGAGCACTGATTCCTCTTGAGACCACCTCGTTGGAGTACTCGGGAGCAAATGCTATTCTAGAAACTGGTCTTTCATATTCACTTTTAACTGGAGATAATTTGTTGTGTTGCGGACTGGACAGATCTAAGTTAATTTCACTGGACAGAGAGCTATGACTGCCCAATTCCTTACCATTTATCGGTGAATCAACATTATGAACTGTTTCTGTTGAATTATGTTTGGTTGTCTCCGGACTAGCAACACCTGAGTCAGGATTTGAGAAGTTTTCTATAAGAGGTTTGTATTCCAATGGAATAGCTGTGGGTGTGAAGTCTTTGTCTTTATCTGCTGCTTCCGGAGTGTTGTCGGTTTTCTCCTTATCAAGATCGACTGGACTTGTCCTTACAGAGTCAGAGCTGATGACTTTCTCAGAATTGTACCCTGATTCCATGTGGTATGCTGCGAAGTTGGCTGCAGTGTGTGGCACTGGTTGGGTGGCAGTTGCATGAGACTCAGTCTGCCTCGGCAAGTCCTCCAGATTATCTTCAACATCCGCATCTGATTGTTCTGATGAAGATTTACCATCTTCTTTACCATTCACATCTCCAGATTTGTCTTTGGATGTTGAGTTACCTATAATGATAAATAATACTCAATTAAGATCAAAATTTTAAATAAAGGTTATATATTGAATTATATATTTTTAAATTGACAAGTGATCCTGATGACGTCATATTTTGACACACAGTTTGGCATGATATGATGTAAGCTATTTCTTTCATTTCCAGTTAATTACAAAAAAATGTTCTAATAATAAATTTTATATTAGTATTTTTAGTTATTTATTAATAGATTTAGTTTTTTATTAATTATTAGGGTTATATGAGCTAACATTATAAACAGGTATGATTTGTATGTTTAAATTTAAGAGGTATTCTCTGAAACTACCGAGTTTAATCTTATAAATCATAATAACTTCAATTGAAGTTAGAAAAAAAACAGGCCATTGAGATGCTCAATCAGCATGTGCTGCCTAAACCATTTAATGACAAAAGAACATCTAGAAAGGAACCCTAACAAAGCGTGTGTAATTCGTTTGTAGGCCATAGAATTTTCATTTCATTGAAAATTGGTATAAACATATTTGTAAACTAGCGACATATCCGCGCGCGTGCGTACATTTTAATTTTTTTGAGCGAAACCCTAACTCTTATTCTAAAATAAAAGTAGCCTAAGCTACTCTTTATAACATCAGCTATTTGCCAGTGAAAGTACTGTCAAAATCAGTCTAGCCGTTTCTGAGATTAACCGGAACAAATAGACAAATTTTTTAAAAATTAGTACCACATATAATTTCATATGTATTTAGTAAAAAGCTGTTATTTTAACATTACAAACAGACACTTCAACTTTACTTATCAGTATAGATTAATTTGGTAAAAACCATCTCTTATAGCCTTGCACACAAGCGAAGCGAGTTAAGCCACTAATCTAAACTAAATATTTGAGCATAAATATATTGTTAGTTTTTTAAGCACCTTTGTTCTTTCGGGCCGCTTTTCTGGCAGCAATGCGTTTGTTTAATACATTCACTAGGTTTTTTGAAGACTTCTCCTCTTGAGTGTTGGTGGTATTCTCTTCTGAAATTTAGTCAAGGCCTTATTATGCACAAAATTTGGTACGACAGTTAATAGATTAATAAAAAGGATGGGTGTAAACTAAAAATAAAAAATATAAAACAAACTTTCATACAAATTTAAACACAGACAAGCAGGCAAGGACACGAAATTAAACATCTAAACACAAATCATTCTCTATTAGTTAAATAAAAATATTATGTTATGCACAGGGTACATTGACCATTGCCAAATTTTAAGCAGAAAAATTAAAAAAAAAGCAAAAAGTATTTTATCTGTAGTAAGCTTACCGTTAGGCGTTTTCCTTCTGACGAGCGCGGGAGGTTGAGGTCGACATGTCGCGACAGGGAGGGATAAATCTAAGAAATACTCCGCCCTGTCCGATTGATGGTAGCACTCCTGACACTCCAGGGTTGACACCAGAAAGCCACGGAAAACCTGGAAATAAATCATGGTACCAGATTATATATTTTGTCATATTTTAATTTTATGCAATGATTTTTAAATAATTTATTTTTAATATTGTTTTATTCAATTAATAGTAATTATTTTTTTTCCTTTTATGATAATTTATCTTTTACATTTTTTTTTTCTATTATACACCTATATTTAATGATTTTTATCACTTATTTATTTTGATTTTTTGTTTCCGACGTTTTGAATGCTTTACAGCAATCATAGACTAGCTCGTGACCGCAAAGATGGATTAAAATGAATGTCTTTAACAATAGTAAAAATTTACCTGTTCCGGTCGAAGCATGGTATCCGAGGCCTGCTGCCCATAGAACTTCACCTTTTGCTTGACCTCGCCATCCACCTTAGCTGGATCTACTTTGGAGCTCATGCCCAGACTGCTGAGTATCACTGATTGGTAACGACGGAGATCTTCAGATCTGAAATGGACAAAAAAATTTCAATTAAAAAGAACTAAGGATTTGACAATTGCTTTTTATAGTGTGGAATTAATTTCATATAAAAAGATGAAGAGAATCCAAAAGTATGGTTAATAAAAAAAATGTGTTCGTATCGACACATCAAAATAATGTAACTCATAGCTAGCACAATTATTATAAAAAAATTATCAAAAACAATGCATTAATTGCGAAGCAACCTAAATGGTGTTAATCTCTAAATTTTAAATAAATATGCTTGTCTTAAATATTTTATTTTATAATTTAAATTAATATTAACCTGACGAGAAAACACTCGCGCAGCAAAAAATTTTTTAAGAGGGCGGCGTATATGATCAAATAATAACCAAGGGAACTTACCAGAGTGAACGGAGGTAAGAAATAAATATAGTATATGAAGGGTACAGGCAAAGAACAGGGAATGTTCCATTGAATAAATTATGACAAAAAAGCAATTTGAAGTTTAGAAGTATAATTTTTATTGAGATCAAAATACGCACTAACTATTCACTATGTACTTTTAGACAATCCTCCTTCTTTACTGGTATGTCATGGACATTCCCAGTACTTTTCTCTTTGGGCACAAATAAAACATTTTTTTAGCTAAATTTGTTGAGTATTTGTAAAAACCAGTGATTGCGAATGCAAGTACCATAGACATATTCTTATTACAAAAAAAATAACAAAAATTGTGACACTCCCTCTTTCCATTTTTCCCCATTTCTTAGCCTGTACCCTTCATATGACAAATATAGCATTGATGTACAAATCTTAAAAATATTCATATCCCAAATGAAGACAAACTTCAATATGTATTATAAATATCCAGAGCCACCACCATCAATCACTATAAATACTTCCTATTCTTTCTCTATGACATAGAGTGGATACCGAGTAGGGCATAATTTGTGTACCTTACCTTACAGCTTCAAGTAAATGTCGCAATAGCTCATGGGCATCATGTTGGTCTCCACCTCCAAATTGCGGCAACTTGTTGACTAGCGCTGAGAGCAACTTTCTCGGAGTATACACACCACCTTCACCTGAAAATATATTCCATAATATTAGTATTATGTGTGTTTAATTAACATTAGTGTATGTTAAACTAATCTTAATAAAAGATTACTTATAATTAATCAATAAAATGTTCTGCTTTATAAAATGTGCATAAAGGTTTGTAAAATTAATTAAATTTTAATTTAAAAAATAAGCTAGGTATTACTTTGATATGATACAAAATATATTTTAAAATAAATCCAGATACAGAATAACTGTTCACAATATATTGGCATGATTCTTTTAGATATACACTTGTAGTTTTTAGTATATAATAGAATTATATATGACGAAAGTAAGTACTTAAGATATTTACATCTCACTAACATGTAATCTGTGAAGCCATTGTTTGAACAAAAAAAAATATTTTTGTTTCAACTAATATATACACCAGAATTTAGTATTAGAATTCAAATTTTTATTTTTAAAGAAATTGATTTTAAGATAACATTTATCTAAAATTAATTTCACTATCTTTTTAGAACATTACTATTTGAAATACATTGGCATATGAAAATAGGTCAAAGTGATTTTGTATTCTATTTATGTCAGCTTAAGTTATTTGACATTCTCGAATAATATGAAAGTTATGTCACTAAGAAAACTAAAAATAAATAATACTAGCACCTCACCCTCACTCCACTCGGCTTCGTCCCTGCTTACGTTTTAACGTTTAGTACTAATTTCTCAGAGACAAGATATTTTCCCAGAATAAAAATGTCCCATATGTTGACCCGGATAACCAGCTATCATTATATAAAATTTTATCAAAATGCCTTCAGTGGTTTTACCACGATGTGGTCACAGACAGACTGACAGAAAAACAAACAGACAACAATACTAAAACCTATAGATTCACCTCTGTATAATAATGACAATTTCAATAAGATTTTCAAAAAAATATTTAATGGATTCGGCTTGTTACAATTTTATTATACATATAAATTTAGCTTGATGTTTTCTTTACCTTTGATAAGATTCATATCTTCATGACATTGTTAAAGATTGTTACTTCTTGGTATAAACTATTTGTAGGTTTGCTTTAAGATATTTAGTTAATACAAAAATTCTTTAAAATTTATGGTGTATTTTTTTTTAGCATTATTAAAAAAAACTCTATCTAATACTTTCATATTATTTATTCTATTTCGCGGTGTAAGAGTCAGATGAATGTATATACATTTTCTCAATTTTACAGGAGAGCAAAAATACTGGGTAAATTCGCCACTTCAAACTTTACCAGCTTTTTAATAGTGATAATATACAATTAACGAAAGAAATATATATATTGATATATTGGCATACTATTAGAGCTCAGAAATAGTTAACATTTATTTATTTATACAGGCTTACATAGACACAATATGTATTTTTTAGAAATTCGGTTGACATATGTTAGTGGCCCTTACCTTTTTTGAAGCTTTTGTTGTTATCGTACTTAAATTCATCATTCATTTTTATAAAATAAATATATTTTATAAAAATGCTTGCACCAATAAAACGTAAATAGTTAATCGTAGTTTTGGTTCTTCAAATTTAGCATGAAAAAACAATCTTGCAACACCCAAAACAACGTATAAGCTTTTACGTTGATGTGGTTCGTGTAGGATATTGTGAACCAAACAATATTCTACGATTAAAAATATTGTTTTTGCAATTACGTTTCTATAGCCCTTACTGGTAGTAAGATAATTAAAACTAATTTAGCGGTACTCATGATACATTTTTCTGGTCCATTTGACAGTGGTTCTTATGCTATTTCGTTTTATTGGGATTTGTGAACTATTGACTATACTGTTACGTCGTTTTGGCATTTCGTAAAGGACCACATTGTGACTTGTTTAATGAAAAAAAAAGGATTTTTGATCTTTTTGTAGATACGTTCATCTGGTTCTTATACCGCAACTTAAATACTTCACTTGTTCTTACATGCTTCAAGAAAAATTGAATACCAAATCAGTGGTGAAGGTAAAAAAAATACACATACAACAGTTTAATACACTTGTATAAGGTGCTATATTCATTCAGGTCATTCATTTGAAAGTATAAATATTGGTTATTTAAAGTGTTATTTTAATCTATATTGATCAGAATTTGTGTTTGGAGTGATAGAATATCATGTATGTGATAATTGTAACGAAATGAAAATGAAATGCTATCAAATACATAATTATGATTACAATATTCAAATAAATAAATATTAAATATGTTCCCTTAATATATATAGTACATTACAATTTAATTTAAGATTTATATTTAAAAAAAAATTCTGAGAAAAATTATACTCTAGAATATCTGTAGAAAATTAAATTATATCTCTTCATAAAACACACAACAGTATTTTACTTATAAAATACGCATCAGTATTTTACTTAAACATCACTACTAAAATATCAACTATGAACAGTACTAAAATAGAAGATTACAATGAACTTACCAGCTTGTAATTCTGCTAATGTTTCTGCCAAGGTTCTTGTTAAAGTTCCCCATTCAGCTAACTGTCCTGTTATGGGTGGCAGTTCCACTTCTTTGCCCTCATCACCATTATTATCTGCCTTAAGCTTTAACTTACCTCCTGGTAAAGTAAATTTTTCCCCAGGAGTTGCCATTTCCTGCAGAACATTCAACAAATAGGGAGTCTGCACTAAACACTGCATAACAGAGTTAAAGAAACATGTGTTTCCTAAATTTGTCAATCCACGAACTCGAGGCAAGTTCAAAGCAATAGCCTTATCTTTACCCTTATCTCGTGACATTGCCTCTACTGACATTGTTAATTCTAGGGTTGGTCCTTGACTTTCAAAAGGTAATTCTATTGGAGGTAATTTTGAATTATTTAAGGCTTGTTTCTTCAAGTATTCGATGCATTCATGTAATTTTTTAGAGCTAGAAGCAGAGACTTCATTGTTGCAATTGTAACAATAGATCTCCCAAGTTGTTGAATTTGCAGTTAAGGCATGACAGTCTGAATGAGGGGTATTGAAGTGATTCAGGGCGTGCTTATTTCGTGTTCGGCCACAGAGTTGACTTCCACAACGCAAGCACATCCATAAAGTAAGGTCCTCCTCGTAGTTAGGATCAGCGATTTCGTTTTTGGCATTCTTTTTACATTCTGCACATTCTTTCTCGAATCCTCCATTTTTTAGAGATTTTTTTAGTTTAGCAAGATCTACAGCTTTAGCTACATGAGCACATGCGGACTTAAAAGATTCATCGCACGATTCGGTGGATTCGTCTCCATTTTCACTAGGATCGCTTTGTCTCTTCTTCTTAACCATTGTCGCGTTAATCTAGGTTAGGATTCGCCTGCAACGTAATCAGATACACAATTAAGAATAACTGCAATAGCACAAAAAGAACAATCTGACAAATCTGTGTCGATAACCATTCCACGCGTGACAACGCACATTCACTAGAAGAAATTGTAATTATTAGAAGAAATTTATAAAGAAAATAAAGACGCTTAATGTTTTTTTACTTACAATTACATGAGACGCCTAATAATTATAATTTATAGACGTCACGAATATTGTAAAATTTCTATTATCCGAAATTTTGTCAGAAAAGTAAACCACTGTCGTCCGACATATTTATAATGTTACCATTATTTAAAAAATATTTAAGGTAGAGTGCATAATGACAAAATCGATAATATTAAATTGAAATTGATTGTGACAGAGCAAATATCAAAGTATCTAAGCCAGAAACTCGAATGGCCACCTGGCGGCGAGTAGTAGTGTTAAATTTGTGAAACGTCAACATGATATGATTTTCATTCGTGAATCGTGATGGATTTTTATTATCAAGTTGTAAATTCCTATTCATTTTATTAGTAAATTTGTCATTCTTTTTACGTAGACTTTAGATAGTTTAATATTATCCAAATGATTTTATATTTGTTTCAAAAAATATGTAGTTGTGAGCATTAATTATCGTGAAAACATTTTATAAATCGTTGTTGTCACTAATTACTCGTGAAAATACAAAAAATGTCTTTACCGGGCAATGGTATTTTTGTGGTGCAAGGCGAGATGGCCATGCTGGTCACAGCTATGCGTAGAAGCACTCGGTGGGGCTCACATTCGTTTCCTAACGAGGAGTATGACGTGCTCATGAGAACCTTTCAAGATTTGAAAACTATCTTAAATCAAGTGGATGATTTACGCCTCTTGGACCCAGCGACTTACTTAAGCCCTTTCCTAGAAGTAATCAGAAGTAAAGAGACAACTGGGCCAGTAACTAGCCTTGCTCTATCAGCTATACATAAATTTCTATCATATGGTCTGATAGGTGAGAAAATAATATTTCTTTTATCCTTTTTAGTTTGTAATATTTACTAATCTCTGTTATCATTTACTGGGCTAAAAATTACGTATACAAAAACAATTCAAAAGTTTGGAAAAATCAAGTAAATAGTAATACAGAAAAGACTGAAATTTATTTTTGTACCTAGAATATATTTTAATAATAAGATACTGACTTTATGCTATTACTTTTTACAATATATTACAAAAACATTTTTTTACATTATTAAATTCAATTATTTACCCAAGTATATTTATATATTATATGCATTCTTTTTTTAATATATATTGTTAAAAATTATATGAAGAACCTGTAATTTATTGGATTTTTATAAATATTCTGTAATTTTATGGAGTTTAAGTATACTTAGACTGGAATGATATTTTAATATATTTATGACATTTTTAGATCCTACACACCCAAGTGTGCCTGCTACTGTGGAAGACATAGCTGATGCCGTGACCCATGCTCGTTTTGTTGGCACTGATCATTCTTCTGATGGAATTGTCCTTTTAAAAATCTTACAAGTATGTTAATTTGTTAATTATAAACTAAAAGCTGCATGTTTTTGTAATAACAAAATAGCATATTCTTGATGGGAAGGAGAGAAGTGTTGTAAAACTTCCACTTTAGCTTTCTTTTTAGAATATCTTAAGGTTAAAACCAGAACCCTTTGCTACCCTTCGGTTGGTTAGTTAATTTGAATTCAGGGATGGATCCAACTCAGAAATGATAGGTATTGGACAGTATCAGTAATTTCATATATGAGATCATTTTCATATATGAGGATGTAAAACTTTTTAGCTTCTAAGATTTCTGCCTCTTTCATTTTACCATAATAATTTTTCTCCATTACATTCCCTATATCTCTATAACCACATCTCATATACTAAACAATATCCCACTTCTCTACAAGTAATTAATTATAACATGAGGAGTAACAAGCATACAGATGTTAACATTGATAATATTCATGTAATTAATAATTTTTCAGGTGCTTCGTACATTAATGCTAAGCCCCGAAGGTGCCATGTTGACTGACGAGAGTGTGTGCGAGATAATGCTTAGCTGTTTTCGCACTTGTTTTGAAACAAGATTGACAGGTAAAGATATTACTACTATTACTTTTAATTGTCAACAGTTCTAGTTTGAATAAAATTTTCAAACAAATATAAATATTTCTATGTTCATACTTAGTTTATGCATATAATAATTTTATACAATTTGTTTCTAATAGACATCTTGCAAGTGCTTAGTATAGCTTAAATTTAGATACTTGCAACTGATATTAATTCAAAAATTGTCAGTTTAACAATAAATGTGTATAATACAAAACTTACTTCAAATATGAAGGATGTTCTCACGCGATGTTTTCGACTATCGTAAGCTGGTATTTATTATGATTCGTATTATTATGATATTATTAAATTAATATTATAAATGTCAAAGTTTGTGAGTATGTATGGATGTTTGTTACTCTTTCACTTCAGAATGGCTAAACGGATCCTGATGAAATTTGGCACAGAGATGATTATAGTCTGGAATAACACATAGGCTACTTTTTATTGATTTGTGTTTGATTTCCAAGAGGCGAACCCGAACGAAGCGAGGTTGAGCGGCTAATTTTTCTTAATAAATAGGTCACCTACATCAATGGTCCTGATGGCATGCATAACTTTCAAGAAAAGTTTGCAGTGTTTACTTTTATAGTGAATTTGAATTTTGTGTACCATTTCCAGAGCTACTCCGTCGTAACGCCGAACAATGTCTACGAGATATGACACAGCTCATATTCATGAGGCTGCCGCAGTTCCCACCGGAGGACACCACTACAAACTTTACAACTGTTGGTCTGTCCTTGAAGAGACGAGATAAAACTGCTAAGAAAAAAGTTACAGCCAATAGTAAGATAATTTATATTAATTTCTGTTGCTTATGATATAACTCTACTTAAGCCTTTCTTTTTTTATATTATTTTATTTTTAATTTAATGATCACCCAATTATGAGTAGCTTATGAAAGTATTTTATAGTTTTTTATATTGTTATGTGGAGAGTACGAACATTATTTCTATTATTATGTGATTTCCTATTGTTTCTATATTTATAATAAAATGTGCATTCCGTTTTTTTTTTACAAAATTAAAAGTCATGACAATATAATGTTTTCTGTAAAACATATTAAGATAAGTTCATTAATATATTTCATTTAGACAAATTAATTTACTAAAACATCTAAATAATAAGCATGACAATATTTTTGTATTTCAGCAACATAATTGATTGTATATAGAATTTAACTTTCCACAATAAAATATTATTTTACCTCCATGCAGAGCTAATAAATAAGAAAGTAATTTAAAGTGATAACTTCATTATTAAATGCGTAATTCGCACGCCGCTCAATAGATGGCGTTGTGCGGATCTGAAACGCGCTATCAACTTGTTCGAGACCAAGTATAAGGTGTCGGCGTAGTCCAAGAGCCGGCAAAAAGGGTGCTTACCGCTTCGATGGTACGTGCGCTCTAAGGGCGCGCGGGGTACGGCTATCAAGACATACCCAGCACATTATTTTTGTATCGGGAAGGCTGTTGGTTACCCCAATGTGCCGGCGCCTCCCTCAGAAGATTATATTATAGTTTACTAGCTGACCCGGCAAACGTTGTTTTGCCATCGATTGATCAGTTTTCGACCGGAGAGGAAAAATGATTAAATTACTAAAATGGCTATTAAAAAATAAGGGTTGATCGTAGAAGGGTGAAAATTGAGGATTGTATGTATTTTTGTATCTTGTATCATAAAAAAATAGAAATTAAAAATTTTGTCTAAAAAATAAAAAAAGAAATTTAGGGGTGAACTACCCCTAACATTTAGGGGGATGAAAAATAGATGTTGGCCGATTCTCATAGATACCGGATAAGCACAAAAAATTTCATCAAAATCGGTCAAGCCGTTTCGGAGGAGTATGGCAACGAAAACTGTGACACGAGAATTTTATATATTAGATACACTTTGACTTGATACTAGTTGATAGTTTGGTCTCACTCTCTAGTCTTTAGTCACAATATTATGCTTATTTTTTTAAACTTGTCTCTTTATTAAATGTTAATGTAATTTTTTTTTAATTTGAATATTTAATTAACTGAACATGTGTAGGAATATGTCTTTCTGTTATATTTTTATTAATATATAATAATTATTATATATTAAGATATTATTTAAAACAAATAATAGCTTCACCATTAAATTTGTTTTTAAAAGAAAATTTCTATATCGTAAAATTATAATTTCAATAAAAAAAAATTTGCTTTTAAAAGGTTTTATTTTAAATTATAACTTATACGCTATATTGATGCCACTTCTACACTATATATGTACATGCGTATACTGAAAAGTTTCATATTTTTCGGTATTTTTAATAAGAATTATTATTTATTTATAAAATTGGTAAACACAATTCTTTTTACAAATTTTTTGTTCAACAACATTAAAGGTACAAACTCGTTGGAAAGGAAGTCGTCCATTACCGAGCAGACGGTTGACAATGAAGCGGACGCGGACAAGCAGAGCGCTATTCAAACACATAAGTGAGGCTAACAAATAGTATTATATTATAAGTATAACTAGCTTTTGCAATTCGATTTATGGATGATATTGGAAAAATGTTAATTTTACCTTTTTTTTCTTCTCTTTTTGGTTTTGTTGAGACTTATTTATGAAGATTTGTGTGTAAATATCCTCATATTATATACATATGTTGTTAAAGTGCAATGTAATACATACTTTATTTAAAAATAGTATTTCTTGTTAGTTGTTTAGGAAAAGGATATTTTGGTTGGCAATGCTGGTAAAGAATGTAATATTTTTTTGTTTCACAATAACTTCAACTGATCATTCTCGAATCTTGTGTCATAATTTATTCAGTTATACATCGAGCGATTAAATAATTAATTAAAAGTTTAGACATTGTTTTAATCAAATTAAAACGTTACAATATATGTTAATAATATGAGGTACATATTTGGTCTTAACAGTATAAAGAAAGATCTTATATGTTCATTCACCACATATTTAAACTTAAAAAATGTTTTGATATTACAGAATTAAGCAATGTATCTCTTATATAGTATCTTGTATGTAGTTTCGGCCACCATCATATTTCTTTAACATTTATATCAATTAATTTTCGCAAAGCTTATGTAAAATTATACATTTTTTGTGAATCGCTCTATACGTCGTATTATTTTGCTAATACCTGGGCGACCAAGATTCGCTGGGCATTTTTCAGGAAAGACGCCTATATAGATAAATTTAAAAATTAAATCCTTTTGCAAAATTTGATCTAAACCGTTAGAGCCGATATTTGGATTGCACTCTCTATCTCTGTGTCAAATTTCACCCAGATCCGTTCAGCCGTTCTGGCTTGGTTGAGTAACAAACATCCATCCATCCATACATTCGTATTTATAATATTAATGGGATGGGATTATCGCATTGCACATAGTCAAAACAGAAAATAATATTAGTAACTTAATAATTATATCAATTTGTTCGCAGTCAAGATAAAAACTTGTTGAATGAAGCAGAAATAACAATAGAGCCAGTGGACCAAGTGAAGAGTCCAAAGAAGCACACGCGACACTCCTCCATGGACCTCGCCAACGGGAACGCGTCCATCGCGCACATATTGGAGAAATGTGTGAATAATGCCGATACTGAGCAAGCCGGGGAAGTGCACAAGAGTGAGGAAGATCGGGAAGTGGCGGAAGGTAAAGTCTAATAATAATAAGGCAGTGTGTATAGAGACAGTGAGAAATTGAGTGAAGTGGGTTGGCTGATATTTTTATGTGCGAATCATTTCCAACATGATTACCACTTGTCTTACGGTGTAGGACAACATCTTGAAGAAATCTGCATGTCTGAGAGAAGCTAGCGAGTTTTCGAAAGAAATGTGAAGTCCGCCAACCCGCACTTGGCCTACGTGGTGGACTATGGCCTGATCCCCCTTGTGTTGAAGGGACGTCAGCAGTGGGTCATTAAAAAAGGGCTGAATACAGAAATATGTATTAGAACACATTTCATAATAATATCAACCATAATATTATGATCATGCCATTATGTGGAAGTAAAAAAGAAGTATTTTTTATATTTCTTGCTGGTTTTCACTCATTTCTCAGATTTTTAATATTGGTAAATACATGCAGGAGAAATAAACAGTCATTTTCATATCTTCATATAATTTACTAATTGAATCTTAAATTTTTCAGAAGCTAAAACAGAAGAGCCACAGCCACAAGAGGAGACTCAGAAGGAAAGTGTAGAAAAGTTAGAAGAATATGTGAATCACAGAGGAATAAGATTCACACCTCAAGAAGAATCACTAAATTTGCAGCCATATGGACTTGTTTGTGTAAGAGAGTTGTTCAGGTGAGTTCAAGTAGAGTAATATATTAGCTATATCGAAGGCTCGGCTTGGTTTAAAAATCCCTGTTAATTTCAGTAATTCTATATTTTTTAAAACAAGTTAAATAAAAAAATATATCAGCAATTAGTAGAACCAAACCATAGTGCGATTTAAAAAATCGTTACCGCCATCCAATTAAAAAAACATAAACTATTTTTATTAATTATAATGAAGTATTATGTAATTCTGTATACCAGACGATAAAGTAGCTTAGACTGTACCTCTTCTATGGAACATTCCAGATTCCTGATCTCCCTGTGCAACCCATACGACAAGCAGAACACCACGGACATGGTGCAGCAGGGGCTCAGCCTGGTGGCCACGGCGCTGGAGGTGGGCGCCGACCACATCGCCGACTGCCCCTCGCTGCTCTACCTGGTCAAAGATCCGCTGTGTAGGAACCTCTTGAGTGTGAGTATCTGTATCTAGCTGTGCAGGATATCTCCTGATCTAGTAACATGGAACGGCGCTATCAACGGAATGAGAGCAATGTCGACAACGACGACACGTTTGGTTCAGTTTGTAGTGATCCTACTTGCTGTGCCATTCATTTGTGTGATGAGCACGAATGTGTGTACTCTTGCTTGTATGTATCTAAAGTTATATATGTGTAGTGTATCAACTATCTGATATCCATAACACAAGCCTCGTAGCTTACCATGGAACTAGATGGTGCTGTGTGTTAGTGTCCCAACATATTTGTTTTATTTACTTATTTATTAATATATTAAGTATTTCTTATTTCTCAACCTGTTCAGTGTGAGTCCATATGAGGTTTTTTACCTGTGCAGGAAATATCTCCTAACTGACATAGTCTGATGAGACCAGAAAAAGATCAATGTACTAAATGCAAGTTACAGAAAATCTTTTTGACAAAATTCAAATCAAATTTAAATTGATCGTCTGATTAGCATTATTACATTACATAATGTACATAATGTGCCTTATCGATAACCACAGGATCATATTTCTGTAACATTATTTTCCTGTGTAATTCTATTATATAAGTTTTTATTCAAATATTAAATAATCAAATAATTTGTATTTTCAGTTACTTGACACGGAAAGGATACCAATATTTGCTATAGATTTACAAATATGGTTCCTCCTTTTCGAAGCGCTCCGAGTCCACCTAAAGTATCAAATGGAGGCGTTTTTCAAGAAAATCATAGAAATAGTATCGGCAGACACGACTAAATCCATCTACGAACTGAAAGAGATCCACCACATCGCACTGGAGAATCTAGCCCAAATGTTTAGAATACCTGGATTGTGTACAGAATTATACTTGAACTACGACTGCGATATATATTGCACTGACGTATTTGAAGAGCTGGCGAAATTGCTATCCAAAAACGTGGTTTCCTCGACCGCCTACAACATCCACACGGTGTCGCTAGAAGCGATACTGACGATTATAGAGGCGATAGAGATGGGCACAATGCAGAAGGAGACGGAGATAGTGGAAGAGAGGGACAGAGAGGTGGAGTCGCGCCACGTGACGCTGGAGCTGGGCGGGCTGGACGACGCGTCGGTGGTGAGCGACCTCGTCACCCACGACATCAGCCAGTACGTGGGCGGCGGCCGCCACGGCAGGCCGCGCGCGCCCGCCGACCTGCCCTCGGAGGCCGAGCTCGACCATGTCAGGGATATGAAGAAGGTATGGGATTGCGCTGCATTTGACCTTAATAGATTGTACTGTCCTTAGTGTTTTCTGATTTTCCCAATTTTCCGGGCAACTCTGCCAATTAATTTTTCGTGAAAACCTTATTCGTTATTTTTAAAATGAAACGATCTTTTCGGATTTTGTCGCGCTTTTATTTTCTATTTTAGTTCCCGACATTTCCAAAGCTCTACAACAAACGTGATCATGGGAGAGATTAGGTTTTAGATGTCTTAAAACTTCAAAAGTCAATATATTGTTGTAAAAGATAGTACGTACCCGCTAAAATAACCCTGCGACAAAATCCGAAAACATACTTTCATTCTCGCGTAAACCTTATTCGTACTATTTCACACATTAAAAAACCAGCCCCACTGTACTCAAGCAATGCACTTACCAACGCACAGCATTTAATTTTTAAGAATTATATTCTGATTATGATATTAGATGATATTATGATATTAGATATATAATACTTTCTAAGACAGATTAGATTTTAATTCTAAACATTTTTTTTTTAATAAATATTATGATTAAATATATCAATATTATTTATTTAATATTATCTGTTATTATTATAAATTGCTGTAAAGCATTCGAAACGTCGGGAACCAAAAATCAAAATAAATCCGCGAATTAATCCGAACAGATAGTTTTATTTAAAATTATTAATATATATTTATTACAATTAAAAAAATATATGTATGTATATGAAAACATAAGATTGTAATAATTATAATCGCAGCAATTAAATTAAATAGATATATATTATATTTGCAGTGGGTAACCCAAGGCACAGAGCTGTTCAACCAGAAACCCGAACGTGGTATTGAGTACCTGCTGGAGCATGGAGTGTTCAGCTCTCCCCTGGACCCACACCAAGTTGCTCTGTTCCTCAGAGAAAATCCCGATTTGGATAAGAAAATGATTGGTGAGATTTTAAAATAATCATGCTGTAATAAACTTTAATCTATATTAATGTTATAAAGAGGACAATTTTTTTGTTTGTTTGTTTGTTTTTATCAAATAGGCTCCGAAACTACTAAACCGCTTTTGATGAAATTTGGTGAGAAGATTGTTTGCGACCCTGACGTAGAATAGTTTTTATCCCAGAAAACATCCCTTAAGGGGTGAAAATGGGGATAAATACTTTTGTATATTATCAACTTCTCTGATGGCAGAGTGGACTATGGGAGTAACTTTTTGGTTCTTGTGGTCTGGCGCGTCATGTTTGATTGCGTAAGCTATCCTGCGACGCCACATAAAGACGGGGGAGGTTTCGTTTGTTTTAGTGGGTACTAGCGATTTCTCCTCGCTTTGCTCGGGTTCGTCTCTAGGTACGTTTTAACGGTTAGCATGAAATAGAAATCTTTGAATTTCTCAGTTATTTTGTACTATTATATGCATGTATTATACATATAAACCTTCCTTTTGAATCACTCTATATATTAAAAAGAACAGCATCAAAATCCGTTGCGTAGTTTTAAAGATCTAAGCGTACATAGGGACAGACAGACAGCGGGAAGCGACTTTGTTTTATACTATGTAGTAATTACTGGCTTTTTTAGCCGGTGATTCTCACATAACCACCTGTATGTCGCATGTGTGTCGCAGGCGAGTACATCTGCAAGCGGTCGTCGCGCGAGGAGGAGCGCGGCGCGAGCGTGCTGGGCGCCTTCGCCGACAGCTTCCACTACGCGGGCCTGCGCCTGGACCAGGCGCTGCGCCTCTACCTCGAGGCCTTCCGCCTGCCCGGCGAGGCGCCCCTCATATCCCTCGTCATGGAGAAGTTCGCTGAGAGGTGGCATGTGAGTGCGACTGGTTTTTTTTTTTGATCCAAGTTGTAAACTATATCCATTTCGATTTGCAATTCAAATCCGCTTAATCAAAATATGCTTTATTTAAATAAACTGTAACAAGCACTTTGTATCGTTAATTTTTAGTTATTTTTTTACTATTAAATGTTACCATCTGAGTGCAAGTTAACTTTACTAATCTCAACAGTAATTGATTTTCATACAAAATTACGTCCCCTTTTTCCCTTAGAGATTAAATTTCCAAAAATCTTTCTTAAAGAGTACCTATAATTACCTATAAAGATTTTACTCTATGTAATTTTTTAAGATTTGGTGATTCGTCTATATAGATTTATGTATTACTTGAAGAAATACGTCACCTTATCTTCTAGTTGAAGCATTCATAATATTGTTATGATGCTAAAATACAATCCATTATTATGTACACATAAATACTTAAGTAAAAGAAAATAAAATACATATCCGTACTTGTTGAAAATGCTACTTGAAATAATAATGGAACTTACAGTCAACCAGATGGCGTTAATAGTCTTCTGAAACGCGCTATGGTTTGGTTCAAGATCACGACTTATCAAATTAAATAAATATGAGTGTCGTTCAATGCTAAGCACATTGTTTGAGAACGGCTGGATTGATTTGACCAATCGATGTTTATAAAATGTTCGCGAGCCATAAAGATAATTAATAAAATAATTGTTCTGTAAACTGAAGGTCCTCTTTTTCTATACAATTTTTGTATGACCTTTGTATATATTTTTGTATGGTCACAAATATATTATGTAATTAATAGTATAAAAAAATGTTTTAAAACACAACAAAATCGAAAGTGCATAATATTTAACACCATTCAGACAAAGAAAGACAATAGCATTCCCAAGGAGGGTTGACGTCAGGCAGACGGCCGGTCGTAAAACTTTTGCCAAATCCTATCAGCAGTACACTGAAGATGTACTGCGCCGACCCCAAGTGATTTGGGAAATGGGCAGGGAGAAATATATTATGTAATTGAAATTGGGACAGGATAATTTCTGTCGGGTCAGATAGTTAACAGCTCTCTATGAACTACTATATCAATAAGTTACTAAAGTAATACAGGTGGCATCGTATCGATAAAAAAACACACAGCACGAAGAATTAATCACAATCATTCATTCACAAACTTTTGTAATGTTAAGTGTATAAATGAAATTTTGGTTGGTGCTTTACAAAGCTGTATAACTGATAATAAAAATAAAAATTATAATAATTAATAGATGTTCTTGTAAGAATGAAATGTTTTATGGTGTGTAAGAATTTTACTTTCTGATAAATACGCGAATATTAGATATTTTAAATAAAACCTTTCATATTTTAAATTAAAAGAAAATATAATTACTTTCAGACAACCAATGGAGAACCATTCGCGAATACAGACGCAGCGTTTCGGTTGGCTTACGCAGTTATAATGCTGAACGTGGACCAACACAACAACAACGCGAAGAAACTCAATCCGCCAATGAACGTTGAAGATTTTGTTAGGAATTTACGAGGATGCAACGGTTCCGGCGATTTCGAACAGTCCATGCTCGAGGCGATATATCATTCTATCAAGTGAGTTTTTATGTCTATATTTATGTATACAGCCCTTTTTAACGTCCCACTGCTGGGCACGGGCCTCCCTTCAATACGAGGGGGATCAGGCCATAGTCCACCACGGTAGTCAAGTGTGGGTTGGCGGACTGAGCATGTCTTTCGAAGACTTGATAGGTTCTGTCAGACATGCAGGTTATCTTACAATGTTTTCCTTCACTGTAAGACAAGCGGTAATTATGTTATGTTGGAAATGATTGGCATATGAAAATATTAGAGGTGCGAGACCCGGGATTTGAATCTGCTTCACTTGATTTCTCAAGTGAGGGTGCTACCACTGGGCTACCACTGCTTTTTGAGGTTTTTATAATATATTTTAATATGGAAAGAGCTAGCGTTAAAAAGTAATTAGTTTAACATTATTATGATCTATGACGGGGTATTTACTAGAGATCAAGTTTTTAGTAATTTTTATAAGTTCACAGTATTCGCGTGTTTTTTATAATAAAATTTAATATGAGAAGAGCTGGTCTTAAAAAGTGATTAGTTCAAAATTCTTATGATATAAACCGGTACATTTACTCGTATCATGTTTTCTTAGTAATTTTTGTAAGTTCAAATTGTCGTCTCCACAGTATTTTAGTAATATTGGTATATGGTGTATTCGCGTGCGGTGGTACAGGAGCGAGGAGATGGTGATGCCGGCGGAGCGCGTGGGACCGGTGCGCGACGCGTACCTGTGGCGCGCGCTGCAGCGCCGCGGCCGCCGCGCGCACTACCGCGCCGCGCCGCCGCTGCCGCACGCGCTGCACGCGCGCCTGCTGCCGCCCGCCGCGCCGCCTCTGGTACACACACACACCACTATATGTGCCCGTCGTACCCCTACACACACACTCCACCCTTTATATGTGCGCCTGGTACCTCCACACACTCCACCCTTTATATGTGCGCTTGAACCTCTACACACACTCCACCCTTTATTGTGCACTTTGTACCTCTACACACACTCCACCCTTTATTGTGCACTTTGTACCTACATACACACTCCATTCTTTATATGTGCGCCTGGTACCTTTACACACACTCTATCCTTTATATATGCCCCTGCTACCTTTGTGCCCGCAGCGTCAAGGGTGTAACAAATATACATAAAAATTCGCATTTATAATAATAATAGTCATATATGTACCTACTACTGTACTACCTTATTATATTGAAAACAATGTATTTGTTTTGAAGCTATGTATGAAGCTATAGACAGACATGATTTAGTTTTATCTCTGGTGTATTATTTAAATGCTTATTGCAAAATAATATACTAAATCAACGAATTCACTTTTTATCCGGGAATATTTATTTTTTTATTTTTTATCCGGGATGTTAGACCATAGTCTACTACGTTGGCCAAATGGAGGTTGATGGTCTTCATATCTCTTTTAAAAACTAGTCAGGATTGAATATGGTGGTGGTGTGGGAAGGTTTTTTCACAATGTTTTCTTTTACCGTTAGTCAAATGGTAAACATGTTGAAAAATGAATCGCAAATAATGATTATATCCAATAGTGCAAGGTGCTGGGATATGAACCCACTTTTTTTTTTCGAATTATTCACATAACTATAGCGCTACCATCATTAAACCATTTAAATTTCAAGCATAAAAAAAATCGCATCTAGTTTACTAAGTACAAAATGTACACAGGTAGCAGCGCTGTCGGCCGCTTTCGAGCGGTCGTCGCCGCCCACGGCGGAGGAGGTGAGCGGGAACGCGCGCGACAGCGCGGCGCTGCAGGCGCTGGCGGGGCTGGAGCGCTGCGCGGCGCTGGCGGCGCGCCTGGCGCCCGCCACGCTCAGCGTGGACACGCTGCTGCTCACGCTGTGCAAGTTCACGGGCCTGCTCACGCCGCATCACGCTTCTTATATAGCTATTGGTTAGTGTGCTATTACTATGAGTTTTGTTAGTTAGGTTTTAACAATTTGGCTTGGTGTTTTCTGTGAGTTTTCTCATTTTTTAGTTGTTTAAACTCATCAGCGTATAACCTAACTCTCTTTCACTTTAATCTAACTTTAACAGCTAGTAACCCCTATTTGCGGCCATTTTTACATAAGCAGAGGTATTTTATCATGCACAGAAAAAAATAGCCTTAATTTGATATATAAATGATGGATATACGCCATAAACGTATAAATGTAACAAAATATAACCTATTTACACCTGCAGCCAAAATATATTGTCCCTTTTATTATTGTATATAAAATTTTATTAAGTTTAGGATAAGCATTCTGAATAATTAAAATCACTTAAAGCCGTTACAAACAAACACACTTTCGCATTAATAATATTATTGAGATTTTAAATAGTACTACCTTTTCGGAACTATTTTGAATTTTGGTTCCCGACACTTAGTTTTATTTAAAACTAACGACTCACCCTCGCTTCGCTCAGGTTCGTCCCTACGTGCGTTTTAATTTTCTTGAGCGGATCCCTAATTTTTTTCCTAAAATAAAAGTAGCCTATGTTACTCTCTATAACATCAGCTATCTTCTAATAAAAGTCCCGTCAAAATCAGTCCAGCTGTTTCAGAGATTATTCGGAACAAATAAACAGACAGATAAAATTTTTAAAAATTGTATTTTCACGTAAGTACCCTATACTTAATATATTTAATACCATATGCATTTAGTAAAACGCTGTTATTTTAACATTAAAACGGACACTTCAGTATTATTTATCTGTATAGATTTGAAATATTCGCTTACATGTAAGAAAGTATTATCGAGATGACTATGACATGTCTCAGGCGTGTCGCTGGGGCAGTCCCGCAAGGCGCAGCTGGCGCTGCGGCGCGCGTGCGCGGTGGCGGCGCGCCACGCCGACTGCGTGCGCGACTCCTGGCGGCACGTGCTCGAGATACTCACCACGCTCTTTATTGGACGACTCTTGCCTAAGGTATATATAGTATAGAATAAAACTTTATACACTTTATACACACACTAACAGACACATCCATATCTATACTAATAGTATAAAGAGGAAAGATTTGATGTTTGTTTGTTTGTTTGTTTGTACTGAATAGGAACCGAAACTACTGAATCGCTTTAGATAAAATTTGGTAAAAAGATAATTTGAAACCCTGGGAAGGACATAGGATAGTTTTTACCCCGGAAATCATTGGGGATGAAATTTTGTATGGGAAATCACTAAGGACGAACCCGAACGTAGCGAAGGTGAGTCGCTAGTTAATAGTATGAATGGGCCGGTAACTCTTTCTGTCTTTCTCTCTGTCACATTTTCACGCTTAATCTGTTGAACCAATTGAGATAAAATTTTAGTATATACATAACTTGAGACTCGGTTAAGGACGTATCTTGAATTATATCAATTTTATCCCGTAAATCGACCCTTAAGGGGTGAAAATGGAAAGTGGAAGTTTGTATGGGGAATCAATCATTTCTCAAGTATATATAAAACTCATCCTACCTGTGTATATAATATAAAAAAAAGGTAAAGAAAAATAAATATAAGTGTATTCGCAAAGCAGTGTACCTCACAAAAAAGAGGTAGCATATAGGATACCTTTCAACCCTTTTTAACATCCCACTGCTTCGACACAGACCCTTTAAAACGATGGATCAGACCAAGTTTGGGTTGTGTTGGGCTAGAAGGAAATGGAAGAAATATTTTTTCTTTTATTAATGCAATCTATTACCATTTATTTTAACGATTTTTTCCTGTTGAAACTATGACGATATGTAATATAATATTTATTCCTTTTGGTGTTTTTTTATTACTATATATTAGAGCCAGCTAAAAATGACTGTTTAATTTTAACTTAATCTATTTTCACAGTGCCTCGTGGAAGCAGAAGATTATTTAGCCCCCGGAGGCACAGTTTCGCTGATACGCGAGGTGGCGCGGGGCTCTGACAGCGGGTTGCTTTCCAGCATATACTCTTATATAGCACTCGGGGAGAGCTGTAAGTGAATTTTATGTATCATAATATTTTGTTATATTATAAGTAATTTTTCCTACTCTGTATGTATTTTGAGCATGTATGAGTATATCTGCACGTGTTGATACAACGTACGTCAAGTGTCGATAGCGCGTTAAAAAGTCGTCTCAAGAGCTCCTTACAAGCAGGCTTTTATAACGGTGTACTACATACAATTTGCGACTGCCCTTTGATTTTATAGGATGGTTTAAATAATTTTGATAATTATTATTATTTAATCAATTGAGATATTAAAGTATTTGCAGGATATAGTTTCTTGATTTATTAAAATATTACATAATATTTCCGCTTTATTAAATACTAAATATATCTAAAGTCGGTAACATATTTAATTTATGTGGTGAAACATTTTGACAGCAATTCGAGCGCCAACGCCCCATGAAAAGACGTTGATAGACGCGGCCACCGAGTGCGTGGCGCAGTGCAACTTCCCCGGCCTCCTCATCACGGAGACCAAGTTCCTGCAGCTGGAGAGCTTACAGGTAAATACTCTTGCTTTCTCTTTGTACTAAGTCAATGTTATTTCTGGCTGATTTAAAAAAAGGAATTATAATTCTTTTTTATATTTACGCGAATATTTAACATTTTAAATAAAACTATCTATTCGGATTTTTTCACGGATTAATTTGGATTTTTGGTTCCCGACGTTTCGAATGCTTTACAGCATGAATGCTGTGTTTTATTTAGAATTATAATTAGTTTTTTTTTATAAATAAATAAAATCAAAGGAGGTCCCATATAAATAAAAAATTTTTTATCCATCAGTGTGGACCGATTAATTTTAACTGAATTTGAAATATGTGTGTCTTCTTTATTCTAATACCTCTTGGGAATCTTAATGTGTCGGGTAAAAATACTCTATGGCATTTTTTTGTCCTTATAAACCTACTATGTATATAGTTCTAAAACATCACGACAATTTGTTGCTGATTTGCTACAAAAAGTTAAATTAAATGACAAACACATTTCAAGTAAATTTTAAATTTAAGAATAATAGATATGTGAGATATATTTAATTACCATTTTTTCTCGTATTTCAGGAACTAATCCGCGCCATGGTGGCGGCGGGCGCTCCCCCGGACTCGGAGAGTGTTCAGATGAATCCACAATTGGAGGACATCACTATTTTCTTTTTGGAGCTGTTAGTGCAAACACTAATTCAGAATCGGTATGTATTTTTGTATATTTATATTCAAATAATTCAATATTATAAACATTCCATTTTTAATGATTTTGTTGCTTAAAATATTTTGCACATTTTTCACATTCAAAATGTATGTAGGTATAACGTTATTTTCGAGGGTTTATTACGAGTGGGATCAGGCCATACTCCATCACGCTGGCCAAGTGCGGGCGGACTGAGCATATTTTTCGTCAACTTACTAGGTTTTCCCATGCCGGTTTCCTCACGATGTTTTCCTTCACCGTAAGACGAGTGGTAATCATGTTGGCAATAATTCACACATGAAAATATCAGAGGAGCGAGACCTGGAATTTGAACCCGATTCATTCAAGTCTCCAAGCGAGCTTGTTACTATTGGGCTACCACTTTTTACACACTTTTATTTAACATGTAATGTTTGTATGTTTGTGTGGGTCAACTTACTTTTGCAACTGAATTTTAAAACAGATATCTACAATCGATTTAGTTGAAATTTGGCATATACGTTTAGTTTGAATGACATGGTTAGTTAAGTAAAGACAATATGTTATTACATATTGTCTTAGCAAGCTGTTGCTCTGGCATAAATAATTCTAAGAAAAATATGTTTTTTTTTTTAAATATATAAATAATGGAATGTTTATAATTGACGTGTTTGATTTAATTTAAAGGTGATTTTCTCCTTTTAGTTTAATTAATTAGTTTAAAAACTTGTTTTTAAGATGTTTTTATTGTTAATTTTTATTGATCATGTTTAACGTTAACCCAGCGGCCGCGCGCTGTCTGTGTATAATACGTATCAGAACGTAACGCTTGCGCGATGTAGAATACCACTAACGCCATCTATTGTTGAATAACTAAACTAAACAAGTGGAACATGATATGTCGTGCGTGCGTAGCGACCGCGCGATGTCGGTGTGGGCGCTGGCCGGGCCGCACACGGAGCGCGCGGTGCGCTGGGCGGGCGCGCGCGGGGCGCCGGCGCTGGCGCGCGCGCTCACGGCGCTGCTGCGGCTGGCGGCGCGCCTCATGCGCTGCGAGGCCGCCGCGCCCGCGCTGCTCGCGCACCTCACGCTGCTCTACCGCCTGCCCTACCGCCTCTTCTACCAGCAGGCCGATGTGGTCAGTCTGCGACTCATCTATACTCTATACAGATAAAGAAAATTGAAGTGTCTGTTTGTAATGTCAAAATAACTGCGTTTTACTAAATACATAAATATGAAATATATATGGTACTTATAAGAAAAACATAATTTTTAATTTTTGTCTGTCTGTCTGTTTGTTCCGGATAATCTCTGAAACGGCTGGACTGATTTTGAACTTTCACTGGAAGGTAGCTGATGTTATAGGGAGTAACATAAACGACTTTTATTTTAGAAAAAGAATTAGAGTTCCGCTCAAAAAAAAAAAAACGTACCTAGGGATGAACCCGACCGAAGAGAGAGTGAGTAGCTAGTTGGACATACATATCCGAGCTATAATATTATCCTAGATACTTTTATCTGTGATACTAAATTTTTTAAATAGAAGTGCTACCATTGCAGTGTAAACATATCTATGTTAACATATTTGTGAATGAATACATTATGTATTGTAATGAGATCAGGAAAGAGAAATGAAAGAAATGGAAATAATACTGTAATTTTTTTTCATGAACATATATTTATATTTGATACTTAACTAATACGCGCGGTAATGATACCGACGTCGTTGGTGCGTTTTTTAGACATAGTGTGCATAAACCCTAATATATGGGACACATCAAAACAACTCAAATGAGCCTAAAAGACTCAAAAATAAAGGAAGGCCCGATCCGGGATTCGAGTCCAAAACATCCGGATGTGCAGCTGTACGTGCTAATCTCTAGACCGCCGAGGCAGTCGTAAGTGTACGTGTGTGTGTGTCTGCACAGATCTCGTGCGGGCTGTACGAGCTGGTGAAGACGTCGGCGCAGAACGTGCACAGCGCGCAGGAGTGGGGCGTGCTGCTGTCGCTGCTGGCGGCGGCGGGCGCGGGCGCCTGGCCGCGCCGCCCGCCGCCCGCGCGCCCCGGCCAGCTCACGTGTAATTATTTTTTATTACAGTGAAAACATGTTTACAAAATAAATATCTTGAATATAGACATCACTTCACACTATACTAGAAGGAGATTTAACTATACTATAATTTAAATTTTTCGCATCGTAAAAGAATCTCATTATTTTTTACCCTGATGCGCCAGAACAACTTACTACAAACACAACAAACAACAAATACAACTAACTTCAAATAATTATAAGGTTGCCTGAAACATATTGATGTCTTAGCAATATGGGCACCTTTTGTACACAGTCCTAATTCTATATATCTTGTTGTACAATAATTTCTTACTTTTGTGGGTGAATAAAATATATAAAGAGGATTTATTTAATCCTCTTTATTATTATTAATAATTTATAATTCCTTCCCATATATATACTATTTATGATAGATAAATTTGGTTATATAAAAACCATGGTTTTGATATATAATATGATTTTGGCACGCTTGATATTATTCACTAGCGACTCACCCTCGCTACGCTCGGATTTAGGACAAATCTTGCTTGCCCATACAAACTTTCTTCCCCATTCTCACTCTCTAAAGGGATGATGAATGATGAAATTTCTTCTATACAAAAATTACCCTGACAATAACAAACACAAAAAAAAAATCCAATTTGGTGCTTTCGATCTGAAGTTATGCGTGTTCATACATTTCGGTGATTCATTTTTATTTATATAGATTTAAAAGATTAACATTACTATTCATCGCCAGGTGGTAATTTAAAATTCTGGCTTAGCACAGATAGTTTATCATCTTGAGTATAACACAACAGTTAGTGATGAAATTGACCAATAGGAAATATCCTTTTGGTAATTTTTAATTTTAAATACAAAAAATGTCTAGGACGTGTGCATAGGAGTGACATAATTAAATCTGTATAAATATTATAAATGTGAAAATTTGTGAGTATGTATGGATGTTTGTTACTCTTTCACGCCAGAACGGCTGAACGGATCTGGATGAAATTTGGAACAGAGATAGATTATAGTATGGAATAACACATAGGCTACTTTTATCCCGGAAAAATATACAGTTTCCGAAGGATAGATTTGTTTTTGTTTTTCTAGTAATATTATATTTGACGTATTATTTTATATTAGGTTCAAGTCGGTCAGAGGGTTCAGATGATGAAAATGAGAGACAACCGACTAGCATATCTTCAGAAAGTGAGCTCTCGCATTCTCCACAGACGCAAGGATGGATATTGGTAACATTTGGTTTTCTTTGGAAATTGGTTATAGTGTAAGATTCAAGGCAAGATTGTGCTTGCTTACTGAAATATACGTTGTTTTGATATTTCCTTGTTGGGCTCCATCTGTGGAAGATTAGGTTATTTCAGTAATACTTTATTTCAGTTACCCTCAATGACAGTTTAACTTACTGATAGTTAAACAAACTGACAGTTAAACTAACTGACAGTCATGCTAACTGACAGTTAAACTTACTAGCCGTTCATAAAACTGACTGTTAATCTTACTGATGGAAAAAAACCCCACATGCCAAATTTCAGCAAAATCGTTAGAGCCGTTTCTGAGATCGCCGGTATAAATAAACAAAAATTGGTCATTTAAAGGTATTAGTATTTAGAAATATCTAATCAAAAAAAATTGTGCAGTATCGTCACTTTTCAATTGTTAGTTTCTTATCAAATTCATTCTTAATTGCCAGAAATTCTCATCTCTGGCTTTTTGTACTTGTCAGAACCTAACAGAGCCTATAGAAATCTACTGTACTATTAATCACTCACAAAATTGTAACCACCGCACCATTTTCTTTTGATGAATTTTTTTGGGAAATGCATTTACGCACGAGGTGTGGGACTCACCGGCAAAGCCAGTACTACCCACTAAAACCCAATAAAGCCTTCCCTCGTCTTAATGGGGCGCCGCAGGATCGCTTACGCATTCAACTACGACGCCCCGACGGCAGGTCTGCCGAAGCAGACCACAACAACCACGGGGTTGCTCCAAGGTCCACTCTGCTATCAGAGAAGTACCAGGAGCAACCCGCAAAGTACACCGCCCACCGAAGTGGGCCACCTTCCTGTGCGTTTCTTGGCTTCGCGCCCGGCGGCTTAAGAATAAAATAAATGTAGGAAAATTTCAAAGTAATTAAGTATAAGTACAGTCGGAAGGTCGGAAAAAAAAACCAAAAACTAATTTAAACTAATTTTACTATAAAATTATACTTTTACAATTTAAACTTATTATTTAAAATGGATGTATGACCTACTTTAAATTAGTTATTACAATGATGGGAAAAATATATAAAATAAAACTCATGATATTTTTAAATTGCCATTCTGCATTTCCAATTGGTGACGTTAATGTCAATTTATTATTCGAATTTAGGAAATTGATATATCAGCGATCCTACTGGGGTATATGTCTGTAAATACCTTAACTTTAGTTTTAACAATAAGACAATAGCGAGTGTGTAATGACGTGACGGTGGCAGGTGAAGAATTGCGCGTCGTCGGTGACGGAGACGGTGGAGCTGGAGCCGGAGGCGGTGTCGCTGCGCGCGCACCGCGCGTCCGCGCTGGCGCGCTGCGCCGAGGCGCTGGCGCTGGTGGTGCGCGACGTGGCGCACGTCACGCCGCACAGCTGCCGCGCCGCCGTGCGCTGCGTGCGCCTGCTGGCGCGCGCCACGCTGCATGCCGGTACGCACACATTTGCACAAGCATACACGCAGTCGCACGCACGCACTCGCACGCACGCCCATACAGTACGCTTCAAAATTACTATTCTCTGACGATTGTGTGGAATGAATCTTGCCTACACCCCCATAATGTTGTTTGTTTGAATGTGCTAATTTCAGGAAGTACTAATCCGATTTGAAAAATTCTTTTTGTATTAAATATTAGCCCGTTTATTAAAGAAGGCTATAGGCTGTAATATCATCATGCTACTACCCAAGGGAGCGGAGCAGTAATCATAAATGTAAACAAATCGGACAAACTTCCATACATTTTACTAATAGCATAAAGCCAAAGATTGTTTTTTTGTAATTTTAGCGTGAGCGAAGCCGCGTGTTCAGCTAATCAAATATAAATTCATATATATGTAATACTTTCCCAAAACGCAACTTATTTGTCATTTTCAATTAAAAAAATCTTTCCTAGTCTCATTTAAACAGTCTTTCGTGTACATGTTTTCTGTAAAGCATTCGAAACATTGTAAGTCATCCAAGTTTTTTTTTAAATCTTTATATATATAATTCTTCTGTGAGTGTGTATGTCAGTGAACTTCTCTCAAACGACTGGACCGATTTTGATGAAATTTTTTGTGTGTGTTCAAGGGGATCTGGGAATGGTTTAGATTCACAATTTGAATAATAATTTTCATCAAAAAAATTATTAAAAAAAGTTTGAAATTTTCAAACTAAAGACGTGTAGACAGGACAACGTCTGTCGGGTCCGCTAGTATATACATAATTATATTCCAGGCAAAACCAGCAGGAACAGTGATGAGCGGTCGCGCGGGCGCCGCCGCCGCAGCGACTCCAGCGACGAGGAGCTGGACTCGCTCGACCACTACCATATGGTCAGCATTCAGGTACCGCTTGGCATTGTATATCCGGCTTGCTCACACACTCACTCAATCACTCACTCACTCAATCACTCACTCACTCTCTCACTCTTACAGTCACTTATTTACTCATAGCAATACTGCTACCTTATCTTTGCCTTACCCTTACTTTTCTTGGGTCGTTTTGAAGAGACGATTTTCGCCTGATATGTATTAATTCACAAATGACATCATACCCGTATTATTACAATTTTTTTCTAAATAAAAGCCTATACCTAATCTTCCTACATAATCTGTCTTTCTATTGGTGAAAATTGTATGCATATATTTACAGTAGTTTCTGAGATTAGCCCAAACAAACACAAACTCTAGTTTAATTTATAATATGTAGTGAATAGTGATGTTGCATAACAATAATAACGATTTATTTAAAACGTACACTTTTGCCGCACTCACAAAAATGCGTAGTTTTGCTTCACTGTAGGGTGGTCTATGTTGTACTTTCTTAGATTTACGCGAATGTTTGACATTTCAAATAAAACTATCTTTTAACAAAACAACACACGATAAACGTTACTGAGAAAAGACTGTATCAAGTATATAACGCCTTTGAAACGTCTAAAACCTTAGTCTCTCTCGTGACCATGATTACTATAAAGCGTTCGAAACGTCGGGAATCAAAAGGTATATGTAGATTATGCTATCGGTCTTTGTTTACATATTTAAGATCTTTTTGTAAATATTGCCTGAAATAAATGATTAAATAAAAAAAAAATCGAAATAAATCCGCGAAATAATCCGAAAAGATAGTTTTATTTAAAATGGTCTACGTTATATTCTGGTATATTGGTATTTCAGTAACAAAAATATAGATTTTTGTCTTCTCGCAATATTAGTATATCAATAATTTTATTTGTTGTTGTGTTATTTTTTTTTATATTTCTTTAATTTATAATGCTTATTTAAATACACAAAACTATTTTCTAAACTTCAACTGTTTTTTTACACAAGTACATGTTTACGAATAAAATATATGGCACTTTTTGCTAGCTTTGCTGTTTGTATAATAAATACCAATTGATATTTTTATTGAAATAATAAACTTCAGTGTTGTTTTATAGTTTTTATTCTTTTACGGGAACAAAATGTTATGTTTATTTCAGTTATTGGACTTAATGCACACTCTACACAGTCGCACTGCGCAGATATTCAAATGGTGGAGTGATGAAGCTGATCAGGGGCAAGGTAATTTAATTGATTTACTAAACGTTAAAGGAGTCTGCCCATAACACCGTCTCACACCATGACCGTGCTATGAACGTATCAGGCACGGAACGAGCATGGCACGGACTACTATGCCCATTAGACCGTATCAACAGCGTATCATACCCGTACGATAACAGTTTTAGTGCCACGTATGCTCACCATTGCGCCGCCTGCGCGCACCGGTCCCACGACGTCACGTGCCAGGCACGGAGCGTACCGGTAACGTTGTTATCGTTTCGTGCGTGGCACGCGACGGTGTTGGTCGGTGACGGAACGGTCTAGTGGGCAGAGTCTTATACTTTTCAATACAAAGGATATTTTTTTGCCTGACACGGTTCTAGCACGGTCATGGTATGAGATGGTGTAGTGGGCAGACTCCTTAATTCACATCTCTTGGAATAGGGAATATGCGTGGGATCTAAATAAAGGTGAAATATATTTTTATAATCTTCATTGCTTTTAAATTAAGCCTATATTAATATTTTTTAATGTATTTTTTTTATGATTAAGAAAGTAATTATTAAAAAGTGCAAATGTAGGTGGGACATTCGCACGCCATTGGTCAGACCGTATATGACGTCAGAGTATCATAACCGAGCGATTAGCGATTTTGTTGCTACAAATTGAGTCATCATTTCTCTGTGTATATCATGCTGGGACGTCACGCGCGGATTGGCGGATGTTTAAAGTATCCATATCGGTATAATATGTAAAAAAAACTAATTTCTAGGTTTGGAGCTAGACATTTTTTTTACAATTATATGACTATGTAAACTATGTCCGAAAAAATTTAAAAAATTCACGCATATTCCCTATTAGAGGCTCAAAAAAGTTCAACTTTTTTCGATTCAGTTATTATTTATATTAAAGTACTAGCATTGCCCGCGGTTCCGCCCTCGTTCAGATGACCAAAAAACAAATTCTTAGGTTTTACATATTAGTATACTCTTACATTGCAGTTTTTGTATTTTTTCTCAGAAATGAGACATTTTCCCGCTGTAAAAAGTATCATATATGTTGACCCGGATAGCCAGCTATCATCATACCAAATTTCATTAAAATCCCTCCAGTGGTTTTTCCGTGATGCGGTAACAGACAGACAGACAGACAAAAATTCTAAAAACTATAGATTCGGCCTCTGTATCAATAATAATGTCTATTTCAATAAGATTTTCCAAAAAATATTTAATGTACAGATTCGGCTTAGTTACAATTTTATTATATGTATAGATATATTAGAATAAGACTAAGTGGGACAATTTACAATTTCTTACATTTTTTGTCTGTGCACTAAATCTCATTAATTGTGTAATTTCAGCTGAAGAATATGACTTGTGGGAGGTGGCTTGGAAGCCGCTCTTACAAGGCATCGCAGAGTTCTGTACGGACAGTCGGAAAGAGGTAATGCTTATATACTTAACTCGATGTAAAAGTTTATGATTTAAAGTGCTTGTAAAATCTATTTTATTAAAGTATATTTTTATTTATTTAAATGGTGATCAGATGCTTTCCTAGCATGCCTTTGAGGCGTCGTCCATCATGTGCTGTTGATTTTTTTTAGTAATGCGAATGTTTGGACTAAAGAGTTATATAACGCCAAAAAATGTCACAGTCAAAAATAATAGCCTGATTTTTCTGTTTATGTTACTATTCTCTATTTAAAGAATTAGAAGGAAACATGAATAATAAAAATAATATTATATTCTTAAAATAATAATATTATATTATATACTTTTGTATGTTTGAAGCATTAGTTCTCTTTTCTTAAAAGGTAGATACCATAATATTCGTTTTTTTTATTACAATAAAATTCGTCAGTAATTTTTATTTATAAACATTTACTCAATTATCATTCAGTATACAAATTGTAATTTGTATACTATTTTAAAACACAGTTATTTGGCTACATGTTTAGTTCCGTCCGTATAATTCCTTGGTGCAAGTGGCATATTAATGGCTGTTCCACACTATAGTGCCGTATGGTCACAGTCCGTTCTCGGTCCGATATCGGCCTGGTAAAGTATTTCTATACAAGGAACGTCGCTGGAGTTCGACCGGAACGTGAGTTACTGATAGTGTGAATGCGGTGATCGCCTCTCGTTACTCCAGGTGGCGAACAGCGCGATAGCGTACCTGCAGCGCGCGCTGCTGGCGCCGGCGCTGGCGGCGCTGGGCGGCGCGGGCTGGGAGGCGTGCTTCCAGCACGTGCTGCTGCCGCTGCTGCGCGCGCCGCCGCGCCGCGCCGACGCCGCCGCGCGCGCCGACACCGTGCTGTGCAAGGTGTTCCTGCAGCACCTGGCCGCGCTCAGCGCGCGCGCCTCCTTCGCCGCGCTGTGGTGCGCCGTGGTGCGCGTGCAGCAGGCGCTGCTGGCCGCGCCCGCCGAGCCGCTGCGCGAGGCCGCGCGCGAGTCCCTCAAGAACATGCTGCTCGTCATGCACTCCGTTAAGGTACACGCACACGACGACAACACCGTGCTACACTCTGTATTGCTCATGTCATGTTTGACGACGGCACGATGTAATCGATTTTGTATATTTATATCATTTATTCAAAAAAGTATTTCGTTTATTTTCTATTTATCCCTTTTTTTAAATCCCATTGCTGGGCATAAGCCCTTACTATATAGGAAATCAGACTAACAAGCTACAGATACTCTAACAAGTTGGTCAAGTGTTGGTTGATAGATTTTACTCTTACACCAAATCTCCTCATTTACTCTTACGTTCATTTTGTTACTTTAATGAAATTACTTCGGAAAAAAACTTCTTTTTATATCTGCCAAAAATAAAATCAACCTTTTTGATTAGAATGTATAAAAGATTAAAAAAATAATCTATCGATAAATATATAAGTTTAAAACTTCCAGATATTCAGTAACGGCGATGGCTACAATGAGCTGTGGTACATCACTTGGGACATTATTAATGAATTTTTACCCAACTTAAAAGAAGAATTATTCCCTGAAGGTACTTTAAATGTTATGATTTTTTTTTTATATTTTCATAACAAATACCCAAGTTTATTCAAACTTATTTATTTGTTTCAGCAAACGACAATATGAAGCAAACATCGCAGTCTCTTCCAACCCAAGTACCAAATATCCCCCTCATCCCCATCATGCCGGTCAACAGTACGAACGTTCCCAATCAATTACCAAACACCAATAAACAGCCAATACAAATACAAACAACACAACAAATCCAACAACAGCCAAATACACAACAAACCCACCAACCAATACAAATAGTAAACGTCCAACAATCCCAACAATCCCCACCATTACAAAGGCCCGTCCAATCCCCAAATATTCTAGTGGGTCCCAATATGGGCCAACCCCCAATAGTAACCCCCATAGCAGTAAGTGCGACCCCCATGGGTAAAGTATCACAGCCGGTAAGCGGCATGGTGCCCATACGAAACCCCTTGTACGACCAGACCGGCCTCACGTCTTCTGTTTTACTACAGCCTTTGAATGAGGTGGGTTTAATTCCGATATGTGTATTACAAAAGGACGGAAGTAACGTATTGTTGACCGACTTTGACAAAGCAAGTACTTACTTTAGGTGTGTTCGTTTTTTTGTTGTGCGATATCTATAACATTGGTGAATCAGTTTTTACGGTTGGGAATATCTCAAATATGATCTCCTACGAAAATTTCCCTCAAAAATTTAATATATATATATATATATATATATATATATATATATATATATATATATATATATATATTATTTGAAGCCAAATTATTAGATGTTTTGGTTAAAAAATATATATCACGCGGAAACAACCCACGCGCATATTGACCAAGATAAAAACTTCGTCGATCTCTTTTTCTTTGGTCGTGTGAAAAAAGGACAAAATATTAAACACTTGCATTTATAATATTATCATACAATGAGCGTAAAGTTAGCTTTAATTATTTTGTCACACCTTTTTAAAATAACTAGTAAATTTAATTGACATTATGGAATTATATTTATTTATTTTTGTCAACAAAATTTCTATGAGACATTTTTAAATAAAACTATCTTTTCGGATTATTTCGCGGATTTATTTTGACTTTTAGTATCCGAAAAGATAGTTTTATTTAAAAATGTCAAACATTCGCGTAAATCTAAGGAAGTATTATTTGTATGAGACGTTAAGATTTTTTTATATACCAATCCTTTATTATTTTATCCTTTTTTTTCTTAATTACAAATTGTCTATACGCAAAACCTATCGATTTTTTAATACACCTACAAAAACTGACATAGCAGACGATTAGACACATATTTTTACACTCTGGCAACTATATTTAACTTTATCTAACATTCGTCTAAATATAGATAAATAAGACAATATTGTTATTAATTACAGATGATCTCAACACCGATCGGCATATCCATACAGACTCAGCCACCGACCCTGTATCGGGAGAAAACCAATGAAACCAGCGAGACCAAGGAGACCAATGAGAACAACGAGATCAACGAGACCAACAAGACCAGCCCCAACTCTGACGTGATAGAACCACAAACGGACCTCTATAACGAGTACATAACAAATCCCTACAACGAAATCAAGGAGATATCAGAAAAAGACGCCACTTTATACGACCCGGAGGAACAAAAGGTGGATATAACGCCAGAAACTCGACTTTTATCCCAAAAATCGTTAAGTGCAAATGTGACACCTATGCATAGTAAGAATAAAGCTCAATTCGGATCAACAGATAATGTGAGAGATTCAAGCATTTTCAATTTTTCTAGTTACTTCGGATCGGTCAATGAGAAGGGCGTGTCTGATTTCGATGCACTAATGTCCACGCAAGAGGGATAGCTCGATTTTGATGTGTATATAGGAACCTGGTTGTAATGTATATGAAATAATTATTTTTGTTTTTGATAATAGACTAATTGTATGATAATTAAAAAAAAATTGTTGGGCTTTGACGTTTTTTTGTACAAAAAATGTAAATTAATATTTGTTAAGAATTGAAATAATACATATACAGCAAATATTTTTCAAAGAATTCTATACTCATTTCGTGGAAGCGTTCATACTTGATTTATCTGTAGTAGAAAATAAAACAAATTTACATATTAATTATTGTTATTTGGGATTGAAAAGTAATTTAATAACGACCTTTGTTTTATATAAATCATATGTATGTTTGTTCGAATTTTGCATCACCAAGTATACAATGTATATATCGATGCATATTTTCGATTTTTCCTTAAAATTATATATTAGAATATCGATCTTTAAAAATAAAACAAAGATTTTTTTTCATCTGTCCTATACATACGAAATTTTATATACATATTATTTATTTTAAAATATTTCGTCGATTTTTATGACAGAAAGAATATATTTAATTTAAAAGAACGCTAGATAGCAAAAACTGGAACATAAAAAAAGCAAGCTTACAATATTTTATATAAACATTTATAAAATATATTCCAGTTCTCAACATCCGTGTTAAAATCTAGATAAATTCGATGGCCTATGACTGATAGCGTAACGCGTGCGTTTGCACTCTCGTTTCGCGGAAACTCGCGAGATTGGAGATAGCTTCGACTGTATATGGCGGTTTATTATTTAGTCTGACAGGTTTCCATGAAAACCGTTGTAGAAAATTACTTTACTATATTATTATATTTACTTATGTATAGTCGTCACCCGCCCACTTTGTTAGGCGTTATTTTGGTGTTCCTGATGAGACCTTGATATACATATTCATAGGTTTTTTATAAGCGATAAATTAAATATTTGGGGGATCATTTTTGAGCGAGATTTGCCTTTTTTTGTTGTTGTTTTTTTTGGAAGAGATTTAAAAATTGCCTTTTTTCAGAAAAGCCACCTAAACAGATAAATTTACAAAGCAAAACCCTATGTAATTTGTTCCAAATAGTTAGAGCCGTTTTCGAGAATAAGTAGAGTTTAAGGTTTCATACATAATGTGTTTGGCCGGAGAGGGAAATACAGATGTAGCCAATAATAGTCATTGATAATTAATAGTATTATTTTTTCTTTTAAGGAAATCTAAACTTTTTTTTTATTTTCAAAATAAAAACAGTAAATGTATAATATTCGATTTTTTCTTTTGTTTTTCTGCTTTTACATTGTTTTTTTTTAATTAGTATGTATAATTCTAAACATAATATGCTTATACATATTTATGACAAGACGTTTATTCATAATACAGCTATTTTAGATGCGCAATATCAGGAAACGGTGTAAATTGATTCTAGGATGTCCTAAGCAAAATTTGATATGTTCTGTCAAATACTGCACTTGATTTTGAGTTAGATTTTTTATGAACTAGATAGCATACCGCCTACATTTTAATATACAAGCATAAAACAAAGGCCGTGATTAAAATATTGCTAATTTATTAAAACTAACTTAGTCCAGCGTGATGTATATAACTTTGGCGATAGTAAAAAGGTTTATTATTATAAGTATAAAATAAAATATTCTGTATTTATTATCATTACATATTGTTGGCCTAATTTTTGTGGTAAAGAAAGTAATTAATGAAATTAGCATTTCAATCAATCAATTATTTATATATGTATAGATGGCCATTTAAGTTCTTCGACGAAGGAGTTAACCATTTTTTTTTTAAATGTAGACATTGTAGTAGACAAATATGAGTGCGTGTAACCTTTACGCGCGGTTGAAGTAAAACTTTTTTTGGCGCTGTGGCAGGTAACTAATTAAAATTTAAAACATAAAAATATTTTTTTTATAAAGTTATTAGTATTGTGGGATTGAGGATACCAGCAATAAAACCACCACACCACAATCACTTTAATACCTTTATTAAATTTCAATAGTTTATTATGTTTTTGCAGATTGCACCCTTTAAAACTAAAACTTTCTCATTCAACACGGCCATTGACCGAACACACTCTGTCTCTTTCACTCATTTTTTCTTTCATTCACACTTCACTCGTACTTTTTATTTAATTTATGCACAATATTCAACCTACAGCGATAAATATTCATTTTTATAAGAAATAATTATTATAAAATTATTAATAATAAATATATATTTTTATAAATAATAATAATTATGAAACTATATAATATTTTTTTACAAATTAATAATAATAGACTCACTTCCGCGACGCTCATTTTTTCAATATATTGAATTATCCCTCAGCTATGCCTAAAGAAGTTTTACTTTAAAAAAAATCATAAATTGAAGCCCAATTTTTGAAGCATGGATTTTTGAAACTTTATATGATGTATATTTTAGAATTTTTATGTTTTCATTTTAAGCAACGCGTTTGAAAACTTTTACTACATTGTTTTATTTTATGTTTTAAAACGTAAATGGATATGTGTTTTATAACTTTTCATCTTCTATTATGACAATTTAGGAAGAAGTTAAGACAAAGTCAAAAATTCGTTATTAATCCACGATTCTTATGATACATTATTATATTTGATTGTATGTTATTTTTCTATTTAACCGACTACGGCGATGTAAAGAGGGTTTGACTGTAACTATCTCTATGAATTATTTTATGATATAAAATTATTATATAATATAAAATTATTTTATGATAATAAAAATATTTTCTTCGGTTTATTATCCATTTAAAACTGTTTGATGAGATACATATAAACTATTTAGGTTATAATTTTGTGTATTTTTTTTTTCGTTTTTTTTCTATCAAACAAATTACATTCCACTTTTAATATTAATTGTTTGGTTTCACTTAAATTAGTTTTTTTTTAATTTTTGTATAGTATTTCTTTTGCAACAGATAAATTATCTTCAGGGTCTTTAAATTGAATGGAAGTGTAAATTATGTAATTAAATAGTTCATTTTGTATAGAGAGTTATATATTATCTGTGTAATATTTAGATGTTTATTAATAAAATGTGTTTATCAATTAGTATGTGAAAATCTTTATTTTACCAACTCGTTCATTGTAATTTAGTTTTTTTTAATTAAAATACTGATATTTTAATTGAAATAGGATTTAAGTTTAATCTAGATACATATATCGCCGTCTCAGTGCTTATTTGTCAAAACGACAAATTTATTTTTAATATAGAATTATTGACTCTAAATGTCCATTAGTATAAAAAATACATTTTGCTTTAAAAAAGCCAAAAAAAAGTATTTTATCTATATGTGATGTAAAAATATATTTTATCTGATGTATAATAATCTTAGAAATAAAACTATATCTTTAAAATTGAGGGAAAAAACTGTAAAGTAGTTTATGTAGTATATAATATTCTATAAAGTAGGTTTAAAATGAAAATACGTTTTTATAGAAAATCAACAGTATAATATAAAGGAAACTATACACTATTTACACATTTTGTACAAATATCGAGAGCGCCTTCACAGAAGGCATATAGGCACTTAATGCTACACTAAAAGTCTTTGAGACGATAACACTTCACATACATATCTAACAGTCTATTATTTATACTCTAGAGACGTGGAGTGGTCTTTTGTAGTAAGGGTGTTGTGGTCTCAGCAATGGCGGGGCGCAGCAAGGGGCCTTTCGCGGGGGGCATAACGCCTTCTTCCAAACAACAGCTGACTTTCTCGACCAAGCCCACGCCCCCGCCGCTATTCCACAGGACAACCACAAACACATAGATACTCCGCTCGATCCCGCGGTATTATCTATGTTTCCAGCTTCCAAAGCCGCTAAAAGCGCTAGATTACTCTGTGCTTCCCTATTCCGAGCTTCAACCACGCGTGTGCCAGTCGCAAATGCAGCTAATAACAGGTAAAGTAAACCTCCAGCGGCTGCGCGCGCCGCCAACCTTCCCACTCTCTTCGCACCTCTAGAATCTAACGCTCGGCGGACTCTCATTATACCAGGGCACGCGCCAATGGCTAAAGCTATCGATGTTATCAGCAAAGCACCCCTGGGGACTCCAATCAAAGCCGAAACAGCTGTGTCTGACACTCCACATGTACCAGTAAGCTCGTCTGCAGTGACTTTCCGAAGAGCCAATGCTGCAGCTGTCCACGCACCAGCCCAGCCCCAGGCGACTGCGTGCAAATACGCAGCGGCACGCTCCAAAGCTTCAGTAGACCATTCACTCGCCGCTGTCAAATACCAAGACACGCAGGCGTTTGTGAACCACGCGTCTGCAGCTAGCGTGAAGTAGTATGTCAAAGAGAAGAAGGCCACGCAAGTGGGAGACGCTAAACCATCTACTGCCAGAGTGATTCCTGAGCATGACACAGCTTTGGCTCCAAGCCACCCTCGTGTCACGTGAGCTAGTGCAACTATAGCGTGGCATGTTGCCATCCAAACCACTGGTCTCTCTGGGTAGCGGTATCTAGAAGACTCTGCACAAAATGTTAATAATGCGAACGAAGTTGACAGTAATGAGAACCAGGCTAAAGTAATCATCCATATTTCAGCAGTCTTCTTGTCAGATTGGGTATACCTCGCGTGCTGACCACAGGCAGGCCAGCATTCGCCGGTCGGTGCCCGGGTGTGTGCTGGTGGACATCCGTGATCTCTTAGCTCATGTTCGTGGAACGGCCATCGCGGCATTGGTATCGGTTCTGGTTCCAATTCACTTGAGTTTGATGGTCTCATACACAATCTGTTTGGCCGGAGAGGGAATACTGAACAATCGAGTTTGATACTTGGGGGCAGTAGTTTGATTTGATCCTTGCAATCTTCCACGACTTTTTCGCAAAGTGCTCTGCAGGCGCTCACGGAGCCCGATACTTGCACTGAACAGAGCGGGGCGAAGGCCGAGCACAGAAGGAAGCGCGCATACATCGAGCACTCACTCGATAAGATATCAGCGAATGCTGTCATCTGCAACAAAATGAAATTAATTTTAAAACAAAGAAATTTATTAGGAATTAAAGTTAAAAAAAGGAAAATTAATATACGTTAGGCAAATATATTCATGAACAAACTATGTAATAGAATATATGTATGTACACATTAAAGTGATTTCCTGAATTGAAAAATCAAACTACATTTAACAAAAATCTATTCCGCCTCAAGTTGCTCAAATATCATATGTTTATCCAAGCAAATAAATAATAGTTAAATACCAGGAATCAGGTATCTCTAACTCAATGGATTAGCTAAACTAAACAAACTGCAATAAGTGCTTTGAGCTCGTATTGAGTAAATGAAGACTCTATTACCAAAAAATAAGGTATATTTTTAATAAAAAACTGTCGATAAGTCGGTATTTGTATCAATAGAAACCCTTGTATGTGATCCAAAAACATCTAAAACGAGTCGCGTGAGTAAATGTCAGGTAAGGCGACGTTCTGCTGGATAGATAGATTCTATTTAAATAATGTTAATTTGAAGAAAAATCTAATCAGTCCATTTGAACATCTCGTAAGGAATAATATGTTAAAATATGAAAACTTTTAGCATTTTTGATTAAAGCCCATATTTATGTTCAATTTATTATCTTTTATATAAATTAATTGTCAAAAAATTTATATATAAAATAAAAATATATAAATAATACATAACTGCTTTTTCATAATAATACTTTAGTGTGACTGCAGCTTAAAAAGATCTTTTAACGAAAATATCTTAAGTGGTGCCGACATACTAAACCTTTTTCGAAGGCAAACAAGCGTGTTTGCTCACTATTGTTGGTAAAACGAAACGTTTCGAGAAAAAACTCAGAATGCTTCAGTTCAGAGCCACTCTACCGTCGTCTAAAAGGATAGAGTAAAGTAGTTTGCTTTCTTAATCCGGGATATCGAATAGCTGCACTTAGGGACGCTTATTCATTCTTTTTATTATAAAGCTTTGTAAATACACAATATTTAGACTACTATATTTATTAAGATGTATGTAATAAAGATTAAAATACACATTTTTTAAGGCCAAAATAATTTCGCCGGATAACATCACGTTTGGTTTTTTAATAACCATACACTGAGCTATATCAATGCACGTCTCTAATATTTTTTCTCTACACTTTGAACGGCAAGTAAAATTAACTATAGAAATTTTCAACCCAAACATAATTAGCTTCGGGCGTATTCTGTGAACCGAAGCTTTTTGTTAGACGGTTAGGTACTGGCGAATTGCGACAAACGATGACGAATTGTCAATGACAATGAAAAATGGCTAATTGTAGGCTTTGTGCTTTATTACCGTTTTGAATTATTTACAAATTAAAAAAATAGTAGTTTTAATATGAATATATCAGATGAAATATAATAATAAGATTTCATAAACATGTTTTTTAATTTTTAATGTTTACAATTATAAGTATGTCCCGATTTATAATTAAATTCTAATAAACATTGCATGTTAGACGTATGTAACAGCGCCACAACCTTCTTCAATATACTAAAAAAAAACAGATTGTATATTCAAATTCAAAGCAGTTTAGCATATCCTTTTTAGATTTTCAAATGAGAAAAATAAAAAAACTAAACTCACTAACGAATTGTTTGCCTTATGCGATTACAAAGCGACAAAAAGTCGATCCCTTCATGGCAATCAGGGAATCATTACATCTAATCAGAGGGCAGATCTGAACAAACCGTTCAATTGGAAAAAAAATAAACGAATAAGGTCCGTCCTCCACAACCGCCGGTTTCACAAAAAGCCGGTGACCTTGCCTTTGTCTCCAGTCATTTGCGCCGGCTTTTTATAATACGCCGGGAACTTTGATGCTGGGAATAATATGACGTAACTGGTTGAGAAACCAGTTGGGTATTGATTAGGCGGGACAAAGGATAAGCGACCTAGAGTCGGGTTTGATTCATTTGTCAAAGTTTTGTTGTTCATTTGGCGAGTTACTGTTGTTTGTAGTAAAATATTAGGAACTTAAAGTTAGTTTTGATGATTGTTTGTAATATATCTTTTACATCTAATATTAAAAAGTAACGGCATTGCTATCAATGAATTTCGAAATCCTGAATTTTGTTACAACTTACAAGAGAACTTTCTGTATTATCAAGGTCGTTTTACATTCAGCATTGTAACTCTGCATAAATTCTATTCAAGTAATCTATACATATAATAAAATTGTAACTAAGTAGAATCTGTACATTAAATATTTTTTGGAAAATCTAATTGAAATAGACATTATTATCGATACAGAGTCCGAATCTATAGTTTTTGGAATTTTTGTCTGTCTGTCTGTTACCGCATCAGAAAAAAATAACTGGACAGATTTTGATGAAATTGTGTATGATGATAGCTGGTTATCCGGGTCAACATACAGGATACTTTTTACCGCGAGAAAATATCTTATTTCTGAGAAAAAATACAAAAACTGCATTGTAAGAGTATACTAATATGTAAAACCTAAGAATTTGGTTTTTGGTCATCTAAACGCGGACGGAGCCGCGGGCAGTGCTAGTTTAAAAATAAAAATACGATTTCATAGTTATGTACAGAATGTTAATTTCACCCACTCGCGGCCACAAAGGCGGGGGACAACAAAAAATTAATTACCAAAGGATTCTGAAAATAGAAGCGCGGCTTTGATCTTTAACAGCTTCGAAAATAACCACTACGTCGTAACTAACTGTACAGACGTTATTAAGAAATATTTGTTGATTATCGTTTGCAGTGGTTGCGTAGATTCTGTGTGTACTGTTCTGTATTATATGAGGTCATACACTTTTGAGAATTCATTCTATAATATATTAAATGTAAAAGTACCTCTGTCTATCTCCTTTTCACGCTTAAACTGCTGAACAGTTTTTGATAGAATTTGTTTAGGATATAAATTGCATCCTGGGGACGGACTAGTTAAATAATATTGCCTTAAGCGGACACCGAACCGCCTCTACGTTATGTATATATAAAATGATATCACTTACGTGACATTTCACTTATAATAAGCGAAAGTTAATTATATTTAATTGGACAATTATACGTACATATATTTATAACATTGCGCGTTAATTAACGCCATATGATATTTGAGAGCGGTTTGGTTTACATAACTTATTTTACTTAAAACAAACATAAAAAATTAAAATATAATAAAATCTGTTATTATACAAAATAAATAAATAAATAAATAATAGATGTAAGGAAAAGAATTCGATTACTAAATTGGCAATGGGCAGGGCATGTTTGCAGGATGAACAATAGATGGACAAAACGTTTAACAGAATGGATACCAAGGGACAGGAAAAGGAGAGTAGGGAGACCTAGTAAAAGATGGAGAGACATTTACAGACACAGGTGTGGTAATGACTGGATGCAAAAGGCTCGGGAAAGAGATGTTTGGAAAGGTTTAGGAGAGGCCTACGCCGCAGAGGCGACTACTACTAATATATACTGAATATTATTTTATGCTACATACACATATAGATATAGAAATATAGATTTACAAAAGTTAGTACACATATAGTTATTTAGATATATAGATAGTCATATAGTTTTATATAGATAAGTAAAAACATTTACAAATACACATTCAAAAAAGTCCCAAAGATCTGTATATGTAGTTGTGTTCAAAAGAAAGAAAAATGTTAACGAAAGTAGTAAGTTAATAAAGGCTATTTTATTTTATTTATTTATTTATTTATGTCCTTCCAAGGGTCTCAAACTATCTTCTTACCAAATTTTATTACAATCGGTTCAGTAGATCCAGAGATTACCCCCTACAACGCCACAAACTGACAAAATTTACCTCTTTATAATATTAGTATAGATATGGTGAGTATTCATCATTTGGCAAACGATCAGCGCCATCTTTTGGCAAATCTTATCACTATCAGCAGCTTATATACTAGTGCAGGTGAAGTAGTAACAAACATACACACAAACACAAACTTTTGGATATATAAATAGTGTAACAACCTACACCCTGATAGCTGAGTACGTCGGGCGTGAAGCGACTTCAAAGCGATAGCGATCAAAGGCGCCGCTCGAGGGCTTCGTAAATAATTGACATGTGGAGTAAATGTTACATACTCCTGAACCTACAAAGATTGTGAAATGTAAACATTCGTAATAAGATTCTTGAGTTAACTTATAACTGTATTACAGATATGTAGGAATAGTATTGCTATTTTAATCTTCATTGGTCAATCGTAGTACTTGTTCTCTACACGGACATATCAAAATTTTGAATGAAATTTATTAAAATCTATACATATAATAAAATTGTAACTAAGCCGAATCTGTACATTAAATATTTTTTGGGAATCTTATTGAAATAGACATTATTATCGATACAGAGGTCGAATCTATAGTTTTTAGAATTTTTGACTGTCTGTCTGTCTAAGAACGCATCGCGAGGAAATTTGGTATAATGATAGCTGGGTATCCGGGTCAACATATAGGATACTTTTTACTGCGGGAAAACATCTCATCTCTGAGAAATAGGGACGAACCCGAGCAGAGCTAGGGTGAGTCGCTAGTTAATTTATAAAAATAAGGCGTGAAATTACAGCTATTCTACTATGCCTCAAATGCATATATTTTTAAAAATCATACACACATATTAAGTACTGGTCATACAATTGGCAAGCATGGAATGCTATATACTATCAACTACACTCTCATTTAACACATTTTTTTATTTCTTCACAATCGAGAGTGTGTATTATGATACGGTGCAGCATCTAAATTGTTTATCCGGCATCTCTTTGAAGTTCATGCCTCAATTAGGGCTTTCGATTTAATGATTGAAACCGGTCGTTCACCCTTAGTCTGAGTAATTGAACGTTTATTATCTTTTATATCTTTACAAAAATTTACAATATGATTAATTTCATTGTGCTTTCGCTTTAAGTGCTTAAGTGTAAGTAAGAAAAGTCTTGATAAAAATGTCTCACCTTAAGTATATACCTATTATTAAG